TTAATATTATTTTTATATAAGATATTCATTCAAAATCTATTATCATGATTTATCTGATATGGAACTTTTTTTATTCCTTTTTTATCATGAAAAATGTTCATTCTTACCTTTTTCCTTCCTTCCTTCCGTACTTTTCATCTGTTTATCATCATTATCATCACGTTGACAATGAATCTGATAGTTTGGTAAATAAAGTGAGCATGAGAAGGGATAAAAAAGTTCTGACTGATAATTATCATGATATAACCGGTTGCCAATTTGCTTCAATGTTTCAATATGATGTTACTAATTAACTTTGATTCAAATGAATCATTATCATGCTTTCATGAATCATGAACCAATAGTATACACAATATCCCAGTGTAGATCATCAGAATCCTCATTATCAACAGTGCAAATTGCGTCACACTGCTGGGAGCATTTTCAACTACTATCATGAAAAAGGGGGGAAGTTCAGGTAGAAGGGAAAAAAACGATTCCAAAAAATATGAAGCTCATTTTTCATGGCTACCCCATAATCTACCCACTCTCAGTTGCCTGTAACAGTAAAGATACACCATGAAAATACTGAACACAGGGGAGAGAGAGAAGATGATGGCGGGAAAATGAGGATGTGAATGAGATTGAAGTCCATGGATAATATTTGATAGAAGAAAAAAAAACTTTTTTCTTTCTAAAATCCATAGTTATATGAATCTGCCCTCAGGTGGAATGAACTTTTTTCTCATCCTTTCTTAGTATCATCATGTAAATTCAGGGTAACATGTAATCAGATCATCAAAAGTTTAACATGAAATTGTATTGGATGAAGGTTAAACATTGGTAATAATATATTTCCCATCATTATTAAAATATAAGGTTAAATTTGATCCCTCATCTTATTGGATAATAAATATTAAATTTTTAAATTTTCTTTTCCATTTTATTATTAAATTAAATGTTTACATTATTAATTCTTGAATATCTCATAACATTTTTTACTCTCAAATGAAAAATTTCAAAAAAATTCTCAGGGTAGAAAACATTGGGAATGAAACTTTCAACTTGATGGAAGAGAACAAGAAAATATCATAATCTTTATGATCCTTCATCTTCATTACTCATCATGACTCTCATGAAATCAGAATTTCATTTAATTTTTCAACTTTTCTATTTTTGATTATCTTTCTCATCTCATCTGATGATCATTATTGACAATTTGTTTCAACACAAATTGTCAATTCTTTCAACAAAAGTGATCCTCATGTCTTTCACCTATTGATTGTATATTTAGACAAGGATTTGAAAGATATTTTCATGGTGAGTATTCATCATGATGGAAAATGATTCTTATCATTCTGAATGATGTTAAATGATGATGATGACAACTTTTATCCTCCATTTTTGAGCACATTTAAAAATTTCTGTATATGAAAGGATTAACATGATAACTTATTTTGACATTTGACAATCATGAATATTTTCACCAACATTTCGTAGCTCAACTTTGTTTTTCCTATTCTGTTTTTCAGCCTTTCACGATTACTACAAATTTTTTCAACTTTTCATGATAAAATTTTGCAAAACTTTCCTGAATTTCCTGATATAACATCATTGTCATTTCAACCTTAAATCCATTGTAGAGAGAACTATTTTTTTTTGGTGTTCCATTTTGTTTTCTCTCTCGTTTAGAATTACTTTTTCATTCTGTGTTCATGATAATAATAACAATACATGATACAGAATCATCATGAGTATGAATAATATCTGTATGTGAATGAATGGATTCAGATGAAAATCAAAGTTCTTTCCCTCGTAATAATAATAATATGAAATTGTGAATGAGAAAATGGAGAAAAAAACAATCACTCAGAGAATCATAGAACTTTTTCAAACGAAAATTCATATTCCATGAGAATTTCATACGAGAGAGAGAGAGAGCTCCCTTCTTATTCTATCTCATCATGTTGCTATTCTTTCAATTTTAAATTATCTCCATCACTCTGATTCTCTCCATTGTTCATTTTCATCATGATTACTGTTCAACCTTATTCATGGTTCATATTATCATGCTAATGATCATTATTATACTTCACTTGAACTCATCAGATCAATCATTTTTACCTGTCACCAAGTTTCAATCTGGATTCTGTTTCCATCAACATCTCAGTATAATAATGTAAATCATAACACTAATCATGTGTAATATTATCAAATAGTTACCATGAAAATGAGCAACAGAATGGGTAATTGGAAAGGGTGAAAAAAAAAGTTCTGACACCAAAAAGGTAATCAAGTTGAACAATCTCTCAAATCTAAACTGTTGACTATTGAATAACTGTTATAACAGTATTAATTGTAACCAATTAGTCAGTAAAACCAAAGCGGACTAATAATAAAAGAGTTTGCTATCAGGCCTGACATATAATTCAAGGTGAATTACCATGAAAATTGATTGTATTCGGAATCAGATTAATCGGTTTGATTGGTTTGCCACAGAAAAAAGTCTGATAACCAAGAGGGTAAAAAATGTTTCGTGTATCAATGGTGTGTAATATAAACACCAAAGGGAAAATGGAAGAGGTGGAGAAAAATGATGAAAGATTTATCTGAATTACAGAATCGACTGAGCTTTCAGAATTCTCAGGATTCTCTTTATATTCTTACAGATATAATGTTTCTTGTTATCAATTTTTTCCTCCTCCTTATTATTACTATTATATTATATTCTTGCTATCAAAATATTAGATGTTATTCTGAAGGGATTGATAATCAGTTGCACTTGAGGCAAACTTTTTGCACTTTACTGAGGTAGGTCAGTGGATTTTTTGTTTCTCTCTCACTCTAACAAAGGATTATTGCTTTTCTTTTATCATCTTCATCATCTATCTTTGCCTTTCTCTCTATTTACACTAATCCATCATAAGAACCTGGTTTTCTGACACAGAATTGATAGAATGATGAGAAAAAAGAGAAACATGAAATATATTATATACTAACAATGTGAAGATAATAATGATGATGATGATGATGATGATGAGAAGGAGGAGATGGAAGATGAGAATGTGAAGGTAATAGATGAAATGTCCAAAGTGATTCCTCTGAATCTTTTCCAGAATTCTGAGTGATCCATCCTTAAGTTTCACAATGGATTCAATTATTTTCCCTTTCAATTCAATATATTCAAATACAACAGGATTTCATTATCATGCTTATGGAGATGATAATGATTCATGATGAAGTTCATGTTTATCTCAATAACTATTATCTCAATCTTGAATCTTGGATGTTTTTTTTTCTCTTGTTTCTTCATCATCATCATGCTGATGATGTTGATGCACGTTGGCACTTGATTCTGTTTCTTACAACAATAATCTCAATGATTGATGGTCAATCAATTTCATCATCAAACGAGATCATCTTGAGATGTTTATACATCATGAGAGTGAAAATATTATATTTTTTTTTTCCTTTTTGCTTCAACTATTCTTGTCTTTTCCAATGTGTTTAATGTAGATCAATTTTCTCATCCTTTTCACCTTCATTCTTATTCAGTTTTATCCATGGTAAATAAGTATTTCCATTTCTCACCAAGACCTGATTTCATTGTTCCATGGATAATGATTAACTTCATTTCAATGTTGGATGAACTTTTTTTTCCTCTCTTGATATATTATTATAATATCTTGAAATCTTATTATCATTATGTGATATACTGTTTATGGTTTTGTGTATCAGCTGATTCTCAATTGTAAACCATTCAATGAAATCTCAGCAATTAAATACTTGCAACACAATCAGTTGATTGTGTTGTTTAGTTGATGAATCCTGAGTAAAGTGAAAAGGTTAAATCAATGATTGTCAATGTCTATTGTAAAGGTTATCTAATAACAGTAATCACAATAATGTAAAAGAAACAAAAAGGATGAGGATAAAGAGGAAAAGATGAAGAAAATGTTATCACAAGGATTGAGGATGATGTAAGAAAGTAAGATGATGATGATGATGAAGATGAAGATGATAAAGAGATGGACCAAAAGGAGGAAGAGGAGGAGATGGGTGATGTTAGGGAAGGAAATAAAGGTGAGAATGATGAATGGAAAAGACTTTGATTTATCTTCCTTTTATACAGAATTGGTTGTTAGTCTTTGACTGTTCGATGTCTTTGAGATTCTGATTGTTACCTGGGCATGAGATGAGCAAAGATGATGAAGAAAAGATAAAAGGAAGATAAAAGAAGAAAAACAAGGTAAACATCATGATTCGATTTAACGAATTCTCTGCTAATTTAGCTTCTTTTTCTTCTTCTTCTTCTTTCTCCTTTTCTTCTTCATCTTCATCTTATGTTTCCTTTGATTCCATTTTCTTCTCTCATCATCCTCATCACCATCATCTTCATCTTCTTCTTCATCATCATCAATTCTGTTTACCTATTTTTACCTTACTATTAACTCACATGAGAGACACCAAATACATAACCGAAATAATATTTGTACAAATGCCATCAAGAGAAAAGGTTCCAACATAAATTGAACAACAATCATGATAATTATCATGGTAGGTAATCAACTTATCTACCAATCAAACAGCAATTATTGAACCAGAATTAATTCTCAATTAATTTTTTTTTTCGCTGCCTAATCATGACAATTGGAATAACGAAATTCAATTTTTGTTTACGTCACATTTAATTCAGAACTTATCTCTTGTATATTTTTCTAGCTTCTTCTTATTCTTACTCTCAGGTAACATCATGAAAGATTCAGTTCAATTGAAACAGTTTTCCAAAATTCAAAATAAAATTGAATATCAAGGTGAACTTTTTTTCTTCACCACCAAACAATTTATCATGATAAATTCTGATCCAATATATTTCAATATAAATGTTAATCTACTAAAGGGAAGACACAATTTATGAGTGAAAGTTTTGCAAAAATTATTCAATATAAGAAAAAAAAAGTTCAATATTTTTCATCACCATGAAAATGGTTCATGATGAAAGATACAATTGAGAAAATGCCTTAGGGTAAATGAATCTTAATGTTAAAATATTGACAATAAATTATCATTGTTTCCGTTACAAGTTAATCATGAGAATGACAATAAACTGAACAGTGGAAAATGCTAACAATTAATTCAAAGTAAATAATCAATTGAAAATCAATCAAAAATTTGTTTATTTTTCGACATGTTGTATTGTTGAAATTTATCGTATTCGCATGACAATGAAACCGAAACACTGAATTTCTTTCAGGATGATTTCTTGCAATTGAAAGTTTTCTTCTTCAACGGTTCATCCGAACTCCGAGTTTTGTTTGTCTTCTTCCTTTTTTTTTCTCTCGGTTGTTGTTGCTTATTTCGTCTTCATGATCATCACCATCATCTTGGAATCTGCTGCTATTGGTGAGAAAAGAGAAAAATACTCAGCATGAAGCCATGAGAATAAAAAATAACACAGAAAGAAGAGCAAAGAATAAAGATAATATTCTAACTCCTTTTTTCTTATCTGTTCTGAAACGGTTCAGTTAAGTTCATGAGGACGATGGTGGAAATATTCAACTGAGAGAGAGAGAGAGAGAGAGAGAGAGAGAGTCTCATTGCTCATCAAGTTTCTCAATTCTCTTTCTCTGAACTTTCTTCTCTTCATCTTTGTTTTGCCTTTTCTTTTATCATCATCATCATCATCTCTCTTTATCATCTTCTGATTCTTTCTACTTGGATGATAAAAAAAGCTTATGCTGATGAATCTGATGAAAAGTGATATAAATATAAGCATAAATGAAAAAAGCTTTTGCTGGTTTATGCACATTGATTCATATTCATTGAATCAGAATTGATCTTCCAATCAGTTTCCAAATAATAATCAAAATAATACATTGACACTGAATTATGTCATTAATATTATCATGAATATTGACTTAATTCGGGTGATGAAGGAGTTTCCTAGTATATTCAGAATTTCATCATGATATTATTAACAATGGATTCGTTTTGAAAATTTTAATTCATTGGCTTCATGGTGAGAATTCATCTTCATTTTCATCTCTTTATATTTTCCTCTTTTGTCTTCACTTTGTTTCCTCATTTTCTTCATCATCGTCATGATAAACATTTATCTAGGTCAATGAATAACAAATTAGTTATTAATTAGAATCAGTTAATTCATTGATTTCCTTCATCTTGTCATTGCTCTTGGTTATTTTGTTATTGTATGGAGATGATAAATTAACTTAAGCTACAAATAAGATAACCTTGAAATCATGATAACATTTCAAGGTAGTGATTGATTATGAGTCATCTGGATTAATTAACCATGTTAATTAGCATTGAGAAAAAAAAACTAATCTTGTTTTCTCATCTTTATTTTTTTTTTCCTCCTCCTTAATCACTAATTAATTAATTAGTTGCTGGATGTCCATTGAAGGTGGAATGATGTTTTCCTTCATCGTGCCTGTTTCAATACTCATAATGGTGAGTTAATATGATCCAAGTTCCGTTAATTGTAACCTTAATAAATCAACAATTAGAAAAAACAAAATATTAGTCACATTGAATTATTAACCAGAAAACTTTGAGATCTCATCTCCATGGAAAACAAATTAAGCCTCAGAAAGTTAATTAAAATCGTCTCAGTCATGTAGCAACACAAGATTAATAAGGTTATCAAAAAAAATTAGAAATTAAAAGTTCAAATTAATTAAAATTACATTCGAATGACGGTAAACACTAGTGACACCTGTTGATTTTCAATGAAACTAAAGTTCGAAAAAAAGTTTTTCAACCAAAATGATAAACAAAAGATTCCAAATCTTAATCAAATTGTTATTAGCTGAAATTAACTAATTGGATGAAACTTTTTCTTCTCAATATTTTACAGAGCAATACGATTACCATGTTATTAATATTGAAACGATTTTTCGCTTACAAACCAATAACACACAAGATTGAAATCGAAAGAGTCGAACCTGCACTTCGATCGGGTGTCTCATTGTTACCATTTTTCGCAGTTAATTGGTTTCTAAGTGTTCTCGCCTTGGAAGATACAGCGACCGATATATTTCAATATCTATTTGCTTTTTGTAATCTAATTCAACATCTATTGGTTTTCCTGTTCCATTGTTATCAGCGACCTGAGGTAATGATAATTGAGAGAAACAAATTAACTCCAATTAGTTGGTAATAGTAAATTGATTGTATGAAAAGTGTAACAAGACAATTAATTTGATTAGATAGTTTTTTTTTCTCTATATCCTTTTGGGTAATCAGATCTAGAAGATTAATTATTAGGTTATTAAAATTAATTCGTCATCAACAATAAAAGTAAATACTGATCATGAGAGTTACTATTATTATCAAAGTAAATTGTAAACAATTTAGTATACACAATCTAATTATTATTGAAGCAATTAAATACCATCAATTCAATGTTAAGGCCACGGTTAATAGCTATTAACTTTGTTGATTAAAAACCATTTTTTGCCATATGATTAAATCGCTGGTTACAATCAATGAGAGATTAATTATCCACATGATTGAATAAGTATAAGATGAGTTAATTTGAATCTGGTATAAATAAACAATCAAATAATCAGCATCATAGATTAATTAGTTGATGGTAAAGTCACTTGACAATAACAATTTATCTTTGAAATAATATTATTATGGGTACGATGATCTTACCGAAGTTTAATTGTTATCGATTATTTTGACTCTTCAATTTAGATTTACCAACGATTTTCAATGTACTTTGCCTATGGAAATGGATCCAATCGAATAAGTAAATCGTCGTTAAAATCTAAGCGCAACTATTGGTGTTCAGGTCATTGTGCCACCGTTCCTCTGTTGATCTATTCCGACGATGGTTCAGCTCGTTTACATGATAATTGTTTCGATGATCCAACAATTGAGGCCTCACGATTTAAAGATCAATGAAAAGGGTTTCTTTTTGTACATCAAGTTTGACATTGGTACACAACTTAATTGGAAAGATTCAATTGATAATAATCAACGATTTAAACCATAATCATCTTCATTTCGTTATCTTCATCACCAAGGATCTCTCGTTAAATTGTTGATCATAATAGTTAACAGCAATTTAACATTTTTAATTCTGTTTGTCTCTCTCTCTCTCTCTCTCTCTCTCTCTCTCTTGCCTTGTATCTCTTCATTGTTGGAACCAAGGACAATTTAACATCTCTCTTTAATCAAATTATCAATAAGTTATTAGTTTAAATGTATAAACAGCAATTATTGTGAATAAAAATTCATGACAATTAGCTAATTTCTCAAGATTATCTTCCTCACTATCCTGGTTATTTCTTTCTCGTCCTTTTCTCATGTTGATTGTGATTCCAATTAATCATGTCCACAAATGATGACCATGAAAACGGATTAAATTTACCTGTGGAAATAAATAAAACGTTACAATTAATTGTACAAAATTCTTAATCATAATATTCACTTAATCAATGATAAAGAAATTAAATTCACTTGATAAAAATTATTTGGGCTCAATATCAAATTTGATTGTAATAATAGTAAAGAAAATCTTAAATCAATGAAGATTTCAAAATTAAGAAAGTTAATTACAATTGATGATCAAGTTTAATGTTAATTGATTGTAGTTTGATTATCATAAGGAAAAAAAATGATCTACAGACTGAATAGATAATTGTGATTGATTAAAGTGAAAAGTCAACGAATTGTCGTTTACGATCAAGTTAATTATAAGAAGTTTAGATAATCTAATTGTTGATAAAATACAATATTATCCAAATTAGGGTAATTATTAGGGAAAGAGGAAGATAATTAAATGTGAATATTAATTAATAAGAAATAAGAGAGAAAAGGGTTAATAGATTTACTGATTAGATTGAAGGGAAGATTATCTAGTTACCAATAATGATTAAGATTCCAAGTTAATTACACAATTAAGCTTCTGAATGGACCGATAGACTTTGTATTAAGAATTATTAAATCATGATTAAGATCCATGATCCATTGAGATTAATTTCTAGACAATAATGAGAGAGAAAAAAATATTACAATTAGTTGATTATTGAAGGAGATTGAAATTCATTTATAACTCTTGGCTGGTGAGGTGATGTAAAAATCATACCATTTGTAGTGTATGTTAATTGTCAACAATCAACGTTAATTGCTTGAGATCAGCACTTTTTTTCCTCATCTCTAAAATTGATCAGGTTATTCAGATTCTCGGTGTGATTAGTTTACCTAATAAATTGAATGGAAAGATATAAATAAATTAACATGAAAATCGTAATTACGATAAAGTTATTTACCTTTTCAGTGTTTCCTTTGAGATTGTAATTGTAATGACGATGATGATTAACTTAGTAAATAAGTTAAATTATCAATCTGAAAAAGAAAGAGTAAATTTTTCCTTCTAAAATTAACTAAACAAATATGATCACAGTGGAATCAGCTTAGTTTATCAATCCATTTGGAAATTTGTTTCCTCATTTGTGAATGTCATGGAGCCACAATCAAAACTGATTGTCAATAAATTAATTTCCCATTCAAGGTAATCAAGCAAACGAGGTTGGGAAAATAACAGGACAACAATGAGCCTAAAATTGAAAGGATAAGAAATTTTCAATATTAGTATTTAGATTGTAACAAATAAAAACAATGATTAACCTTTGACAATCGATACAAAGGTTGATTGTTTGACATGTAATCATATCGTTCAAGTTGATTGTTGTAACCTTTGGCCATTGAAAAGTAAGATTGTCATCTAAAAATCCACTGAGAGATGTTTGGTAAACAAAACAATTAAAAATTCTCATCACATTCGTCCAATTGAAATTACACGTGGATTATTAATCAACTAGAGATTTTCTCCTCTCTATTCTCCTTGTTGTTTATCCTTAATCACCACCATCACCGGAAATGATCACCATCTTAATGGGATACAATTTAATTCTTTTCCCCAACAAGACAATAACCGCTTCATTGTTTTTCTCTATATGTTTGTTATGAATGAAGAAAGTCCAAAGATCATTCAAATCAACTGATCAGGTTAAAGATTGTTGTCAATTAAAGAACCAGACAATTGCATGGATAACACGAGGATATCATCAATCTACCAGAAAGAGAGAGAGAGAGAGAGAGAGAGAGAGACAATTCAAGATAATTAACTGAATTAATAGTTAATCTATCAATAAGAAAAGAAGAGAAAAAAAATGAAAATATTAATAGAAAATAGGAAAACCCATTGGAAATTGTAACCACAATTAAACTTGTTCTCAATCTTGTAACTTAAACTTTGGAATTAAATTGATAACAAATGTGTACTTACAATATTAATCAATTGATGGGAAGAAAAATGAAAGAGAAACAAAAAAAATCACTTAATTAGATGAGAAAATTGATTAGCCGAAAACAAAAAGTAAATAAATCAAATTCAAACAATGAAAAGAGTTTAAGAAGTTCAAAAAAAGCGGTTAACCGTTAATGTCACCGAGACTGCGCATTAGTGGATCAGGTGAATTTTCAATTAATTAGACTAGATACCGAAGTCAGTCAGTTTTTAGCCAAGTAACTGACTGACGAGAAAATCAAGTGGCGGTCGACTAAAGTCGACTGAAGTCGACTCCTAATAATTTTCGACTAGAGTCGACTGGAGTCGATTTAAAAGCGCGGATTTCAAATTTTGAGGGGGTTTGAGGGGGATTTTTAATTAAAGTTTTTAAAATTAGTTAAAGTCGAATTTATCGCAATTTTTTGATACAAAATCAAAATTATCGTGAATGAAACAAATTTTACTCAATCTCTCAGGCTTGAGTTGGCATCTTTTCTTATTCAAGGTTAGGCCAGCGATTGAAAAAAGCCTTTCAACAGGAACACTTGTTGCTGGAATAGCGAGTAAAACAGTAGCAAGTTTGTACAATCTTGGCCAAGCGTCTTTCCTACGTCCCCAAAATTCCAAAACATCACTAGCGTCTTTTGATCGTAAATATGAGTCAATCTCAAGATCAAACGCAGAGCTTTCACTAGGGTTCGACGAAAATCTTTTTGCAAGTTGAGTTAAAACACCATCACATTCAGTTTCACAATCGGTGGTTATTGGATCCTCATCCTGATCATCAAAATTCATCGAGTTGTAATACTCTTTTATAAGACCATGTTTTGTTTTAAAACTTTCAAAGCAATAATCGTTGATTATATCAAGATTTTTGAACTTTGGATCAAGTAATGCAGCAACAATCACCAGCTCTGTGATTGGGAACCTTGATTCAAAGTGTTTAAGCATTTCTTTTTTGCATAAAACGATGTGAGGATCATTGTCAACTTGATCCATCAGAATGGCCTTTAAATGGCAATGTAAAACAGCAGCCTTATTGATCGTAGGAACTTTTTCTGCACACAGTAAATCAACCGAAGACTTAAACTCAGCAAGAAACTTAACAAGAGCTGTCATCAAATTTAAATCTTTCTTCGAAAGAATGAGCTCGAATCTATCGATCTCACCAAGTAAATGATTAATCGCTGATTGATTCCTTATCATTGAATCAGTCATTGTTAGCAAAGAATGCCATCGGGTGGGACAAAAAACTTTTAGAGTTGAATTCTGTGATCGTGGGTTTGTACTTGAATGAACAAAATCTGTAGAACTTATCTCAATCTCATCGCCAATTTCATCAAAATTCATCGGGAAAATATCATCTTCGTCCGGTTGAAGCGACTCTTCTCGATTTTCTTCAAGAACTTCATCTTCTAGATTTAGAAAATCATTTGGTGATGCTGGAACTACAGATTCATTGTAAGCGGCTACATCTGCATTTTTAAATCGAAGAGCTGAATGTATTTCTTTCATTTTAGTGAAAATGTTGAGTAAATCAGGAACTTTTTTGAATCCATCTACAGTGATAAGGTTATGGATTCCATGGCCGATGCATGAATGAGATTTTCCGTTATTTATTCGGCAAGCTGCAACAACATTTGCACCACAGTCTCGTACAATGTATGCAGATTCAATATCGACTTTGTACTCTTCACAGAGTTTTTTCAGCTTATTGTAAATGTTTATCGCAGTGTGAGATTCAGGGAATGCCACAGTGCCAAGATTGAGGTGAACAGTCTCTAAACTTTTGATAAAATGAATAGTAACACCCAAATACTTCATTCGCCGGAGGCTATCTGTCCATAAATCCATCGCGAGGGCGACGTTCTTCTTGCGAATCAAAGGTTTGACACAAGACCTGACAAGATTGAAAACCCTTGGCAATCCGTGTTGAGAAATAGTCCTGCAGCTAGGGATATCACGCTCGTCCTTGACAATTTTATTTTTAATTAAAAACCTTTTGAATCCTTTACCTTCAACCTTTTGGAACGGTAACAGATCCAGGCTAAACCATAGACTTATGTCGTTTGTCAAATGCAATTTACGTTCCTTGAAACCCATTCTACATCCTGCAAAGACTGCTGTGTTGAATGTGTTCCTACTTTCCATGACAGCCTGAATTCGGTGAACCGTTGCCAGATGTGTTGACATATTTGAAATTGCAGTTGTACTTTTGTATCTCGTTACCTTTTCTAGAGTGGAGCAAGCGGACAATTCTCTCTCAAAGCAAAGTTCACAAAAGTAGTGATCTGGATTAATTTCTTTACCATAATGATCATGAACAGTTCCGAAATATGACCACGTTGGAGACCTCTTTTTAGGCTTGACCATTTTCTTAAACTTGCAGTTTGTCAGCTTACAATGGAAGAATAATCATTAGTCAATTAACTTAAATTTTATGATTACTTTTAACTTACTTGGATTTCCATCACTTGTTTGAAAAGAGTACAATATATTTGTTTTGATTAAAAAAGAGTCACATTAACTTAATAAATTAGAAGAAGTTGATTCAAATCACAATTTAAAACACAAATCTCGAATCAGATGAGAATAATTACCCATCAGACGTGAGTAAAACTAAGAAAATGATTGGTTAATAAAACCCCCTCAAACCCCCTCAAACCCCCTCAAACCCCCTCAGTATTTGATTTTCGCGCTCATAGAAATTAATGGCAAAAATTTCGAAAAATTAAGCATTTATAAAAAAGTTTATTGATTGTTTATACAAGTATCATTTCCGATGGCTGATCGGAATCAATTCTTTTACAGAATCTACTAAAAGATTGGGTTCAGCTTGTTTTCTTAGTTTACAACTTGGTGGTATATTTATACTACCATCGCCATTTTTTGTGCCATTTAAATGCCTATTAGCATTATCCCTTCTTTGAGGAAAAGGTTTACCACAATAAGGGCACTTCCAGGTAATGGTTCCTCTTTTTTTCCTTCTTAATTCCAATGTTTGGTCACTTATTTCTTCTTCGGTGAAGCAGTTTACATCTCTTTCGGCATCTTCTAAGGGTTCATCTTCATCGTAGCAGGTTACATCCGATGGTTTTGCATACCATGAGCATGTCACTTTTTCATAAAGTCTTCCATCAATAGTGGTTTGGTGGATCCTTTCGACAGGCCATTCCAAATTACCAGTTTTCACCTGTTAGTTAAAAACATTAATAAAATGATAAGAATAATATCCGATCAAATCAATTGGTTCACTTACCCTTTTTGACATTTTAAAACACTGAACTTATGTTTGTTTATTGTTGGTAAAACACAAAAAACGCTGAGTAAAAAATTTAAAAAACAACTGACAACTTGTGAGTCAAAGTGAAAGTGAAAGCATGTGCTTTTAAGCTAGCTTAAGTCGACTTGAGTCGACTGACTGACAGTCGAGTCAGTCATTTCCAAAGTAACTTCGACTCAGTCGATTTAATTGTGACTGACTGACTGACTGAATCGACTGACTTCGGTATCTAAATTAGACTAATCAAATTTTCATCTCTGATCAAACAATGATCATACTATTTACAATTAACTCTTAATTCTTAATCCTAATATCGAACCATAATCTATTCTCTACTTATTATATCATCAGCTGTGCTTTCCCTCTGTCATGTTGTCATCACACTAGTTCAATGTTTATGTTTATCAGTTTCATTTTTTTCCCTCTCTCTCTCTCATTTATTACAACCCAACAAGTTAATTGTTACAATGAATCACAATTATTGGTGAATCATTTTCAGCTCTTATTGTTATTAATTCAACCTCAATTAATCGTTTTCTCTTTCTTTATTTACATAGGAGGGTATAAATCGGAGATAGAGAGAGAGAGATGTAAACATGTACCATGAAAACAAACAACCACCTTGATCGGAAGAAGTCATTAGCTTTGTGAAGCCTAATGAGTACAAATTTTGTTGCTTTTAATTTTCTTTTCGCTTCTTAATTGTTGATATGCTTTAAGCCAAAATCAGGTGATGATCAGCCTTCATTTCACTTGTTGTTGTCTCTTACTGATTGACCTTTAAAGCCATTTACAGTTACACTTGGAGAAAAACAAGTTTCGATAATCATTTTGAATGGTAACATTATCATCGTTGGATAAAGTCTCACTCACTCTCTCTCTCTCTTTTAATTAAGACAGAAATGATTAATTGATCCAAAATAATCAAAGTTAACAATAACAATCGACGTCGTTGGCAATGGAAAAACACTAATGATTATTGCACGAATATATTGGCAAAGATGATGAAGATAATGGTAACAATTAGATATCATTCCAATTAGAAATGATAAACAATTCTAATGACAAATCCTTCATTAATTTTTTCCTCTCTTTTTTTCTGATTGATTAGATTTCCTATTAACATTTGATTGTGATTAATCAATTCCACAGAAAATACACCAGACAATTGTCATCGACGTTTCTTTTTTTTCGTTGATCCTTTTTAACAATCGTCATCATCATCAATTCAACGACAATTAACTTAATCACATTGATTTCTGAGGTAACCTGCGTGATTTTTTTTCCTTTGATTTAATAATAATCATAATGATTATTATTATATAAGAACAATTGTTTTTTACCACTTGAATAGTATTACCAATACAGAAAAGGGTAAGAAAAAAAATCAAAAACAAACCTAACAATTAAGAAAATTTTCCAAATGATTAAATCACAAAGAGAATCAATTTTCGATGAGAATCAAAATCACAACCTTGATTGTCTCATCAATTGAAATGATTAACAAATTCGTATTAATCAAACAGCCTTGTGAAAACAAAAAAGTCTTAACAACAATTAAGAAAAACTTTTACAAACTGAATTAGAATAATTAACAAAAAAGGTAAGTTAATTGTCTACAATATTGTTGAAAATTGACTAACAATCAGTGAACCAAATTGAATGTTATCCAATGAATATCCGCTGAAAACGGAAAATGACAACAATTAAGATTAACCTCTAATTCTTAATCAATTGTTAAGCTATTTTTCTGTCCATAAGATGATTAAATTAAATTTAATTCCATTACTTTATTGGCTGATTATCGTTGATCATATTAACTAAATTACAGTAAATTCCCTTTACCTTTAAATTGACAATTTACAAATGAGGAAAAAAAAAGGTTAATAAAAATTGATTGTTGCTCTTTGTATTTACTAAATTTTGATTACGATTTCAAGATAATCCCTTTTGATTGCAAATTGACTGGAAACAATCAATTATCAACCACACAGACAATCAGGTTAATTAATAAGTTGATTGTTTTACTTGAATAGAAAAGTTAATCAATAGTAACAGAGGTAAGAAGTTGATCAATAATTGATTGTTGTAGCATCTTGCAAGTAGAAATTAAATTAAATCAACTAGAATTGTAAAGAATGAGTTGATCACAATTAAAGATTCTAAACATTATGATTAACTTTTTCTTTTGAAAGAAAAAAAAATTAACGTAAACAAACTCGAAAGTTACAAAAGTTACTGTCCAATTGTAATTATATACAATTAACTCAAGGCCTTAAATTTTGTTTAGTTAATTGTTGCTCGTTGATTGTTTCCAATTCACTCGATTTAGAGTATAAGCCTTACAATTGTTGATTGTTTATCAATAATCACGATGATGATGACATGATGATGGTAATTGAGTATTTCCGAGTAACCAGAAAACACTTTTCCCATTTTCCTTCTCAATTACCAATAACCAGAAATGATTAATCAGAATTAAACCAATCTAGGATTTCCTCTGATTCTTATTCAGGATTTTGGGTATTCCTCTTGAATTTAGGTAACCAGTTTATCCTCACAGGTGATGTTGATGAAGGGAGAATCGGAGTATGTGAGAGAGAGAGAGAGAGAGACTCGAATGTTCTGATGAAACTGGTGATTCTCAGATTCCCTGAAGGCTGTTATGTGTATATTGAACTTGTGATGATGATGAAAGATAGAAAACAAGTTGACTCATCTACGTAGGTTAACATGAAGTTACTTAATTTAAGTAATGTATGTTACGTATATGATGACGTTTCACTTTCTTTCTTTCTCTCTCTCTCTCCCGCCTAAAAAGATGATGAAAGTGAAGATGTAAACATTGATTCTTTTTGGTCAAGCTAATCTGGTGCGAGAGGTAAACAGGTTAATAAAGGTTTCATCGTGATAAACAAATGGAAGAAATGAAAGAGAGAGAGAGAGAGAGAGAGAGAGAGAGAGAGAGAGAGAGAGAGAGAGAGAGAGAGAGGACAAGATCAAATACCAGAAACACCAAACAGTTTATGGAGCAATGATTACGACGACAACAATTAACATGATTTGGTTTCTCTCAACTTTCTCCATCAATAAATCGCTGGTTTAACCATGATAATCACCAGCAAAATTGATATTTTAAGCCAACCGGTGATAAGCTTAAAGGGAGAGAGCAAGAGAGGAAAAACCATCAACATCCGCTTCCTATGATCTACATTATGAATAATCAAGACCAATTGTTGGAGGTGTTGCCCAGTGACGATTGTGATGGTCACTGATCAACATGATGACAGAGAGAAATAAAGAAAGAAAGGAAAAAGAGAAAGAGAATGAATTAATCGGATAAAAACAAACATAAGGTTAACTGAGATGATTTTCTGTTATGATGACGAGGATGAAGATAAAATAAAAAGAAAGAGAAAAAGAAAGAGTCTCTTTCTTTTCTCTCTTTGAGGCGGTGGCTTAAATCACGTGTTCTTTTCTTCCCCTTCACTTTTTTCCCTTAAAACTGGTGATCTCTTGGTGGCTTCATATTGATGCTTTCAGAAAATGAATTTACTTCATTCAAACATTTGAGATAAAAAAGTTGATTATCATTTATTATTATTTCTTATTAATCTGTCAATTTACCTTTTATTTTGTTCAACAATCAACTGATTCTAGTTAAAGTTTATTCTTTTAGAAAATTCTATCCAACCTGTTAACCCCTTCAAATTATCATCATGTCCAACGAAAACATGACTGATTCTCTTGGTGTATCAATCGCCCTGGGCATGATTAAAACAGTGGTTTGTGCCTACGATTTGATGACCCTTCCCATTTACACTGTTACCCAACAACCTTGGCTACGAAATCAATCCAAAAATAAAATCAGAGCCAAACCAGTTAAAGAAAATAATTGTTATTCAGGTAATGAGACTTTAATTTTGAAAATTTTGATTCTCTTAGATTATCAACATTCTGACGTTTTGTTTTTTTTTCTTTTTCGGGATTGTGACCTTATATTTGAATTTTAGAATGGAAAAGAGTTGAATCTCCTCCCGATCATGATATATTACATGCGGAGACCATTGATTCATTGTTCATGACAACATGTGACAAATATGGAGATCGAAAGTGTCTTGGTTTTCGTGAAACTTTCGGTGAAGAAGATGAGAAACAACCTGATGGAAGAACTTTTAAAAAATTGATTCAAGGAGATTTCAAATGGTTTTCATATAATGAAGTTAATCAAAGAATCAATGATGTTGCTCGTGGTTTATTCTTGAGTGACCTTAAACCCGGTGAACCGGTCATGATCTTTGCCGAGACAAGGTTAGAATGGTTTGTCAGTGCAATGGCAGCATTTAGACTCGGTGCAAGCATTGCCACCTTGTATGCCACTCTTGGATTCGAGGCTCTAGTGCATGGAATCAACGAGACTGAAGTTTCACATTTAATCACAACTCATGATCTTCTACCAAAAATCAAATCTATCGTGAATAAACTGCCTCATCTTAAGAAAATCATCTACATCGAAGGTGTCAAGAAACCAGATCTTAGTGGTTTTGGATCAATTGAGTTGATCTCAATGACCCAAGTGGAAATGAATGGATCGTCAACTAAACAAAATATTCAATTCGAACCACGAAAACCTGATGATCAAGCTGTCATCATGTACACATCAGGATCAACAGGTATCCCTAAAGGTGTTGTCATCACACATAAAAATATTCTTGGAACCATGAAGGGATTTTATGCTTTTGCTCACACTTTGACCCCCGATAATGTCTACATGGCCTACCTTCCATTGGCTCATGTTCTTGAATTAACTGCTGAAAGTTTTTTCATCTCAATGGGTATTCCAATCGGTTATTCATCTCCACACACCATGACCGATAAATCAACTGCAGTTAAAAAAGGCTGCAAAGGAGATGCGTCTGTACTTCAACCAACTGTCATGGCCGCAGTTCCATTGGTCTTAGATCGTATCAAAAAAGCCGTCACAGAAAATATTGATTCCCAAGGGCCTTTTATGAAGGGACTCTTCCGATTTGCCCTTGAGTACAAACAATATTGGGTTAAAAATGGATTCCAAACTCCTCTTCTCAACAAAATCATCTTCAATAAGATTAGAGCCATGGTCGGTGGTAAAATTCAATACATGGTAGTCGGAAGTGCTCCTCTTGCTCCCGATACTTTTGATTTCATCAGAAATACTTTGAATGTGATTCTCATCGCCGGATATGGATTGACGGAAACTGCCGCAGGTGGTACCGTCATGGATTTCGACGATTTCAGTGTAGGTCGAGCGGGTCCTCCTCTTTATGGACTTTCGGTCAAACTATCTGATTGGGATGAAGGTAATTATCATCCTCGAGACAAACCAAATCCACGAGGTGAAGTCATCATCGGCGGTGATTGTGTGACCGCGGGTTATTTTAAGAATCCGACAATGACGGAAGAATTTTACAAAGTGGAAGATGGAAAAAGGTGGTTTTACACAGGTGATATTGGAGAAATTTATCCTGATGGAACAATCAAATTAATCGACCGTAAAAAAGATTTGGTTAAACTTCAATATGGAGAATATATTTCACTTGGAAAGGTAAGTTCTCTCTCTCTCTCTCTCTCTCTCTCTCTCTCTCTCTCTCATATTAACTCATATTTTGTTTTTTTTCTCTATCTAGGTTGAAACTGAATTGAAGTTATGTCCGATTGTTGATAATATTTGCGTCTATGGTGATTCTTATCACGATTATTTGATAGCAATTGTTGTTCCAAACGAAAAGGGTCTTCGCAATTTAGCAAAAACACTTGACAGGGAACATCTAAGTCATTCACAACTCTGTAAAGATCCTGTTATATTGGAAGTGGTTAAGAAAGCACTTTCTGACCGAGCAACTCAAGTTAAATTGAATCGAACCGAAAGACCTGCAAAAATCTTACTCGTTGACGACGAGTGGACACCTGACAGTGGCCTGGTAACTGCAGCGATGAAGATTCGTCGGAAAAATATTCAAGAACGTTACATTAATGAGATTAATAGAATTTACAAAACTCCAGTTTCTGGTGTTCAATCAGCTTAATTTTTTTCAATAATTTAAATGTATTAGTTTGTTCTCACCTCTAACATCTTTCTTTCCTCTCAACCACTTCTCCAATCATCTTCATCATCCTTAATCATCATTTGTATCATCTTCAGGTCATTGTAACTACACACCAACTACACTCAAAGCAACTCTTTACACTTTTCTCAATTCCTTTGGTGCTAAACAAAATCCTGATTTCGTCATCACTTCTTACTAATAGTTATCATCATGATGATCTTTTGGTGATAAGTTATTTCTCTTGTTAATTCTGTATGATTAATTGTAAAATCTCACAAGTTTAACGTTAATTTCCTAAAATTTTTCCTTCAAATCAAAAATTCAAATACCAAACTTCATCAACAAAACATCCACCATAAAGAAAACACCAACATGCAGGATCAATTTAATTAGCATGTAAAACTTTTTAAAGAAACAATTTAATTTGTAACATATGATATGTAATTTAATTAGCTTTGTTTTATTAATTTATGTTGTTCAAATGGTTGTAAACACTATTTATGAAGAGATATCGAGTGTTGATTAACTCTCTCTTCTCAAATTGATTGTAATTGCAGCTCATTGCGACTCCTTATTATGATTGGGAAACACTCAAAAAATCAATGAATTTGTGATTATAAAATAAATCAATTGATTAATTTAACATTCAAAAGTCTAAATCAATTCACCTCCAAATTTAATCATTAAAATGTTGATCTGCTCTTATTTTCATTCGCGTCGCAACTTGATCATTTTTAATTAATTATGAAGAGCCAATTGTTGATCAAGTTACGTTTACAGAAAATCATCAGATAAGTTTATTACTGCGAAATCGTCTTTGTCCTGACGACGCTGTAATCGCGATGACAATGTGATACTTTTGTCAACTGTTACAGAATTATGATTGAAGATGATTAGTAAATTGTTACGACAACTTGACGATTAATCGACGAGAAGATCGACTCAGATTCATCTTCAAATAGAAAGTGAATAGTGAAAATAGACTTGAGACTATTTTCACTCTTCTTTTTTTCTATGTTTACATTTTTCTTGTTTACTTTTCGTGTAAATTTTTTCAGATCAGTTGTGTTCTGTCTAATCAAATCCTAACCTTTAAATTATAATCATTTTAATCTGTTAATTTTTTTATTCTACGAAAAATTGATGGATCAGTTGCGAAATATTTTCACAGGTATTGTTTACGGTCTTAAAGATGCAATTTTCGGAATATTTGCCATTCGAAATCATTACAATTATGATCCATCCTCATCTTCATCGTCTTCATCTTCATCTTCATCTTCATCTTCACCTTTGACAAAAACATCAACAGGTTCATCGATTTCATCTAAGAAAAATGTACAAAAATCTAAGCCTCTCAACAAGAACACCTTCCAAATGATTTGTCAATGTTGCCTTCTTAATGGTTGTATATTCTGGTTCTCTCTCATCTTATTTGACTATGTTGTTCTCCCTTTGTTATTTTCTTTAATTCATTTGATATTCGGCTCTCAACCTGGTGTGGTACAATCTCTCTGGTACTGGATGAAGCCCATTCTATCTCATACCTTTGATGCTCTCTGGAGACTACCTGTTTTCTTACTCACTCGCGTTGTAAATGCTCTTTGGTTCCAAGACATCGCTGATTCGACCTACCGAGGAAAACCTTCCTTACTTAAGAGTATACCCAAGTTAATTGCTGATACTTTCTTCAGTCTCATGATTCAAGCCTTATTCTTAATTCAATCATTGGTCATCGCTTTCATCCCCTTCCCTCTTCTCGGACACCTTGCTAGTATATTCCATCTAAGTTTACTCTATGCCTTGTACTCTTTTGAATATAAATGGTCCAACATGGGCTGGGCTCTTCACAAGCGACTACAATTGGTCGAAAACAATTGGCCTTATTTCTTTGGCTTCGGGTTTCCACTCGCAATTTTAACTTCTCTCTCGGAATCTTGGTTTGTTTCTGGTTGTATCTTCTCCCTGCTCTTCCCATTATTCATTATAAGTGGTAATGAAGCCAAACCAAGACGAGGACTTTGTGATACTCCGATCAAAATTTTCCAAGTTGTTGTTTGGGTTTCGAATAAAATATTTCAAGGAACCATTAATTTAACAGCGAGTAATCAGGGAAGAAAAATTATCAACAAATACCAATGTAATTAACAAACTAGACAATTAATCTAATTTTGATCATTAAAATAAATTTTTCTTTCTTTTTTCACGAATTTAAGTAAAACTCCACCTGGTGGATTAAAAGAACATTTTTTCTTTGCTTTGTTGTTGTTCAATTTGTAGAGTTGTTGTTTTTTAGTGAAACAATTTTAATTCAAATCAATTGTTTTTCTCTTTTTATTAATCATTTCATTTGATTTTACTTTTTCTCTACTCAATCATCTAAGTGGTAAAGTGTACTGGTTAACTGTTTTGTTTACCTTTTAACCTGTTTTTCGATTTGTTTTCGATTCTACCTTGGGTGACATAAGAAATAAGGAAGAGAGAGATTTGTATTTCCATGGATTAAGTATGAACGGATTTTCATTCAGTGGTTTTTGCTGCCTTTTCTGCTGCCCTCCGTGTCCAGGCAGAATAGCAGCCAAGTTGGCATTTTTACCACCCGAGTCAACTTATAATTTTGTTCTTGACGAGAAGAATAATAAATTTACCCTTGAGTTAAGTCAACGAGCTGAATGGCAATATCTTCCAAGGGAATTGGACCAAATTGAAGTCTTCTTTGCCCGTTCCTCCCGAGGTAATCGGATTGCTTGTATGTATGTTCGTGCCTGTCCCAATCCAAAGTTCACCATTCTATTTAGCCATGGAAATGCCGTCGATTTGGGTCAGATGAGTAGTTTCTATCTTGGTTTAGGCTCAGAAATTAATTGTAATATATTCAGTTATGATTATTCTGGTTATGGTGTCTCCAGTGGTAAACCATCAGAGAAAAACCTATATGCAGATATTGATGCCGCCTGGCAGGCCTTAAGATCTCATTATGGTATCAGCCCTGAGAAAATTATACTCTATGGTCAATCAATCGGCACTGTGCCCACTGTTGACCTCGCCTCACGTTACGAGGTTGGTGCTGTGATACTACACTCGCCACTAACGTCCGGTATGAGAGTTGCTTTCTCTAACATCAAACGAACCTGGTTCTTTGACGCATTCCCAAGGTGAGTGACTCCTTCTTTCATTTTTGTACTTTGCTTTCTTTTCTTTCTCTTTTTTTCTCTTTTTCTCTTTAAATTCACAATAAACCTCTTCCCCTTTTTTCTTTCTTTCTCTTCTTTCTCTTTCTTTCTTTCTTTCTTTCTTTCTTTCTTTCTTTCTTGCAATTCATGTGACAATACTCTAATTTATTTTTTCTTATCTTTCCATTTGTTGCTGGTCTACACCTTTACCTATTGATTCTGCTTATCCCATACATTCATCACCAACATTTTCTGATTTGTCATTTATTTCTCTCCTTTTCTGTATTATGCTGGATCAATCATTCAATCAATCATATCATGGAAATTTCTTTTGTTTATTATCGCTGTTCTGTTAAATTCTGGTCTCAATGATTCATCTTATTGAATAAAATCACTGGTACGAATAAATGAACAATCAGCATCGAGAAAGCACCAAGAATAACATCACCAGTTTTAGTTATCCATGGAACGGAGGATGAAATTATCGACTTCTCTCATGGATTAGCGATGCATGAAAAGTGTCCCCGCGCTGTTGAACCTCTTTGGCTCGAAGGTGCAGGTCATAATGACGTCGAATCGTATGGCCAATACTCTGATAGATTAAATCAGTTTATAAATGTCGATCTAAATCCACAAAACAATACTTGATCATTTAATCATATTATTTATCAACATTTTTGTGTCTTTCCTCTCCCTCTTTATCATCTATCATTCTGTCTCTCTGTATCTCTCTGTATCTCTCTCTCTCTCTCTCTCTCTTCTCAGTCTCTCTTCTCAGTCTCTTATAATTTTCTCCCTCTATCCCTTTAATAACTTTGCTAGTTTGTCTCTTTCTCAATCAACAATAATTTCTTTCTACACTTTATCCTAATCAACCACAACATATTACCAATACCTGGAACTTGTTTCATCAAGTCTTTTCTATGAATCTTAGCTTCAAACATACCAAATCAGCCAATCCCCATATCATCATTTTCTGAGAATCATCTCTTTTCCCCTTCTATCATTTTCTCTCCGATCAGGTGTCCCAATCAACAAAATAGTGTTTTTTACCTGTTAAAATTCACATTATTTAAGAACAACTTATACCAACTGATCTATTTATCCATCAATCTATACATATACATGCATCCAACGTATAAATACAACTCTCTCTCTCTCTCTCTCTCTCTCGCTCTCATGTTTCCTTCTCTAATTCTTATTCATGCTACATATACAACTTGGAACTTTATCTCTCTCTCTCACACACTCTCTTAATTCTTCTTCTCTCCCTTTTTCTATGTCTTTCTAATCTATTTCCTTTTCTTTTTGCGCCTTATCCATGAAATCATTTTTGCTGCACAAGAAAAAACAACTTATACACACAAACACAACAACAAGCAAAAAAAATCACTTACACGTTTTAAAATCATTTCTTGAGTAAAAAAAATCATAACGAAAACTTTGATAAACTGTCTTGTAATGTTCATTTTAATTCCAATTGATTACAATGGTCAATCTCTCTTTCGTTGTATCAAATCAATCATTAACTGTTCACCTCTATTATTATTTAAAAAAAGTTCGAAAACAAATTGTTATCAGTTTTCAACGATTTCGACTCAATTTTACTTTGATTTTTCAATTCTTTCTTTTTTTAATCAATCAAAATAATAAAGAAAATTAAGAAATTGATTATTTCTTATCGAAAATATCTCTTACTCCTCAATTAGTATAAGTTAATTGTTGACTAGTTGATTAATTTGATAAGTTGATTATGAAATGAGAAAGAAAAAACCTTCAATTACTTTAATTGCATAATCGGTTAATTAAATGATTGTATTGGTTGAAATTGATTAGTTAACCAAGTTTTTGTTGTTAACCAACTTGTTGTAAATTGTCAAGATCAATCACAATTAAGGTTCAAAAGTTAATTGTCAACTGTTTCAAATCAAATTGACTTACCCCTTAGAAACCTATTAAAACATAATCACCAGTTGATTGTTACACAATTAAACTTAATCAACTTGATTAAAATCAATGAAGATGTTATTTTAATCTAGTAACATGAAAACCACTTAGACATTACATTGCCGATGAAAATTAAAAATCAAGGGCAATTATCATTAATTATCAAAGTCCCGTAACAATTTAACTAATCATTTCCAACCATAACTCTATAAAGTTTAATGATTTGGATCAATTTGAATAATCAATTAACTATTGATTATTTAGCTCTTCAATTATTATACATGTAACCTGATTAACGATTGATTATTGAACAACAATCATTAAATTTTTTTCCTGTTCATTGAACAATCAATATTAATTGTTGTCTTCAAATTTTCCACTAATTGTTACATCTAAGAGATTATTTTTCAATCATCACTCGATTTGGATGATTACCAGAATATTTAAATCTTAATTCTTGGATTTAAATGATTAAGTTGATGACGAAAATACAAATAAAAGTAGATCAAAATTTTAATGATCAAAGTTGGAGTTTAAGGAGTGAATTGATTTTGATTGACCTTTGATTGTTAAATTATCAATTGAATTTTAATCATAAATTCATTGATTCTTTGAGTGTTTCCCAATCATAATAAGGAGTCGCAATGAGCTGCAATTACAATCAATTTGAGAGGAGAGTTAATTAACCATTGATCTTTAGCTCTCTCTTTCTCTTAGAAAGTATTTACAACCATTTGAACAACATAAATTAATAAAACAAAGCTAATTAAATTACATATCATATGCTACAAATTAAATTGTTTCTTTGAAAAGTTTTACATGCTAATTAAATTGATCCTGCATGTTGATGGTGTTTTCTTTATGGTGGATGTTTTGTTGATGAAGTTTGGTATTTGAATTTTTGATTTGAAGGAAAAAATTTTAGGAAATTAACGTTAAACTTGTAAGATTGTGAGATAATCTGTCAAGGTTAACGAGAGAAATAACTTATCACCAAAAGATCATCATGATGATAACTATTAGTAAGAAGTGATGAAGAAAATCAGGATTTTGTTTAGCACCAAAGGAATTGAGAAAAGTGTGTATGTGTAAAGAGTTGCTTTGAGTGTAGTTGGTGTGTAGTTACAATGACCTGAAGATGATACAAGTGATGATCAAGGATGATGAAGATGATTGTAATAAGATGATGGGAAAAGTGATTGAGTATAGTTACATGAATAGATAAACTAAAAGAATTGATATCTATAACATTGTAATTTATATTAAAGAGGAAGGGGGTGGGGTGAAAGAGGAGAAAAAGTGAGAAGATGCTAGTGGTGAGAACAGGAATTTAGAATTAAACTAATACATTTAAATTCTAATGGAAAAAATTAAGCTGATTGAACACCAGAAACGGGAGTTTTGTACATTCTATTAATCTCATTAATGTAACGTTCTTGGATATTTTTCCGACGAATCTTCATCGCTGCAGTTACCAGGCCACTGTCAGGTGTCCACTCGTCGTCAACGAGTAAGATTTTAGCAGGTCTTTCGGTTCGATTCAATTTAACTTGTGCTGCTCGATCAGTAAGCACTTTTTTAACCACTTCCAGCATAACTGGATCTTTACAGAGTTGTGAATGACTTAGATGCTCCTTGTTAAGTGTTTTTGCTAAATTGCGAAGACCCTTTTCGTTTGGAACAACAATTGCTATCAAATAATCGTGATAAGAATCACCATAGACGCAAATATTATCAACAATTGAACAAATTTTCAATTCCGTTTCAACCTAGAAAGAGACAACAAGGAAGAAAAACAAAAAAAATATAAGCAACTCAATAAACAAAAAAATCCATTAGTAATTAAAGTGTAAAATTGTAACAATGAAAATTTCCGTTCATTGATTGTGCATGTAAATTTCATGACTTGATTGCAAAGAGATACTTGATAACCACTTGTTAATCAAGTAAACATGTAGTTTGACCTGGAAATTTTTGGCAAGACTAATTAATCATCTTCTATTTGTATAAATCTAACAGATAAACATTTTCTTTATGTACTTTAGACTTGAGACAAAAAGACAAATAAGACATTTGTAAAGATCGAAAGAGAGTGAGTGAGAGAGAGAGAAAGAACTTACCTTTCCAAGTGAAATATATTCTCCATATTGAAGTTTAACCAAATCTTTTTTACGGTCGATTAATTTGATTGTTCCATCAGGATAAATTTCTCCAATATCACCTGTGTAAAACCACCTTTTTCCATCTTCCACTTTGTAAAATTCTTCCGTCATTGTCGGATTCTTAAAATAACCTGCGGTCACACAATCACCGCCGATGATGACTTCACCTCGTGGATTTGGTTTGTCTCGAGGATGATAATTACCTATTTACATAGTGAATACAATAAAAACAGCATGAGTCATTTTGATTTGAATTAAAAATAATCACAAGTGCATAGTTATTTTAAGCTTCGAGGTTGTTAAGTCAACATATAATACGTGACAAAGATAATTATTGAAATTAATTGTTGTTTTTACCTTCTTCCCAATCAGATAACTTGATCGAAAGTCCATAAAGAGGAGGACCCGCTCGACCTACACTGAAATCGTCGAAATCCATGATGGTACCACCTGCTGCAGTTTCCGTCAATCCATATCCGGCGATGAGAATCACATTCAAAGTATTTCTGATGAAATCAAAAGTATCGGGAGCAAGAGGAGCACTTCCAACTACCATGTATTGAATTTTACCACCGAGCATGGCCTTAATTTTGTTGAAGATGATTTTGTTTAGAAGAGGAGTTTGGAATCCATTTTTAACCCAATATTGTTTGTACTCAAGGGCAAATCGGAAGAGTCCCTTCATAAAAGGCCCTTGGGCATCGATGTTCTCAGTGACGGCTTTTTTGATACGATCCAAAACTAATGGAACTGCGGCCATGACAGTTGGTTGAAGGACTGGTGCATCTCCTTTGCAGCCTTTTTTAACAGCAGTTGATTTATCGGTCATGGTGTGTGGAGATGAATAACCGATTGGAATACCCACTGAAATGAAGAAACTTTCAGCAGCTAATTCAAGAACATGAGCCAATGGAAGGTAGGCCATGTAGATATTCTCGGTGGTCATTCCATGTGCAACAGCATAGAAACCTTTCATGGTTCCAAGAATATTTTTATGTGTGATGATAACACCTTTAGGGATACCTGTTGATCCTGATGTGTACATGATGACGGCTTGATCATCACTTTTTCTGGGTTCAAATTGAATGTTTTGTTTAGTTGACGATCCATTCATTTCCACTTGGGTCATCGAGATCAACTCAATTGATCCAAAACCACTAAGATCTGGTTTCTTGACACCTTCGATGTAGATGATTTTCTTAAGATGAGGCAGTTTATTCACGATAGATTTGATTTTTGGTAGAAGATCATGAGTTGTGATTAAATGTGAAACTTCAGTCTCGTTGATTCCATGCACTAGAGCCTCGAATCCAAGAGTGGCATACAAGGTGGCAATGCTTGCACCGAGTCTAAATGCTGCCATTGCACTGACAAACCATTCTAACCTTGTCTCGGCAAAGATCATCACTGGCTCACCAGGTTTAAGGCCACTCAAGAATAAACCACGAGCAACATCATTGATTCTTTGATTAACTTCATTATATGTGAACCATTTGAAATCTCCTTGAATCAATTTTCTAAAAGTTCTTCCATCAGGTTGTTTCTCATCTTCTTCACCGAAAGTCTCACGATAACCAAGACACTTACGATCTCCATATTTTTCACATGTTTTCACAAATAAAGAATCAATGGTTTCAGCATGTAACATATCATGATCGGGAGGAGATTCAACTCTTTTCCATTCTAAAAAGCAAATTTAAGGTCACAATTTTATCAATTAGAAAATAAAAAACAAAGTCTTATGATGTTGCATGCAAATATAATCATTATAAAAAAAAGCTGATCATTAAAGAGAGAGAGAGGCTTATTGAGTCTCGAATTATTGTTTAGAAAATTTCTAATTGCATGTTAGTAATTATAGAGAATTAAAAATTTGAAAATTAAATTGTCATTACCTGAATAACAATTATCATCTTTAACTGGTTTGGCTCTCGTTTTGTTTTTGGATTGACTTCGTTGCCAAGGTTGTTGGGCAACAGTATAAATGGGAAGAGTCATCAAATCGTAGGCACAAACCACTGTTTTAATCATGCCCAAGGCAATTGATACACCAAGAGAATCAGTCATATTAGAATTAGACATGATGAAATTAATCTGGAAAATGAAATTATCAGTATGTTCAAAAGTTCATAAAGGTGACTGATTTAAAGTCAAGTATATAGACACGGTTGATCCAACAAGAAATAAACGACCTGTTGGAGGGAGAGAAAAAGAGATAAAGACAATTAATTGTTATTCTTTATGTCATCCAAATGGTTAACTATAATAATAAAGTAAACAATCAAGTTACAGAAAATGAAAGAGAAAAAAAATTTAACCTTCAAAGCGAAAAAAAAATAAGAATAAAAATGAAATCACTAAATAAAATTGCAGAGTTAAAGTAAATGGTGGTAATTGCTGCTTGTTTATGATGTTTCAAGCAATTTACAAGGTGATATTCAAGACAATTAAATGTTTATATACACAAGTGAATAAGATGGAGATGAAGGAGTTAACAAAGAATTGATGGAGAAAAAAAAAGAGACCAAAAAAATATGAAGTAAAGAGAAAAGAGAAAAATATAAACAAGATAAACAAAAACTCACCTAACAAAAAATGATGGCGATTTGGATCCAGAGAAGATGAAGAAAAGCAAGAAGAAAAACCAGAAAGAGAGAGAAAGACTGAGAAAGAAAAGATAGAGAAGAGAAACAATTTACTTAATGGTGTTGATTAATTACACTTTAGAAATTGTGATGACAAGAATTAAAAATCAAATGAGTTTGAAATATGAATGAATGAAGAGAGAGAAAAAAAAACAGCCACCAAAAGGATCACCAGTTTATGGGGAAGTCGAAGGGAAAAAACAGGTCACATGATCGAATTTCTCCGAAAGAGTAAATAGAATCTCTTTCATTTCTCTTTCTTTTTGTTTTGTTTTTCTTTCTTTTTTCGGTTGCCCTTGGTAACCGAATTGAGGGAAATTCGAATTTTCTCTCATTTTGTTGATTATTTTTCTTTCTCTCATAACAATAGATGGAACCTGTTACTTGGAGGAGAATCAATTTTTTCTCTTTTTTTTCTCTCTCTCTCATTTCGATTTTTGTATCGAATTTTTTTTCTCTTCTATTCAGTTTTCTCTCTCTTTCACTCTACTATGTGGAGATACTCATGGTTGCTCATACTGTTTGTTACAAAGTGAATTAACTCAAACCGGGTACCCGTTTTTATTAGAAAATCCCATTAATTGTTGATTATCTTGTTTTCTCATTGTTGATTTTTGTGACAACTAAAAAAAGAGTAAAAATTTCAATAATTTTACATCATCATTTTATCATCATTTGGTTGTTTTTTTCCTCAAATTTTTTTTTGTTTCTCATCCTTTGGATTTATCTCTCCATCATCGTTTTCTTGTTGTAATCTCTCAAGGGGAAGAAAAAGTGATTTTCTCCTGTTCTTGTTTCTTTCATTTTCTCCATCCATTGGATTAATTATTATTTTTTTTTTATTCTATTCTATTCTGTTGATGTTTTTCTATTCTTCACTTTTTTTTCTTCCTAGCAACTAGTTTTGTTTCTGTCTGTTTTGGGAAATAAACTGGTTACTTGGTTGTGGTTGCTAGCAACTAAACGTTGAGAGCATCATCTATGTGTTTTGTTGATTATTTCATTTTGGGTTGGTGAAGATTGACATGTCATCAGTAGGCCTGGATTATGCCGATATACCCCAACAACCGTTGTTTCGGCCTTTTACCAGGGAATCTTTGGCTGCCGTTGAAGCTCGTCAAGCGGAAAAGCTTCAAAAAGAGAAAGAGGAGAAAATCGCTGAGATGGATGAGCTTTATGTACCACACCGTGAGGAAGAAGAGCTTCATCCCGATGAGACATTGGAAGCAGGTAAAATGCTTCCGAAACCATTGGAACGAGGCTTCCCTCCAGATCTTATTGGTACCCCAATAGAAGATTTTGACAAATATTATGAAAAAGTTGGAATTCCGGTGAGTTACTATCATTCAATTTCCGTTTTCATTTTCCATCCCATTCTCCCAATCAATCAATCAAATATTCATATTCCACTTTCAACCATAACAAAAAAGTGAAAGTGAGTGAAAGAGATTATAATTTACTGTTATTCGCCATCTAAACTGTTCATAAAAAATGTTGAATTCTTATTATTATCAAGGTTACATGAATTCATGTATCCTCATCATCATAGCAATCAAATCATTTTTCCATAGGATTAATTCTTGATTGATTCAATTAACTCTATCATTTACCCAATCAACAATCATTATCTTTTCGTTATTGATTTGAGAAACATGTCATTCATTTATTGAATGTCCACTAATCCGATAACTTAAAAACAATAAATTTAACCCTATCAGCCAAATATCATCTGCAGTTGACTGTTGAAATCAACTAAATGATTAAACAGTAAATTTAACATAATTAGTAAACATTAATCAGTCCCCATGCCAGTCAAATACAACATTCATTGAACTGAAAACCTTTTGCAATTGACAATTAACCAATCATTATCTTTAACCAACTCTCAATGTTGTTGTTTCTTTTGTTTCATCTTCATCCTTTTGGATCATCATGATATAATTACCATCATCATCATGTTCCCTTTTCATCATCTCTCAGACCTTTGTTGTTGTAAGCAAAGGGAAAGATATCTTCCGTTTTAGCGCAACCAAAGCCTTGTTCATCCTTAGCCCGTTCAACCCGATCCGTCGAGTTGCCATTTTTATGCTTGTCCATCCTTGGTTCAGCTTTCTTGTTATCGTTACAATCCTCGTTAATTGTATTCTAATGACTATGCAGTCAAGTGAAATCGAACGAACAGAGTAAGTAATAAATAAAAGAGAATAGAATATAAAAACAAAAAAAAGAACAATCTTGACCAAACCAATCAATCAATTTCTTTTGTTCTTTCTTCCATTGATCGATTGTAATGGTCAACAGTTATTCAATTGTTAACTCATATTTTTTTTGTCTACTTTCTCCTCATTTTTCAAATCAGAATCATTTTCACAACAATTTACACTTTCGAATCTTGTTTAAAAGTGACTGCCCGAGGCTTAATACTTACAAACTTCACATATCTACGGGACCCATGGAATTGGCTTGATTTTGTCGTTATTGCCTTAGCCTATTTAACCATGTTATTTGAAGATTTAGGTAATCTAAGCGCCCTTCGTACTTTCAGGGTTTTACGAGCTTTGAAAACAGTTGCTGTTGTTCCAGGTAAATATAAAGTTGAACATTTCGATTCTCTTTTGAATTACGAAAAAAAAAAAAATCTTACTTTCCATCCATAATTGACCAGTTAAATGTACATTCTAAACTAGAATTGTTTATTGTTAAAACGGTTGACAATCTTAAATTGGAATACATGATAAACGATCGATAGATTTGTCCAATACCTGGATAATATAAATTAGCTTAACACATTAATGATAAGCCAAAGTAAAAATTAGATAAATGATAATTTTATATTCTATCATTGATTTATCATTTACAATGATTATCATTAAATATTCATGGGAAAGGTTTTCTAATGTAGAACGAAATTGAAAACATAAATAGAAAATATCAAATACTCACTTTCGATAATATTATTTTCCTACCAATTCAATTATTCCAAGGTTTTGTATAATTATATCATTCACATTGAATAAATCATTTTTGTAGAAAATGATTTACAACATTCAATTGAAACAATCATCATGTTTAAACGATAAAATTAACACTTTTCTCCAATTCTTTTTTCTCCTTAATTGTTGTGATTTTGTAGGTTTAAAGACAATTGTTGGTGCATTAATTGAAGCAGCAAAAAACCTGAAAGATGTTACAATTTTAACGTGTTTTTCACTTTCTGTTTTCGCCTTATTGGGACTTCAAATTTACATGGGAGCTCTTACACAGAAATGTATCCTCCATGGACCAAGAAACATGACCACCGAGGAATGGTTCGATTGGTGTAATGATAGAACCCACTGGTTAAATACTTCTGATGGAGATCCTATTCTTTGTAGTAACACCTCTGGTGCTACGTAAGTATATCAACATTGATTATCTCTCTCTCTCTCTTTCTAACCATTCAATGTAATCTAATAATCAGTAATGTGTTAATGCTAATCAAGATTACACAGTGTACAATTTATGTTAATCAAATGATTTAGTCAATAGAAAAACGTAAGCAAAGTCTATTAATAATACATTTTAACAATTTAGTTTGATTTTTTTTTCTCCTTTAAGTGTTTACTTTAGCTTTTTATGATTTCATTTACAATGATAAACATAGGTAATCATGGTAATCACACAATTGATTTACTATTACATTATTATCGTTGTTGATTATAATCTAATTTACTATTAGATCTTTAAATTGGTCTTATGCAGTGTATTGAGTAAATTGATTGAAGATAGAAAAATAGTATTCCATTAGTAATTAATCTTTCTACTTGATTGTTAATATTTTCTAATTATTTTCATTATTGAGTTTTCTATTTTAATTGTTTGTTTATTCTCATCTCATCTTATCTGATAAAATTAAATTATCCCTTATTCCATAGGCTTTGTAACTCTACAATGAGTACTTGTATCCAAGGATTTGGACCTAATCCCAATTACGGGTACACTAATTATGATACTTTTCCATGGGCTTTACTTTCTGCCTTTCGTCTATTAACTCAAGACTATTGGGAATCATTGTATCAAATGATCCTACGAACAACAAGTCCTTGGCACATAATCTACTTTATTGGAGCCATTTTTTTGGGCTCAATTTACCTGGTTAACCTTATTTTGGCTATTGTTGCCATGTCCTATGATGAATTGCAGAAGAAACTTGTCGATGAAGATTTGGCTGCTGCAGCGGAAGAAGCTGCTTACCAGGATACTCTTCGTCAAGCTGATGTAGATGATGGAAGAGGAGGCGGAGGTGGTGGTACAACCTCCATGGCAATGGGAGGTGGAATAGGTATGAGTGGTCCAATCTCTGGTAATCAATTATCTCACCCATCGCCTCTACAAAATTACAACAATTCAATACCACCTCATCTGATAGGATCTTTAGTGAATCGTAGGGAATCTGATGCACCACCAAGTCCATCGGTTTATTCAGATTATGATGATAAAATAGTTGACGAAAAGGATAGAGTTTCACTGAAAAGTAATGAAGAGGATAATCCAAACTACGATTTTAACGCTGGACGGATTAATGGAAATGTTCGCAAGGTATGTACTTATATTATCACTTTTCAATAATATTAATATATTAATTTACTAATTAATTACTATTATAGATTCTAATAATTGATTATTTTGTAACTTTTTCACTTCAAAAATCACAATCAGATGAAACATTATGTGAACAGGCACAATATTAGATTTAATCTCTCGTCTAGTAGCATTGATAATTGTGATTTCTAATTGATTAAGTGAAAATAATCATTTACAATTTTTAATTCTAGTTTTTTTTGGCTTTTTGAAACAATGATTGATGGCACTAATTGTTTCGCTTAATCAATCGGAGAAGCTTATTGTGAATTTGCTGCTAGTTAATTACAAGTTATTAGTTAATTTAAATGCTTTGTGGCGATCTAAAAAGTTGTTCCAATTGTGGTGTTAATTGAAATCCCATTGGCACAATTTCCGTGGTTGCTTTTAGGCCTAATTATTTTAATTATCTTTATTACTATATAATAATCAACAATTTAATACCTAAGGATACTTAAGATTATGTCTTAATCAACACAACTCAATCTTTGAAATTAAGGTAATGATTCAAATTTTGTCTAAATTATTTACTCCAACCCTCATAATCATTGATGAATTCATTTAAAAATTGATGAAAAGTATTTCACAATTAAATGCTATTAGAATGATAATTTCAGCATCAATTTAACTTTCCCAATGTCCAATTTAATTTATCAAATTTCGCCCATCAATTTGCCTTGAATATTCATGAACATTTAAAATGAATGTAATGATAACTTTGATTATCATTATAATCATAATCATCTCTCTTTCTCCGCAAATCATTATCATTTGTAAAATCGATTTTGTCTTTTTCATTTTCTCTTCTTCCATTCACCATTTTTTTCGCGTTTCATCTTCTTCCTCCTTCTCGTCATCTTCATCTTCATCTTGCAACATCACAATCTCAATAATGATCTTTTCACTCCCAATCCCTCACTCTCAGCATCAATTGTAATTAATCACAATTCTTACCCAATAATCTCAATCCACCTTCTAACACACAATAATAAATCCCATCTCTCTCTCTCTCTCTCTCTCTCTCTCTCTGGCTCTAATAACAACATGTTGACCTCTTAAACTGACCCTTTGTGCCACCATAACAATGTTATATGTGTATCACAATGGATTGATTATTTATTATGATAGTTGAACCAATTTTCCAATCCTGTTGATATTGAATTATAAATCATATAACAAAACTAGAAAAGTGAAACCAAAATATTTACAGAGGAAAATGTTGCCTTCTCAAAGATATTATTTGTATTTATAAGATCCAAATAATATATATTTTATGAACACAGAGGGAAGAGGAGAAGAAGAAAAAAATAACATAATAGAAAAAAAAAATTCTTTTCTATTTATCTTCCAACTGGGTTACTATTAATATAAAATGATTGTTGTTACTCTTGTCAAATAGTTAACTTCCCTATTGTTAATAGTGTTATCATCATCATTATCATCATCATCCTTTTTTCAACCTCCTCTCATCATCCCACCCTAATCATCCTCATCTCTCGATTCTCATTCATTTCTTATGTTTGTTTTTCTATTTTTTTTTTCTATCAAATCTTTTCACCCAAAGTATAATCTCTGGTTCATGATGATGATGATGATGATGATCTTCATCGCAATCATTATCATTATGATTGTAGATTTTTTTATTGTTACTCCAAGTGAACTTTTTCTTTACCTCATCTTCATGGAAGAAGAAGAAAAAAATATCATCAATCTGTTCCCTTTTTGGTTTTCTATTCCAATTCATGATAATTCAGATTTTTTCTCCACCATTCTCCTCATTCTGGTTCTCAGTTTACTTTTGATAATATTATTGTAATCAATTCAATTGAGTTGAACAATTACAATTACCACACTGAGTGAGACTGATTATAATCAAGTCCATTGTAATCATATTATTTAAATGTTAATATGATTACAGAAAATGTGTTAATAAAACCAATTGTAATTTTATCGCTTTTTGTATTAATCATTTTCATTCATTGTTACTCAGTTAATCCAGTTAATCAGTTATTTGATTTTCTTTTTTTTTCATCACCATAATTAATGATTAACAATAACCTGTAAACAATATAATGTATCAATTATTATCCTTTCATGTTTAACAATTTTATTAATTGTTTAGGTTAACTTTTCTGTTAAATATCTAAGTGAACCATTATCATTCAATTATTCAGTTCATTAATAATATCAAGACTTAGATAATTGAGATAGTTAATTAACACAATTAAAAGTTACTCCCTGTTAGTTTTAAGCCTTTTTTTGAAGCTAAAGAAATGATTAACTAATCATCTTGCTATTAATCAGTAGTAATCATCTAATTGATATTAAATTACTTTTCTACTTGACTAATGAAACAATTAACTTTAACTTTATTATACTAATTTTAACTTTAAATCTTAATTGTCCTCATAAATTTACATTTAAGTTAAAATTGGAAATTGTGGTAAACCAACTAACTATTAAATGAATCTTAATTAAACTACTTTATATGATAATACATTTAAATTGTTAAGACTTGATTAACCTTGAATTATTAATAATATAAACCCAATTGTACAGGTAATTAAATCAATTCTCATAAAACAATTAACATTCAGGTTATGATCTGGTAAACCATTAAATCCTCAAGACTGTTAATGTTTATTAGATAATCTGTTAACTCTGTAGAAACAAAATAATCCGAGTTAATTGTGACGATTATCAAAATGATTATGATTAAAATATAGATTAAATAATTAGGTCATTTACTGTCTGATAAATTGTTGAATTATCTGAACAATTGAGAGAGTAAAATAATCAGGGAGAAATATTTACATTCAATTCACGAATCACAACCATTACTAATTCACAAAATTAACTCATTTCAATCTCACATTACCAGGGAAGTTAAATCGTTTCCATGGACAATTAGAAAAATTCATAAGTTCTCCCATATTCAAAATTCATTTCATATTGTTCATTATACTTTTTCTCTTCTTCCCGAATTGTAATTTTATCTCGTCGTCATTATAAATGAATCGATACTCATGATAGTAAATTATAACAAACTAAAAAATTTGGTTTCACTTCACAAATGAAAAATTTCATCTTCCCTTTTTCATATTTATCATGTAATGAATATCTGACATTATCATGATTATGTCAACAATCACTGATTTCATTTCAGTTTTTTCTCTTCCCCAATTTTCACTATCATGCAAATTCAGTAAATTATCATGATATCATTGTCTGAATAGAATTCTATCAAATTTTATCATCCAATATCATCGGTTGATCTGTTTACATGAGTAACGATTATTCATCCCTCAGAATGAATTGAATTGCATGTAAACCCCTTTGTCTTCAACTTTTATTTACTTTCCAATTATCTGTTTACATGTTTCACCATAAATTCTGAACGAGATGTAATTTTCAAACGAATAATTTTAAAAATATATTTTCTCATATAAAAATCGTTCATTTCTTCAGAATATTCATATTTTCATCACTCACTCTCTCTCTCTTCTATCCAACTTTCCCACCTACCGTTATCCTCTTTATATTTGTTGTTTTCATGATTATCATCATGCAATCAAATGATCCTAATCTATCAAAATTTCAACTCAACAATTAATCAATTAACCTTAATATTAGAATCGTAAGTATCATTATTGCCTAATTTGTTAAACTTTAATTGATTAAGTTAATTTAAATCTTGTTTGCTTATTTCTTATTCATCTATTCATTATTTTTCGCTACTGTTCATCTTTCATTTTAAGTCAAATTATTAGCACCTAATTAACTTGTAATCATAATTAATTACCATCTTCTAATCCATTTTTCTCCTTTCTCTCTCTTTCAATTATCTCTACCACTGTTTTCAAATGAAATTAACTATTATAATCACTGTTGCTATCACTATTTCAATTGAATTTATCCTGCAAATTGCATCCAACTGATACCGCTAATGCTGCTTCTTTGAATGATGATGATAAAAATGATGCCTGATAACTTCATATGCATAAAACTATGTGTTTCCATCTTCATCTACATTCTGTTTATCTTCCGGATTCTATCTCATTCATTCAACTCTTTTCTTTTTTATTTCCTATTTTGATTTTATGATTTTCCTTTTTTCTCCTTCTTCCTCACCAAAAATTGTGTTTCTTTTGTTATTTTCATTTCTTTCTTTCCATTCATCATCACCACCATCATCATCATCATAATTATCGCTGTCGTCCTCATCGTTGTCAATGCCCACAGGCAAGTTTAAGTCTTCCAGGCTCACCTTATAATGTACGTAGAGGGAGTCGGGGAAGTCAATTTAGTGTTTCCTGGGCTCGAAACAGTCGCCGTGTCGGTGATCGTAAACCTCTTGTACTACAAACTTTCCTTGACGCTCAGGAACACCTTCCCTATGCCGATGACAGTGCAGCAGCAACTCCCATGTCAGAGGAAAATGGAGCTATAATAATACCTGTTTATACAAATTTACACTCACGACATTCCAGTTATACTTCCCACTCTTCCCGAATTTCCTATACTTCCCATGGTGATATTTACGGCCGAGGTATTCCCTGGACCAAAGAGTCACAATTACTCACAAGAAGAAACTTACCAGGATTTTTTCAAGAGGTTATCATCTTATCTAATAATATTCATCATCACCACATCATTTCATTTACATTAATATATTTGTTTCTTCCTAATCTTTACGCTTTATCAGCGCCTTTAAGCAAAATCGCCAACGGTGATAAACAAAACCCCCGTTATTTAAAGTTTCATTGATTGATAAGCTTAAATCCTTTACAACTAATTATCTTTTCATTGATTTTACTCTGAGAATCATTAAGATCATTTATATACATATAGTTAATAACCTTGAACTTTTCCTTATTTTTATTATCAATTTTTCTTACCAGTTTGTAAATTAAACAACAATTCATTCAAATTTGCTGGACAGATTCACTAATCTAATTAAACTTTTCTCTAACCCAATAATTAACCAGGATATGTATTCACATGGAGATGATTTTGGAAGTGCATTAATGAAACGTCAACTTGAAAATCCATTCATAGATTCAGGTCAACAACAATTACAACAACAACAACAACAACAACAACCCCAACAAACACAAACACCTCGACACACTGTGGTTGATATTAAAGGTAAATCAATTAATCTAATCAATTTTTCCTTCTCATTGTTTCTCACCATTCTCAGCATATTATCATCATTATTTTTTATTATCTTTCTACTTTATCTTTATTATCTTCATCATCTTCATCCACATCATCATTATTATCATTATATAGATGTGATGGTTCTAAATGACATTATCGATCAAGCTGCTGGACGGCAAAGCAAATCTAGCGAAAGAGGTTTGTTTTCCTTTCTTCTTATTTCTCTCTCTCTCTCTCTCTTTATTTCTCTCCCATTTCTATCGTCCTCATCCTGATCTTTATCTATCATCCTTTTCCCCTTTTATAAGCCTGTTACTTCCTTCCTTCTCACTCATCTTCCTCCTCCTCCATTTTCTACCCCCATCATATATCCATCTCATCTTTTGCTGAGCTTTGATAAACATCCCAGTCAAGTATCTCGAGGAGTTTCCTCTTTCCTCATCAAAAGGAACTCGAGACTTTTTCATCATCATCATTGTCTTTTCTTCTTTTGCATCTCCATCTCCATCTTCATTATCATCATCATCATCATCTTTAGTTTCTTCTCTCTTTTTAACAGCCTGATTGAACACAATGAAAACTCAACTTCCCTTGATGTTTGTGTGTATATTTTTTGTCTTATTCTTTCTCAACTTATCCTCATCCTCTTAGAATCATCTTCCACCTCCCTCTTAGTATCTTTCTCTGTTATTTTTTCTCTCTCTCTCTCTCTCTCTTCGTTGTATCTTTGTTTTGTAAGTTTCTCATCATTCTGAAAAAAAACTCAAACTATTCCTTTAGTAAACTGTTGATGTTGATGGTTATCTTTTTTTTCCTCTACCAACATCATTCAAGTTTAACGAGGATGAATATGTTCAATCATGTTTTCAGAATATTTCAACATCTCCTTTGTAACAATTCAGAAAAGCAAGAACGATATCATCATCCTCTCATTCATAATGATGCTCAATGATCAATGACACACTGGCTTTGTGTCAACAATAGTTGATGCTTTTTTTATTCTTCTCTCTTTCTCTCTCTCTCTCTCTCTTCCTACTTTTCTCCATCAAAATGGTCATCTAATTAACTTCATTAAATATAGTTACGGCATTACTTAAACATGATACAGTTTCTATTTATTATTTTCCTACAGATAAGGAAGATTGTGAGGAAGAGAAACCAAGTTGTAAGCAACAATTTACCACTTCTTGCCTCAAGGCAATTGACATAATGTGTGTATGGGATTGCTGTTGGTGTTGGGTTAGAATTCAAGAATTGTTTGCACTTATTGTATTCGATCCGTTCATGGAATTATTCATTACCCTGTGTATAGTTGTTAATACCCTTTTCATGGCGATGGATCATCATAACATGGACCCAGATTTTGAGGCTGTTCTTAAAACTGGAAATTTGGTGAGTCTCAATATCTTTTTATCAATGAAAACTTTTCTCTCTCTCCTAATTATTAATAGTAAATCACTATCAATATCCTCAATAGATTATTACATTAACTTGTTGAACTATTTTACTATCGATTGATTTATTCTTTCATCTTAATCATTTGATATTTATAATTGTAATTTTCTATCATTCAATTGTGTGTGTGTGTTTCTTTAAAAGCATTTCTCTTGATTTATTATTGTTATTTAACTTTTTGTAGATTCTAATGGTAATCATGTTAATTTAATTTTATCAATTTAAAAAATTGCTCTGATAGTCAACAGAATATCAACTATCGGGGCATGTCTGAGATCGTGATTTAGATCAACGACCTCATCATCATGAATTTCATCCCCTGAACATCACCACAAAAAGATTAATTGTTTTCCATGGGATAAGCTAAAAGATTATCACTTAGAAATTGAATTGGAAACATGATGAACGTTTCGACCTTTTCTCCCACTTTATATCTGTTCACCTTTCTTTCAATTCAATTCACTTTCTCCTTCCATTCATACACAGAATTTATATCTGAACAATGTCTGCAATTGCGTTCGATACATTTTTAATCTTCATATTGTTCAATCGATTGATTCTCTCTCTCTCACTTGCTCTCCCTATTCTTTGAACTATCAGAAGCAACAAAAAACAATTATCGTCTCAATCCACTAATATAAACTATTCATAGATTTAACCATTGACTTGGAAACTACGACGTAAACAAATAACAACGTTGATGTTTATTAAAATACAACAAATAACATTATTAATACTCATACTTTTTAGATAGTAAACTTTGATAACAATTAACTTGATTACTTTTTTATTTCATGCTGTTTGTTGGTTTCCATTTAATGTTTAACGATATTAAATGATTTAGTCCAAATTATAATCAATTTAATCAACAGTAACAAAGAAAACCATTGACATTACCAATTGACTTGAATTGTTTACTGTTTTTATTAACAATCAAAGGGTCTAACTAATGAATCAATTAAAGATAATTAAATAACAACATTAATAGAAGGGAAAATCAAATGCATTAAGATTAAAGTTAAATTCTGTCGAACATTTTTTTTTGTTTATTCTTATTTGAAATTTCAATTCTGAGTCTAAAATCTGATGAACTTTTTTTTTTCTTTTTCTTTTGATTGTTCAGTTTTTCTCAGGTACATTTGCCATCGAAGCCTTCATGAAATTGATTGCAATAAGTCCAAAGTTTTACTTTCGTGAGGGTTGGAACGTGTTCGACTTTATCATTGTTGCCTTGTCCTTATTGGAAATTTTTCTCGAAGGTGTTAGAGGTCTTTCCGTGCTTCGTTCCTTCCGTTTACTGAGAGTTTTCAAGCTCGCCAAATCCTGGCCCACCCTTAATCTTTTAATCACCATTATGGGTAAAACTTTGGGTGACTTGGGTAATTTAACCTTCGTCCTTGCTATTATTGTGTTCATCTTTGCGGTAATGGGAATGCAACTTTTTGGAGCCAATTATTCAAAGAAAGTGTACCTTTTCCCGGACGGAGAGATACCCCGTTGGAATTTCAAGGATTTCATGCACTCCTTCATGATTGTTTTCCGTGTTCTTTGTGGTGAATGGATTGAATCAATGTGGGATTGTATGTTAGTCTGTGGATTTGTTTGTGTTCCCTTTTTCCTGGCCACCGTTATCATTGGTCATCTTGTTATGCTCAACCTTTTCCTTGCCCTGCTTTTGTCCTCTTTTGGTGCGTCAAACCTTTCATCGCCCACCTCAGAATCAGCGGATACCAAAAAGCTACAGGAAGCCTTTGATCGTTTCGGTAGAGCTCAGAAATGGCTTAAAAATCGCATTCTCACCGGCCTTAAACAACTTCGTAGCAAAACACGTAATCAAATTCGTGATACATCAAGAGGAGGAGCAGCAACGATTGGCCCAGGAGGTATAATTGGTGCTCCTGGGCTAATTGGACCTGGAGGAACCCTAACACTGGGAGGTGGTTTAACAAGTCGCTCACTAGTTCTTGGTAATCTTGGAAGTGGAATGGATAATATCCTGGAAGATGGAGATATTATCATGATGGATGGACTCAACGCAACAGATTTACTCAAGGATAAAAAACTTCTCGCCGCAGCAGCAGCGGCTTATGGTGAAACCGTCATTGGTCCTGATGGCCTGGAGTACTCCTTACCTGGAGGTGGTAAGATTACATTTAAAAATTCAGCCAATTCTATACTCAATTCAATGAAATTATCTCAAGCAGTTAAAGATCTAACCACCGGTGATAAGCTGATTTTAACAGAATCAGAGTTAATTGATAAATTATCTCCGTCCGTACCCAATAATCATTCAGATGAACGGTTTCATGGTGATATTCCCGCCGTTAATAATAATAACAACAACATCTCGCTCAACAATAACAACTTAAATAATGTTAATAATCAAAACAGTTTAATAGTTAGTGCTAATATTAATAATACCAATCATAATAAAGTTAAACCGTCCTTAAATGATCCCAATGGTAATTCCCAATTCCCATTGACTGATCATAATCATCATCATCATGTTAATTATTCAACAAACACCATCAACAACTCACGTTCAAATGAACCTAATAACGATTCGTCAGCTCAACAGTCATCTTCATTATCAGTGACTCCGTCTCATCATATTAATCATCAACAATTTTCATCATCAACACAACCAACTGCTCATCATCATCATCATCAATTGTCCAAGGTTCACCCAGCTGGATATCCGGTTCCCATTTCATTTCAACATTCAAACTCATCTCTTAATCAGCCCTCCGGATTAACAACAACAACCAACACCAACACTACCCCACCTTTGATTTTACAACAACAACAATTATTACAATTACAATTATTACAACAACAACTTATTAGACAACAATTACTTCAACAGCAACAATATCCACTGGGAGAGGATGTGATGGGTGAAGAAATGAATGCCAATAAGATGATCCATGTAACAGCTGATGTAAATATCAATGATCATCCAGCTGATTGTTTACCTGAGTATTGGTACCATAGATTCCCATGTTGCCTGGAGGAAACATCATTCTGGGTTAAATGGGGAGAGATTAGATCAAAGTGTTATAAACTTGTTGAGGATAAATATTTTGAAACTCTGGTAATCACCTTAATCCTGATAAGTTCAATGACCCTGGTAAGTTAATCCTCTTTTATAATCTGATAATCTGATAATCTGAAAAGTGTAAGATATTAATATCTCCTATTAGTAAATATCATTGATATTTTTCATCTTCAATTGGATTATAAAACTATTGTAATGATTTTGAATGAACCAAAATTTCATTGATAAAATTATTATCATCTCATTTTTCTCAATCAGATTAAATTACATAAGTTATTAATTGTGATTGTAATTGTACTTTTGGGTACAATTGAAACTTAATCATTGTTACAATTATATTTAATTAGTATCACTCCTCTTTTATTATTAATTCAGTTGGTAGCAAATTTTGTTGTTATTATCACAACAATACACTAAACCAAACAGCAATTAATCAGATCAATTGTTGGAAGCCAAGAATTAAGTTGTAATAGTTTTGATATTTCAATTTGATTATTACATTTCCATCATGAAAAGACTCAGTTTAAAACGATAAATCATCTACTCACTGAGTATCATGTTGGAACTTTTTTTTCACCCAATTGAAAATAAGAGTAAAAAAAAATAGTCAAACAGAAAAAAATGATAACAATGTTTATAAATTATTGTAACATTTTCTCAAAGCATTTAAATGATTAATCATTTAAACAATTAATCAGTTGGATAAATTATTTACTCTCAGATTATTAAGCTTAATTTGATTAGCTAATTAGCCAAACTGATTAAATTATTGTTCTGAATATATTACATATTTTTGCCTCTTCTTCAATTCAAAATTCATTCAATAAATAAAATGAACAGAAAACTAAACTTGTTGAGAGAAACAAATTCTCAAAAATACAATTCCCAATGAAATGATTAATTGTTTACAACAATTAATCAATCATAAACTCTGTCGGTTTATCCATGTAGTGGATATCACCATGAACATTGAATACAATTGATAGAAAGTTATTCAACCATTGAAATATATATTCGGTAGTATTGTGAGCGATACATTTTATATATACTATGTGACAATGTGCCAATTACAAGTGTAACTACTGGTGTGACCATGTAAATATATCATGTTGTTTGTGTGTGTGTGTGTTTGTGTGTTGAGTAGTTGATTCCTTAGTTGATAATATTCTGATAGAGTTCAGGGAGAGATACGAAGAAAGAACAAAAAAAATGAACAAGGAAATTTGAGTTTGGAAATGATATTTTCACGGTCTTTTCAGGGAACATCAATTTCGTATCTTATTATTATTACAAGGAAAATATATCAACAATGATAACAGAATAGAAAAAAAAAGTTGACACTTACAGTTCAGTTACTTTTTATACTTTGTATGAATTTACTGAATGAATGTATTCATGTTAAGAAAGATGAGAAGAGAATTGAGAAAGAAGAAGATGAAAATGATGATAAAAAGATGACAAACTTGAATTTAGAGTAAAAAACCATTACATTATCTTCCATATCATGTAACCTACATTTCTTTATAAATAATTTTCTCATCTTCATCTTTCTCAATGGAATCTTTTTCTTTCAAATTTTCTCAATGGAAAAACATAACATTTATTAAAATGAATAAATTTAATCAAAGATTATTTCGTTGGTCATTAGTTGATTTTTGTTTATTTAGTTGAATGCCAATTGCTCATCTTGATTGTTACTACAAGAAATTTATCAATTTCTCATTAATTGTAAATATTTTGGCTAATTTATTTATTCCTTGAGTAGAAATTTTCTTTTTTATCTTTCATGATGATGATGATATTTATATCTTAAAGTAGTGAATAGTATTTGTAGCATTCTGATTTTCTATGAATTGAGTTGAAATGAGGAGAAGGACATTGCAGAAAATCATTAAGATGTGTTTTCTACCCACAAGAAAGATATTGACTTTCACTTAGCTTTCAATAGAATAAAATGAAAAGAAGAAGGAAAAAGTTCAATGATGGAATCAATCTTCTTATCTCCATCTTCTTCCTTCTCATCCTCTTTATCCATCCTCTCTCTTTCTTTCTTTCTTTCTCTCTCTCTCCAGCTTTCTTTTCTTCCGTTTATTGTTCCCAAAGGGAATGTTTTTTGGTATATTGAGATTGAGCAAAGATTATCACGATTACCAATGATGCTGTTGCTTGAAGTTGATATAAACATAACATATAATATTATCATTACTACATGTTCCCTTCAATGTTACTCGGTAATCTGATCAAACTGGCCCAGAATTGATTCTATAAGAGGTTAACAGACAATATATATACTTTGATTCAATTTGATTTTAGTTTCAATAGGAGAGAGAGAAAGTATTTTGTAAGGAAGAGGAGGATTCATGGGAGATGGGTTTTCTTGAAGATGATGGAGATATAAACAAAATTGAATAAGGAAACAAAGATGAAACAATCATTCTCATGATGATAAAATGTGATTATATGATTTAACAATAATTTGCTTACCAAATTATTTTACTAACTACCAATGAATTTACATTGTGTTATTTCAAAGCAAAAAAAAACTTGATAATATTGATCAGTTGAGGAAACTTCAATTTTTAGCTGTTTTCATTTTTCTAATTGTTTTAAATTGATTCAATGATTTTGCATATTAATCGTTTCATTTAGCTGTGATTTCATGAAACTTATCTGTATTTCATGTTAGTTTTCAGAATTCCCTGAATCTCTGTATTGACATATTCATATGTGTATTTAACATTGCCTTGTAATTTTATATTCTAAGTATGGTCAACGATTTGTTTGCTTTCGGTTATTTTTGATTGTTACTACCAAAGCTTGAAAAGTATTACTTATTAGGGTCAGTTTGGGAATCGATTATTGTTTTGATTCAAGTTTCGGTTGAAAAGTTATCGAGTTGAAAGCAAAGGGTCAAGCAAAGAGAGAGAGAGAGAGAGAGTAATCTGATTCTGAGCTTTGAAATATTGTGTGAATTTGGTGATTCTTTTTTTCTGGTTGTCTTTTTCATCAATGTTACATCATTCTGATGATGATCATCATTGTAACCAGTTTAATACTGATAATTTGAGGTCAAATCTTTAGTTTTTCTTCCTGTTGTTGATATTGTTATCTTTGGTTATCTCTTAGTGTTTCTTTGATCTCCACCCTTAAAATATATAAAGATTGTCATTCTTTCTGTCTTATAAGAGGAAGAACAAGAAGAGGAGAAAAAACGTTCTCAAGTAAAAAGGAAGATTATAAGAGAGACACTCCTCAGAATTTGAACATGAAGAGCATGAGGATCATGAGATGATAATCATGATGATGATAATGATGAGAGAAAGAGAAAGAGTAAGATGGTTTGGGATGATTGGTTTCACTCGGAGAACCTTAAGTCTCTCTTTCTCTGTTCTCTATCCTCCTCTCTCTCTCTCTCTCTCTCTCTCTCTCTCTCTCTCTCTCTCTCTCTCTCACTCCATGAATGATTTTGAACCCTCTAGGGCCTCACTTGACATGAACTGTGCATGTCTATCAACATTTATCTCTAATGATCTTGCCCATTCATTGATCTTTAAGACAAGTTTTCTTAACCTTATTCAATCTAAAAGAAATGGAGAAGATGAACAAGAAGAAGATAAAAAGATGATGAACAAGGATAAATGAGAAAGAGGAATAAGATGATAAGAAAGTCAGAATTTCTTCCTATTCTTCAATATTATCCTTCCATGTTTATCTGTTTATCTCTGTCTTCTCTAGTCAATAGATAATACATCTTTTTGCTTACTGTTCAATATTATTTAATTCTCCCTTTATTTGTCTCTCTCTCTCTCTCTCTCATCTTATTCCATATCTTATCTATTTTTCTTGCAAAGATGAAGTTCTCCAACATCCATTGATAACTTTTTTCCTTCTCTATCATTCATGGATAAACTTTCCCGTTCATATATATTATCATTATTATTTTTATCTCATTTCGAAAATAATTTTTTTTTCACTCCCTGAATCTCATCATCATTATTATGATGATAATCATCATCATCAGTGATCTTCTCATCGATCACAATCGATTATCAACTTGGTTACTCTGTCTAATTGTAAATAGACAGAGTTCACAACAATATTCTAGTAAAATATATATTCCATTTCCAATTTGGATATGTAATAATAACAATCCCCATTAAAGAAAGGAAGAATGAAAGAAAGACAAAATAATCAGCTGATGCAATTGAGATTCTATTCACATCTTACTCCCAATATTTATACTCATATTCAAAATTTCACCATGAAAAAGAAACAGAAAAATTTGTATATAAATATATTGTATTAAGAGAAAAGGAAAAAAAAAATAATCAAGTTGACATGGAATTGACCTACAATTTGCTCTGGTCAATTGACAGTTCGAAAAGTCGACATGTACAAAATTCAGCAAAGTAAATCTAATCGATATTGTTTATTTGGACATTATCAAAAGTAATTACTGAACCTTTTCCTTTCTCTCATCAATATATTCCCCTGAACGATTCTCATGGATAAACAAAGTGAATACCATGTTACTGGGAGAGAGAAAGAGAGAGAGAGAGAAAAACCTGAATATAATGATCACCGTGAATACAAAATAATGATGGAAAACAATAAATATAATCTAAATAGATGAACATGAATATGAATATATTATAATTCCTATCAAAGAGGATATGATATTTTTCATTCTAAAATGATCCTCATGGTTTCAAAGTCTATCTATGATTATACTCACTCTCACAACAAATACACTTTCCACTCAACTCAATTTATTTGATCTTCTTTTTCATCATCATCTCCATACTTCCTACTATCAACTTATTGTTGTTGTTGTTGTTGTTGTTATATATACTTATTCACATTATATCGATCGCCAAGTCCACTTTATAACATTCATCTGATAACAATGCATACCCTTGGATGATGATAAAATAATATCATCATCACAATATACACAATACGTATATAAATACATATAATATATTGAGCACACAGAAAGTTTGGTAACTCGGTCAACCAGGATTGTGTAACCCATGAAAAGTAAATGTATTATTATAATTGAGTGAAAATCTATTACTATTTTTTTTTACTATTATTCAATTGCTACTTTCTCAAATCAACTAATCATTACAATTGGAAAAGTTTGATTAATCAATTTCAATCCATATAATAAATAAGTAAGAGAGAAAATAAAAACAATTGTTTCATTATCATTTTCCTATTTATTATCATTACTCTTTGAGCCCATTCTGTATTTAGGATAATATAATAATTGTTACATTTAATTTACTTGAAATGGATATGATGATGATGATGAAGATGAGGAGGAGGAGAAGAAGATGATTATTATTATTGTGCAATGTTCAGTGTATCGTAGCTGAAGATGACCTCTGTCCGTTGAGAGTGACTTTAATCTTGACAGGTATAACTTAATTATATTTAATGGTTTTCCTGTTTTCTTGTTTGTTATACTTGCAATTGACTTGTTCAATTGTTACAATTGTAATAATTGTAATTGTCTAGTTGACTTGAGTTTAATTTAGTTTGCAATGTGTTTTAATGCATTCTCATTGAGGCCAGTTAACTTAGTGACCAAAGGAAAACAATAACTTTTTTTTATATATCGACCAAATCGTTGAAGCTTAGTGAGTGTCCAGTCCTCTTTTTTTGTTAAATAAAAACATGAGAACAACAATATTATAACAATGATTGTGATATTTTGTCCTTCTTTCAATGCTTGACCATTCCGTTTGTTGTTGTGTCCATATGAATGAGAGGGTTGAAAACGGTGGGTGGAGTGGGAGGATCACCAGGGTGAAATTAAATGAATCATTCATTTTTTTTCCTCTGGTCACTCAGTTCGAGTTGAACTTTTTTTTTTGATAGATGAGTTTACTTTCAATAAGAGGTTTGTTATTGTTGTTGTTGCTCTTATTGTTATCATTGTGTGTCCAGTTTATGTTTTCATGGGTCAGCCTCTTTTTTACACTTTTGGTTTTTCGTATCTTCCTTGAACTTTTTTTCTTCTTCTCTTCAATCGAAATGTTCAAATTCGAGATGATGAAAATGTTATTCATCATTTTCTTTCTTCCATAGAAATTCAACTTTCTCTTGTTAGATTGTCAGAATTAATTGTTAATTTCCTATTACAACTAATCAACTTGAAACGATCAATAAGAAAACAGTTTAAAACTTGTAAGTCAATTACGATCAATATTTAATATTGTGATTTAATCGTTACAATCAACATTAATCTTGATCATTTCCTTTCCAATTTAACATTCAACTTTCGTATACACTATTTGTAGTTATATACATTTTTCTTATTCTCTGGTTGAATTTATCATGACCTAATTTCAAGTTTCTCGAGAATCAAAATTTCATTAGACATTTAGAACTTTATTTTTTATTTCTTCACCCACAGTTCGAGGAGATTTGTTCATCTCTTGAAATAACATTGAACTGATTCTAATTACTTATTATGATAATTTATTCAAATTAATTATATTCTAGTGTTAATCAGATTTATTCAAATTTTTCGAGAATCAAATCAATTGTTGATAAGAGACTGAAAATCGACTTGGTCTGTTGATTGATTAAATTAAATTTCTCTTGATTTGATACAATTTGTATTGTTGATAACTTAATAATGATCGGATGAAAACAATGTAATGAAAAGTTGATTATCACAATCATGGTTGAGTTAATTCATGTTTCATTCATATTTATCTAGCAATTATTATCATTCCAATGAAAACGAACTCATTATATGATGAGAGAAAGTTTTTCCAATGTTCGTTTCAAGTTTGGTCAAGAAAAAAAAACTGACCAACAAGTCAACCGTTATTATCATCATTTTATCACTTTACTATTATCATTATTATTTATCCCTCTTGATGATGATTATCATCATTATCATCTTGGACTCACTCGCTTACTCTCTCTCTCTCTCTAAAAATATCCTCTATTAAATTAACTCTTTTTGCTTGGTTGCTTGACAACACAGAATCTATCATGAAGTTATCCCTTTTCCTCATGGTTCTGAATGGTTTCATAATCGTTTCAACACTTCACAATATCATCTTCATCACCTCAGCATCACTTTGTAACAGGCACATCATAATAATCATCATCATCTCTTTCAAATAGACTGAGAAACCATTTTTCATAACCTTCAAGGCAACTATTTCTTAATTGAATCAACAAGCATCACTTAATTGGCTTAGTTTAATATAATTGACATTATCCTTGTCTAATCATCATCACAATATTTCAATAACTTGATAACCTATTATATGAGATGAACGTTAAGATGATCAAACCTGCCAAGAAAATTTAATCTAAATCAACTCTAAATGAATCTACAATCATGTTGATTAACTGAATTAAATGAATCACCAGAACTGATAGAAGTAAATTTCATGGTTGATTATCAACTTTTCATGAATCAAAAACTAAAAGTTATAAACAAAAATTCAAATTCAAGAATCTTAATCAATCATCAATTATATTCACTATTGATCTTAGAATGAAATTAAATTTTATTATAATGGTACAATTATATTGTGATTAACTTTTCTCAAATCAATCGATTAGCTGACATTTAGAAGAGTTAAATTTTCTTTACCATGGATAACAATTAATTGTGATCACAATTAATGTCAAGTACCAATTAATTTCATCAAGGTAACCCTTATATTCAAATACACAAAGTAAATAAATGATTAATCAAATATCCAATTGACTATCAGATAATTTTCATGATAAAAGTAAACATTGATTTCTCAGTATTTCAAGCTATTAATTATATAATTTTCTGTTCAACCATTGGTGTATTAATTACAATTCAATTTCTCACAGGCTTTGGAAGATGTTAATCTAAAGGAACGTCCCTGGTTGGAATACTCATTAAAATATATTGATCAATTTTTCACCATAATATTTACATGGGAAATGCTTCTTAAATGGTTTGCCTATGGGTTCAAGAGTTACTTTTCCAATGCCTGGTGTTGGTTAGATTTTATTATTGTCATGGTAAGATTAATCTTATTCCAATTAACCATAATCCGATAATCAATCATAATCATAATCATCATCATCATCATCATCATCATCATCATAATCACAATCATCTGAACCATTTTTATACATATTGATTCATGATAAGTTGACTTTCTTTACTTTATCCAGGAAATAAGTGAATAAGAAAAACTTGAAAAAGTTCAGTAAAGTTCATGATAATGTTTCGATCAAATTTATTAGTCTAAATTTAATAATAACCTTGTCACCTTAGTAATTAACTTTTTAGAAATCAATTCAATTAGTATTAATTGTTATCACTATTATCATTATCTCAAAGGTTTCTACTCACCATTTCCTCCACCACAACCTCATCCTACCTTCGTCCTCCTCCTCCTCCTCTCTCTCTCTCTCTCTCTCTCCCTCTCCCTCTCTGTTAGTTAAATGTGTAACAATCAATAAGTGGCAAATAAACTGTCATCATCAATACATATCCAACATATTAACATATAGTCAACTTAATCATAATGATAATCCTGATAATTTCAATATTGATTGTATTAATATAAGCAGAAATTAATAGTCAAAAAGCAATAGCATAAAATAATATCTAGTTCAATGAAACAATCAACTATTATAATGATAACTGTTTCCCAATGTTATGGTGTGTATATTGTTGTTGTTGTTGTGTGTCTATGGGTTGATATTGATTTACTTTAATACATTTTTGTATTGTTATTGATTAACCTACTTAAGGTAAAAGGCAGAAAAAAATTTCTCTAGATTTTATTATTTTTTTACCATAGGAAAAAGATAAGGTCAAGTTACCTTTATTTTCAGTTTCATTCATTTACTCATTCATTCATCTCATTCACTCATTCATTCATGAGCAAAAAAAAAACTTCATACATCTCAAGGAAATTCATGTGCAAAATTATTTGAGTAACAATCAATTGAATTATATATAATATGTTATTAATCAAAAATCAATGAATCATTTACCCCTCAGGGTAATACAAATGATTAATTCAATCGTTACTCTTTTTTCATTACTTTTTTTGTTGAACTTTTCATATTGATCATGTTAATTGATTCCAATATCAGGTATCATTGATTAACTTCACTGTTGGCCAATTAGGTTTCTCAAATATTCCTGCCTTCAAAACTATGCGTACTTTAAGAGCCCTGAGGCCACTTCGAGCAATGTCCCGACTGGAAGGGATGAGAGTAAGTGTTGACCTACAATTCAAAACAAAAACACCACAACTGACCACCAATGACCATTAACTAACTAATCATGTTGACGATTAGATTGGTTCAATAAAGCAAAAACAATGAGATCAAGAAACAATCAACTAATTGCTAACATCAATTTAAACCAAAACATTTTATTTTTCTCTGCTTCTAATCCGTTAGCTAGTTAGTTAATTGTAGCTGCAATTTTCTGCCAATTTGAATGTTTCTCTTGCTTTTCTCCTTCCTAATAATAATCTTCAATTCAATTTATTGATTTACCATCTAACATAAATGATCAGCTTAATTGTTATCAACCATTGTTACCATTAAAATTATCCTAATAACTTTAATCTAAACTTTTTTTTCTCACAACAACTAAATCAAAAATCATCCCAACAATTACTAAACTTTAATCTAAATCTTTCAAAAGCATTAAGAGTTTTCTAATCCCAATCTCTAAACAAAAGTAAACAATCAATATCAATCTCGAGGAAAAGGTTACTAATTAAATGAGTGAAAGATGTGAAAAGTTTAAATCAATTTTATAATCGTAAGTTAATTGAGACAATTAACCAAATTTCATCATTCATAATCTCATCTCTCATTTTTCATCACAATTCATCAAATTTTTATGAAAGAAGATTAAGATTTCAAAGCATTTAAAGTAAATAAGAAAAACTTTTCGATTGTATCTCGAATATTATTATACTCCATAGGTCTCATTGTTAAATCTCGGGGCCGAATTCGCTGGTATCGCTCGAATTCAAGCCTTTAAAACTATGCGAACGTTACGAGCTCTTCGTCCATTGCGAGCTATGTCTCGGTCGAAAGGGATGAGGGTATGAACTAAATCTAAACAAATCATCTAAATCTTATTCTAAACACGATTAATAAACAAACTCTAAATCTAATCTAAAACCATTTGTAATCACGTTTCTATGTTAATCTCACTTTGGCTAATCTTTTGTTTCTAATGTAACCTGCAACTCTAATCCCTTGATAGATGATAGATTTTAATCCACCTCCTAATCCACTTATTGTAATACTAACAATTAGATAGCATTTGTGACTGTCTTTCACTGATAACCTTTAGTTAGACTGTGTTTTTGTTGCATGTTACTTGTTTTCTGTCCAAATTGTATTGGTCATCTCGAGACCAATTAGTTAATAGCATTTGTTGAAAGTATATTAATATGTCTATATAATTAGTGATCGATTTGTACAGAGATTGATTGATTAGTTAATTGCAAACTTACAAGTTGGATTACAATTATTTGGAAAATTTTCCAGTTAATTAACCTTTTTTTTTGCACATGTATTATAAATGTTGTATTCAAATTTGATTGTTGTGATTATCTTAATTGCTTCAACTGCAATTATATTTATTCATCTACGATGATTAATAATTGTAGAAATTAATTTCATAATTAATACTCAATCTGTTGATTGGATAAAAGTGATTATTTTGTAATGATAATTGTTGCATGATCATGAAAATAATTAGTTAATGTCATATAATTAATATTCAATCATTAGCTTTGACAATCTAGTCAATCCTGGATTAACTATCGTAATGAAATTAAAAATAAAAACTAATCTAAATCAATCTAACAACTAAACAACAATTAACTAAACTAATAAATTATAACAATTAATATAAAACACTAAAAAATAGTAAGTTTATCAGAAAATAATAAAAACCAAACAGCAATTAAAAGTTTTCAATGAAACAAATCATATGAATCAAATATCAGCCTAATGAAACAAAATGATCAATCAAAATGTCAAAACAATTAAACTATTTGTAAGTTAATTGCATGAGAAGCCAAATTCACTTACCTGTAATCGCACAATTAACTAATTGCTTGCAAAAAGTCATTCGCAACCACCGAGAAAGTTGCAAACCACAATACAATGTGCATGTAAATTAATCCTTCCTGACAAAACTCTTACAAATCAATTGATAATAATGATACTAATCTTAATCTCATTATAATCCAAACACCAATTATATCATAATGTTTAGGTTGTAGTTAATGCCTTGGTACAGGCGATCCCAGCAATCTTCAACGTACTCCTTGTGTGCCTAATTTTCTGGTTGATTTTCGCAATCATGGGAGTCCAATTGTTTGCTGGTAAATTTTCATATTGTCGTGATCGTAACACGGAGGAAAAATGTGACCCCAACGAAATTGAAAACAAGACTATCTGTGATCAACACAATGAAACCCTTGAATGGTACACACCAATGGTCAACTTTGACCATGTACTCAATGGTTACCTATCACTTTTTCAAGTTGTAAGTATCATCATCATCATCATCAACCAGCATTTAATTGTTACACATCAATTACACAATATAAAGATTCAATGAACCAACTCATTCATTTACCATCTAATTAATAATATACATGATGATATTCACATTTACTATTAGCATATTAAAATACATTGTCAATGTACTTGCGTGTCAATTGAGATCATAATTGTTTCTAATTGTTGCTTTTTTCAACTTAAACAATATTCATTTAATTTACAGTTCCAATGATCAAGTTTAAATACTGTTCCAAATCTGAATTCACACCTTAATCAATCAACTGGATTTCACTTTAATCTAACAACCAGAGCTATTCAGCAAATTTCGTTGATGTTTTTTGCGATTTTCTCAGCGACTTCATGTCCTAGAAACTCAGGACTTTAATGGAATGAGTTTGAGTGATCAAGGTCATTTGGGTCATCGGTGAAAGAATGCGTTTCAAGGTCACTTGAAAGAAATTTCATGAAAAGCGTATTCGAATGACCTTGATCTTATACTATGACAATCGAGTATCGCTCAAACTCATTCCATTCAAGTCTTGAGTCTTTAAGACACAAAGTCATTGAGAAAATTGCAAAAACATCAACGAAAGTTGCTGAATATCCCTGTAAATCAGATTAATTTACTCACAGGTTGGGAAGTTAACAAAATCATTGATGTGATTCATGTGAATCCATTTTCATTAATCAGAAATCTGATCTTTTACAGTTTTCAACAATAAGATTAATCTTATCAATGATACGTTTAATTGGTTATTGTTATTGTTTTTTTTTTGCTTTGCTTTTTGAGTGTTGGTTTCAAGTTAATATTTGATTACTTTTTATGATTAGATTTGTTAATCTTGACTGTTAATCAACAAGATGATCAAGAGGAAAAAACTAAAGTATTACTTTTTCATAATAATTATCAAGTCTTTTCATCTCCGTGATAGAAATGATGAGTAATCGTCTTTGAACAATTAATGGTAAACAATTAAAATCGTTAATTTGGAATTAGGTGACTTTCAGAATGGATACTCAATTAGCTGATTTATTAACTCACATGCTCCAGATTATTTGAGCTACTGGGTAAAGAGAAGGAAATAAAAAAATCACAACTCAATGAAAGAGAATGGGAGAGTCGGTGGTTGTGTGGGTGGTGAGATTGAAAACTGACTAGAAAATGAGAAAAATCAATGTGGTTCGTTTTTCGTTCCCTTTCGTCACATAGGCTCTTTGATAATCAACATAATTTAGGAAATTAGTTAATTACTCAGATCTGATTACGATTCATTGAGGTGAACATTTGATCCTTTGATTGAACTTGAATAAAATAAAGGATAAGAAAAAGAAGAAAACTTTCGAGTTATGAATCTTGAAATGATTGAGAATTTGAAGATTCAAGTGCAAAGGAAATGAAGATAATAATACGTTTGATCTTAATCACATTAGAATTTATCTTTCTCTTTACGATAATTACTGTAATAATAATCAAGGTTTAGATTATTTTATTTTTTGTTTTGATGATGATTGTTGTTCAATCACATAAGAGAGAGAGAGAGAGAGAGAGAGAGAGTCAAAGACTCGAAGATAGAAAGAAGAGAAGAAAAAACACTTCGATCGATATTTTCGAGTAGAACGAAAAATATAGACAGAAAGACAGAGATGGGAAGGAGAAAAAAGTTCTAATTCATGAATCGAAATGTAGACATGACGAGAGAGGAAAAAGATAGAGAAAATAATTCGAAAAAAATTATAATATCTATGTAATAGATTGTAATAGTCGCTAAGCATTTTCGACTATTATTTTGATATTATTTTCCATACTAGCGATCGATTTGCCTGAGTGACTTACATAGGAGAAAGTGGGAGTCAGTGTTGTGTAGACAAAGCATAAGAGCAAGAGAAGGTGGGAGTGAATGAAAGAGAAAATGTGAAATAATAAATATAAATATTACTTGGGATGTTCATTGGGAAAAAAGGGTTCGATTAACATTGTTGCTAATAATATGAGAAGGAGTTGAATGAGGTGGACATTGGATGAGAATGATGATCGGAAGGTGAATGAGTAATGATGATAGTCGCTGGTTGGAGAGTATTTTCCTCTTCTTTCCCTCTTCAAGTGTAAAGATAAAACTAGAAAGTTCTGTGTAAAAAGATAATTTAAATTCCCTAAATTTAGCCGAGCAAAGCATATGAATTTATGTTAACCCTTGATTTTCACCTTCATCATTAATGAATAATCATATTTACATGATTGGTTAGTTAATATCATGATTATCACCACTTTCAAGTAACAAACGGTTCAAACTTACCAAATACATTGGTCATGAATTGAAATGATGATTATCAGGTGAATCACACCCACTGAACTTTTCTGTAACCTGTCTGATTAATAGAACCACTTGATATTGAGTCTCAGTGCGAAAAGACAAAATTAGTTGGTACATTGTAATGATTTAGATCAATTTTCTTGTAAAATATGTTGAATGATTAAACTGATCTAATTATTTTCTTCTCATGAACTTCAGGCAACATTCAAGGGTTGGACAATTATTATGGACCATGCGATTGATTCTCGTGAAGTGAATCAACAACCAATCTACGAGAATAGTATATTGATGTACTTATATTTCGTATTTTTTATCATTTTCGGCTCATTTTTCACCCTGAATCTATTTATCGGAGTGATTATCGATAATTTCAATGAACAAAAAAAGAAAGGAGGAGGTTCAAGGGAGATGCTAATGACAGAAGACCAGAAAAAGTACCTGAATGCCATGAAGAAAATGGGATCCAAGAAGCCGATGAAAGCGATTCCAAGACCAAGAGTACGAATCCCGACAAAATCATTAATGAGAATCAAAATTTGCACCATGAAACTATTAATAATCACAAACATTTTCTTTTCTCTTCCCCTGACAGTTTAAACTTCAAGCGATAATATTTGACATTGTAACGAATAAAAAGTTTGATATGCTCATCATGTTGTTCATCATGTTGAACATGTTCGTCATGTCCCTTGACCACTACCAGGCCTCGCCCTTCATGGAAAACATTCTTGAGATGTGTAACCTATTTTTCATTGCAGTTTTTACTGCTGAATGCATGCTCAAAATATTCGCTCTTCGTTTCCATTATTTTCGAGAACCTTGGAACGTCTTTGACTTTGTCATCGTCATTTTATCCATTGCAAGTAAGGATCAAAACAACCACCGAGATAAATGAACGAATCATAACTAACTTTTTCTTTCGTTTTCTTTTTCTTTTCACCATCGAAAGGTTCGGCTCTGAAAGATTTCGTGGAAAATTATCTTATATCGCCCACTTTACTTCGGGTTGTTCGGGTTGTAAAGATCGGCCGAGTTCTGAGATTGGTCAAAGGTGCTCGAGGGATTCGAACCCTTCTATTTGCCTTGGCAATGTCTCTTCCTGCCTTATTCAACATTTGTTTACTACTTTTTTTGGTTATGTTTATATATGCTATATTTGGGATGTCGTTTTTCATGAATGTTAAGCAACGATATGGATTAGATGAAACTTTTAACTTTGGTACCTTTTTCCGTTCATTCATCTTACTCTTTCAAATGTGCACCTCTGCTGGTTGGGACGGTGTTCTTGCCGCCATCATGGATGAAACAAAGTGTGATAAAGATGGTGAAGTTTCCGATTGTGGTTCTAAAAAGGTCGCAATCGCTTATTTGGTAACCTATTTGATAATATCTTTCCTGGTTATTGTCAACATGTATATCGCTGTGATCCTTGAAAACTATTCCCAGGCCACTGAAGATGTTCAAGAAGGTTTAACTGACGATGATTACGATATGTATTATGAGATATGGCAAAGATTTGATCCTGATGGTACTCAGTTTATTAATTTTAACGATCTAGGGGAATTTCTTGATGCTCTTGAGGAGCCACTTCGAGTACCAAAACCGAATAAGTTTAAGATCATTCAAATGGATATACCGATTTGTGTGAACGATATGTGCTATTGTGTTGAAATTTTGGACATTTTAACGAGAGAGTTTTTCGCACGTAAAGGTAAACCCATTGAGGAGACGCCAGAGTTGGAGGAGGTTTTACCACTTCGAGGACGCTTTGAACATACATCGTCAACCTTTTGGAGACAAAGGGAAGAGTATTGTGCTCGAATAATTCAGACGGCTTGGTTCAAGTATCAGACTCGAAAAAGATCAGGGTACGACACTGGTGAACCTTTCGAGGAAGAAGATGAAGAGGAAGAGGAAACTGGTGAGATTGAATCGAACACCAGAAATCGTGTATCGTCCATTGTTGGTAATAACAATGTCGGACACTAGAAGATTCCAATGAGATGACCAATATATTTTCAACGAATCTTATTCATTTGAAGGAAAGATAAATTAAGAATCTGAAAAGATCGACCAATAACATTTAATTATTGTGATGAACGTGAACAATTAAATACCATAAGGATGCATTTAACAAGGAAATTGTAAATATTTACATTTCATCATCATAATCGTCATCATCGTCTTCAACATAATCGTCACAATCATCATCATCATAACCATAATCAAGCACCATCATGGAAACAAATCAGGAACAATAAATGAACCCAACAATTTGTCCAACAATTAACACAACATCAACCTCTCAGTCAAACATACTCACACTTACACACTCATATATTAGGAAGAGGAGGTTGGATACACAATGAACACACAAATGATTCTCATAACAATTAATTAATTAATCATGGGCTCGTTTTAATCACCAACAAAACTATCAGATTTCAAGATGATTAAAATTTTACAATCAAGGTTAAACCAACCACTTTTCCCCTCGATCTTCAAACTCTCTCATTCTCCCTCTCACTCACTTTCTCTCTCCCTCTCCCTCTCTCTTTCAATTTTCTCCTTACCTCTCATAATTAAGTGTTAATACTAATCATGTTACTAATCACACTAATTACCAGATTAATAATCTGGTATCTGATGTAATATTTTGGTTAACCCAAAAAAGAAAAAGAAAATCAAAGGAATCGAATCCTTTTCCCTCGATTAACCCAAATTCACCAGAAAAAAAAACCAAATCTAAATGAAAAAGACTCAACAATTTGATCTGATTGAGGAAATGATTACTATTAACAATCTTGTTAAAATTGTTAATTGTAAGCAATTAATTGATAACACAATCAAAAGTTTGTTATATGATTAAACAATCAACAAAAAGAATACAAATTTAAATTGTTGTACAAAAATCGATGAATATTGCAGTTGATTGAATAAAAAAACTACAATTAATATTGGGGAAAGTTTGCTTCTTATCATTTTAATTTAATTGACAATCAAGAAAATGGATACAATATTTGATCATGTTAAATGATTTCACAATTTCAATTTTCTGATTGTAATTAAGATTCACAAACGAAAACATTGAAAATTTTAACTGTCATGGTTTTTCTGTCTCAATCTTCATCTGAAATTGATCACCGAATTGGAACCAATATTTTCACCATGTTGGTCCAATGGACTTCGACACTTAACTGAAGCGATTCCAGTATCCACCTTGAGAGCTTCAGCGATCAAACTTTCTTGGAATAAAGCACCATCACGGTTTCTATTGTAGATACATAACGAGAGATTTGTAACTCATCAGCACAACAGGGATATCGAAAAATTTCTCATTAGGATCCTTAATGGGTTGAAATGCGCCTAAGGTTGATTGAGAGATGTTTTATCGAGGGAAAATTCTGATCAAGTGATCAGTCGTTCTTATTATATGGGTCTTAAAACTCTGACGTTTAGTATCGATGCGTCTTGTGGGACCAATCTGATAAAGAGAAAAACATTGTTATTAACTCGATCTTAGTGGTTTCGGATCAACCAAGAAAACCGGCAGATTAAGTTTTCATGAAACATTAGAATCCGATTCGATCTAAACTACTGAGCGAGAGGTGGAGATGTGAAATAATGAATACTACAAGTACTACTTGGGATGTTCATTGGGGAAAAAGGGTTCGATTAACATTGTTGCTAATAATATGAGAAGGAGTTGAATGAGGTGGACATTGGATGAGAATGATGATCGGAAGGTGAATGAGTAATGATGATAGTCGGTGGTTGGAGAGTATTTTCCTCTTCTTTCCCTCTTCAAGTGTAAAGATAAAACTAGAAAGTTCTGTGTAAAAAGATAATTTTAATTCCCTAAATTTAGCCGAGCAAAGCTCAATATGAATTTATGTTAACCCTTGATTTTCACCTTCATCATTAATGAATAATCATATTTACATGATTGGTTAGTTATTATCATGATTATCACCACTTTCAAGTAACAAACGGTTCAAACTTACCAAATACATTGGTCATGAATTGAAATGATGATTATCAGGTGAATCACACCCACTGAACTTTTCTGTAACCTGTCTGATTAATAGAACCACCTGATATTGAGTCTCAGTGAGAATAAGACAAAATTAGTTGGTACATTGTAATGATTTAGATCAATTTTCTGCTAAGAATATGTTGAATGATTAAACGATCAAAGTCATCATCATCAGAAGAAAATGAAGAAGCCGATGAAAGCGATTCCCAGACCAAGAGTACGAATCCCGACAAAACCACCAATTCCACCATGAAACTAATCACAACTTTTTCTTTTTCCCCTGACAGTTTAAACTTCAAGCGATAATATTTGACATTGTAACGAATAAAAAGTTTGATATGCTCATCATGTTGTTCATCATGTTGAACATGTTCGTCATGTCCCTTGACCACTACCAGGCCTCGCCCTTCATGGAAAACATTCTTGAGATGTGTAACCTATTTTTCATTGCAGTTTTTACTGCTGAATGCATGCTCAAAATATTCGCTCTTCGTTTCCATTATTTTCGAGAACCTTGGAACGTCTTTGACTTTGTCATCGTCATTTTATCCATTGCAAGTAAGGATCAAAACAACCACCGAAATCCATTGGAATTAGAGTTTGTATATGTATTATGAGATATGGTGATGACCATGAACAATTAAATACAATAAGGATGCATTTTATTATTATTTTAAAAAAAACTTAATATAACCTGTTGAAAGTGAGAGTGGTGAAAGTGAGAGTTTTTATATAAATTTGTGTGTAAAATGGGGTCAGGACGAAAGGAGGTCAGATTTCCGCAATCCTCTCCAAGCTTTTTTCAAAAGATTTCAAAAGAAGGAAAGAAGAAAAACTTCCGTATAGTTGAGATAAACTAGTTTTGTTTATGTTCTCAACTCAAAAAAGTTATCAACATACAAGTGAGAGAGAGAGAGAGCGAGAGAAGCAGAAATGGAGAGCAACAGAAAGTAGATGGTGATAAAGAGAGAGAGAGAGAGAAAGAGAGAGAGAGAGAGAGAGAGAGAGAGAACGAAAAAAGAGAGATTTGTACATCTCCTGAGGGGAGTTTACACTTTAGTGGAATATCTGATATGATATAATCAATTGAGTCGTTTCTCGATGGCATGTTTTAATTGTTCAATCTTATCTGTTGAACTTTTTACGGCTCCATTGGTGAAAGAGGAAGATGTGGAACGATCTTTCTTGGAGTATGTCCTTTTGTAGAAATCTGAGAAAAGGAACCAGAACAGAATACCATGGCAACCAATCCAGACCATAAATGCTTTAGGGAAGTTACAGTTACGGAAAATAAGTTGAAATGAGTGAATAAATATAAGTACAAATTGAACCATTTGCATGGCGGTCAAATATTTTTTCCATCCAAGATATTTGTTCATATGAGGTCCAATGGCGGCAAGTCCATAATAGGTATACATAATTACGTGAATAAAAGAGTTGAGGAAAGAGAAGAAGGTTGCATGTCCACCGGGAACAAATTTAACACCCCACCAAACACTGAAAGGCATGATTCCATGATGGATAACATGAAGGGTTGAAATGTGATCATACTTTTTACGTAGCACAAAGAAAAGGGTATCGCAAAATTCAATATATTTAACAATATAATAAAAGTAAGAAGTTTTAGCCATAATAAGGGCATCCGGTGAATTTGAATAATCAACTGGTTGACACTTGTAGCTGTAATTGGTTAACCAACCCGATACACCATAAAAGTAAACAATTAAGGCGCTTATCAGGACCATAAGGAAATTGTAAGCAATCATAAGGCCTCTTAATTCAAAGGGTGGACGATTTTTCATCAATTTTGGTCCAAGATATTTAACAAAATACACATAAGATAGACAAATGGTCATGGTGGAAAGTGGAGATGACATTAGAGGCCAATCTGCAAGGCGTTTGTCACTTAGCTCCATTATGGAGTTATATGAATTAAAAATTAAACTCATTCTCTTTACTGTTTGTTCAGGTTGGTGTTTTTTTTTCTCTTATTTTCTTTTACAATAAGTATATATAAATATAATATATTAATATAAGAGAATATTGGTAGAGAACAAAAAACAAAAAAATTTCACAAATTTAAATAGGAGAGAAAAAAAAACTATAAATATAAAACAAATTGAAAAAAAAGAACAAAAAAACTTTAAATTGTAAATAAAATTTACAGAAAAAAAGATGTGTAAATAATGAGTATATAAAGTGACACTTACTGAGTCTGGAGCGGTGACTGAGGTGATCGGAACATCCGAACATATATTCATATGGAGAGTTACCTGCACTTCCCGTTAGATGTCACTCGTGTCGATTCTTCTCTTTTTCACATTTTCACATTTCTACTCTTTTCTTTTTTTGTTTGTCTCTGATATTAAATATTTATCCAATTAATTAGTGGATATTTTAATTAATTGATTGACCTTTTGTGGCCATTCATGTCAACCGAATTGATCTGATTACTCTGGAATTAAAATGGTAAGTTTCCGTTCTTTTAGAGCCTCTCATTCATTTTAATATTTTCTTTTTCCTCTATTGGTTTTCTTTCCTTATCAATACGTTTTTTCCCTCACCTTGTTTCTTTCTCTTCTTCTTTGTTACCTTGCCATTTACAATCAACTGCCAGGTAATGAGAATCTCTCTCTCTCTCTCTCTCTCTATCTCTCTCTGGAAATGGCTTAGAATCACCATTACCAACGCAAATTTAATTTCTATTAATTAATCACTGAGACACTTGATGAGCTTTTTGAGCCTCTTTTCTCATCAATTTACCTCCTTGAATGACCAATTCTAATTTTAATCATTTTTAATCAATCAAATTTCGCAAAAATGATTAATTAATAAAAGTAAACAATTAAAAGCTCAGCTCGGTTGTCTTGGTTACAATAGAAACGTTATTTTAAGAGAGAGAGAGAGAGTTTCATTATCTGGCCTGTATTTAATCATCTTTTTTTTTGTTTACTTTTTTCTATTCTCTTTTTTTTGTTGTTGGTAAATTAATTGATTTGCCATTTATTTATTCATTTCTTTATGTTATTATATAATTTCTATTGATTTTTGGCTCTCCCTTTTTCTTTGATTTCAGGAGGAAAATTCATTCACCCTTACCAGTGCCATGAGAACCAACATGGTAATATTGGAATATTTTAAAACCTCAATGTCGGCAATCTCGGGATTCACTGCGGGTGTAATTGGTTTATATGGACTTTATGGATTCATTTTTTACTTTCTATGTGCATTCCTACTTTGGGCATTAATTTTATTGAGAATTGGCCCAGATTATAAGAGATATTTCCATAAGAGAACAATTATTTTCACTAATGGCCTAGGATCTGGTCTTTTCACTTATGTCCTCTTCTGGACCTTTCTCTATGGGATGGTTCATGTATATTAACTCCTAATTTTCTCATAATCATGTTGATACTTTAATATCTACTATAACAAATAATTAATATCCATGAAATTGTTTCTTTTTTTCCTCTGTATTCCAAGCTGAATTCCCCTTTATAATCTTGACAAGAAAAAGTCATTGTCTTTGAGGATCAATTGATACACTGGGTCATTTGGTAATAGCTTAAGGTTAACTATTGATAATCAACGTTTTATTGTCATTGTTGCCTAATAATAATTATGGAAGCAAGAAACAAAAAACTCATAAAGATCATAAGTAAATACTATTTTATAATAGTTATCGTGATGACCATGAACATATACGAAATATTGTTTTTCATTTTGGTTGAAATTTCAAGGAAAAGAAACTCTTTCAATAGTATTGATGATGATAATCATGATCATCACCAAACTATCATCATAATCAAGACGCATTTATGGACAATTAAATTGAACAAACAATAACATTTAGTTACAAATACATTACAAAAAAACTAAGGAATTAATAATGATCATCATTAAACAATTATCTTGTTTACAGATGATCAAGCAAACCGATTCTTAAAGTTAATTGCAACTCTATCAATCAAGGTTACATTTAAATTTAACTTTCTCCTTTTGTCAGTTAGCCTCTAATTAATCAAATTGTTACCAGAACTTGATTAAATCCTTGACGTAATTTGGGTTGATGGGCAACCCAAAAAAACCAGAAAAACAAAGTAACTATTTCCCTTAACCTGAATCTTTGTTTTCTTTCTTGATTTTCATGATTAAGAATCAATAACTTGATCTGATTGAGGAAGTTAATTGTGATTCTCTAGTCAATTTAATTGAGACTATTAATAAATTACTAATTGTTCCCATTGAGAAAAGCATAACCTTTGCAATAACAACAACATCAGAATCAAATTTGATTACTAATTTTGTTTAAATTACTCAATCAACGTAACTGAAAATGTTCAATGATCAATTTTTCACATTAAATTGAAACCGGAGGAATTAAATATCATCATTAACCTAATCATCACAATTAACATAATCGTCATCATCAAATATCAAATAGTTTTATATCTAAAACGGAAAGGTAATCAATTACAATCTGAAACAATCAACACCAATCAATACAATCAAATTAATCATTGAAACAATCAAATGTTTGACCACGTCAATTATAATAACAAAGATTACAATCAACGACTAATCAAACAATTAACTTTTCTGTTGGTTTTTTTTTTCTGCGTCGTTTCGTCAATCACAATCAAAATTTAATTCCAATGACAATTAAACAAGAAGAAAACAAATTCTAATCAATATTAATATTTATCTTTTCGTTTTTCTCTCAACAATTAAGCTTTTAATCAAATTTAATTTTAATTTTCGTCCTTTCAATTGGGTTCAAAGTAACGAACGTTGATTAACCGGTTAATTATCTGCTTAGTAAACTTATAATCTAAACTAAATCACTACTTAAATCGTTACAATTAACTTAGGGAAAGTGAGTTGTTTTCCAATTTCATGTTGATTGATTGTAATCAAAGTTAATTTTGTAAATCAAAATCAAATATTGATCAAAATTATTGATATAAAAAGTTAATTAAATCAACCAATATATTCATCTCGATACTTTAACAATCAAATTATTGGACAATTAACTTTTTTTTTCATTCTAATCTAGGTTATTAACCTTTAATCATTTTGATTTTTAATTAACAATCAAATGGAAAAGTTTATTAACAATAAAATATTTGAATGAACTTTTTGCCATTGAAAAGTTAATCAGTTGAGAAGTAAATTAATCCAGAAATTAATAAACAGGAAGAAAACAATTTAATTAAAATTAGTAAATTAGTTGATCAACAATTAAAAGGTTAACCTTGATTAGTTTTCCAATAGCCAATGGGTTATAATAATTTATATTCAATCAAGGATAATAATTAAATAAGCGATTAGTTAATTAACCATTGCAAGGTTTTTATCGAAGTCAATGTTTTCTAACAATTTACTAATTGTGACCCTGGACAATTAAATATTATGTTTACAGTTGAATTTTGTATTTTCGGGTATTGAATAATCAAGGAAAGGTTAAATTGACAATGATTAAGATGAAGAAGAAGAGTTAATTAACTAAATTAAACACATAACAATCAAAGAAATTAGATTTTATTTCCTTTTGATTGAAGGCTAATTATTTGTCTTTATAATTAAATTGTTTACTAAATAATCAATTGATTTAGGAACCAGGAAAATTGAAATCAAATTACAAAATGATAGTTAATTTAATCCTAGACCATAAATCAATTACAATTAATGATATTGGGTGAAAAAAAATTAAAACAATTGCTCGTGGTTCTTAATATTGATCAATCATCATCAACAATCAAATCAATATTAGATTAACAATCAAGGCTTAATTTCTTGTTGACATCATAATAGTTGATTATTCAGTCAATTGCTAACGTTGTTGTTTAATTGGTTAGAGTTAATTACGATAATTAATCAGATAAAATCTTAATCATTCGATACAATGATCAACATATGAGTTTAAATCTAGTTTGTTGATTACTAATTCACTTTTAGTAGGCGAGTCACAATCAGATCATTTTTGCTGAATATTTAAATTGTAGTTGATCATTGATTTGCTCAAACAATTAACTATCTCCATTTGTTTAATTGCTGGCAAGATAATGAAAAAAATCAAGTGTTAATTTCAAATCATGTTTGATATTTTTTAACAACAATTAACTCTTTGAATATCTCTAAAACTGATACAGTTTATAACTGGTTTTACTTAATTGTTGAAGTAAAATGTTGATGAGTGAATCAAAATTGACAAGAAATAGTTACAATTATGAAAATAGTGATTATAATAGCAACCATCACAATTTAAACTCTAATCAAATTAACTACACTAATGGTTATGTTAACATGTCTTCAGTACCGTTTAATTGTTATTCAGCAACCTCAACTAATCATCGTAACAATTTAATTGATCCAAGAAATGATTTAATCAACTACAGTTCCAATTTAACAATATCAAAGGTAAACAATTAAAATCTCAAAAGAGATTCAAACCAATCAATGATCACCTTAATTGCTACAATCATCTTAATTGTTTCTCTAACTTCCCCTCTCTCTCTCTCTTTTACACACTAATTGTCAACAATTAAGCGGAAATGTACTCGACTCTTAGGTTTCTATGTTTCTCAAATTTTACTCGTAATTGTTTCTTGTATTTATTTAACCGTAATTGTAATCAACTTAATCCAAGACATTGACAATTTACTGGATTCAAAGGATCCCCTTTACAAATTGTCAAGCTTAATTGTGACAACTTTAGGTAAGTTAAACAACAATCAACTATTTCTTAATCATTATTACAATTGTACTACAATTTAAATCCATTCCTTATGGATATTAAACTATTGCATATCCGCTGAATATAAATCATCAACCTCTCTCTCTCTCTCTTAATACCGTTATTATTGTTATCTATCTCGTTAATTAGTCACAATTAACTTTATAATCTATTGATGATAATCTTATTAAACTAACATGTTGATTATAATTTACAGTCTTGTCAATATTTCTGCTTCTTCATGGTAATCTTTGCCAACGAAATTATGATCTCTACCTGTACTTTTTTGATGTCGCTTTGCTTACATGCTTTTCCTACCTTAATGATACCTGGGGACCTGATAGAAAGTATCTCACTCAGGTAAATCTGATTAAATCATATCAATCAATGAGTTAAAGTTTCATTCGTCTTGTTCAACAATTTAGGTTCAAAAGTATATCGGTCTTGTTGTAACTCCTGCAATCGGATTATTGGTTTTCATTAATCGTCAAATGTTTGATCAATTTAATATCGTTGGAGCTTCGCCTTCAATCATTTCCATGTATAAAACTTATTGTTATTTCCAAGCTTTAATCAAATGGGATTTACAGAACATGGTAAATATCAAAACAATTAGATGAACCAGAATAACATTGAAATCTAATCAGTTGAGCAAAATTTGGGAACATTCAACCAATAGTTAAGGGTAATGATTGAGTTAATCATGAAATTCAAGAAAAAAAGCTTAACTATCAGTTAATTTGTGATAATTATGTCAAGGTATTTGTTAACCAATGAATTTAATTTGCTTGATTGCTATTGATTAATATACACCTTTGTCCATAATCATCATTGATTGTGAATTGTTTGAATATCATAATCATGATTGAATCCATTGATTTAAATGGCTGATACAGACAATTTAAATTGCTTGAAGGGATTTCCTTAATTACTTGAATTATTTAATCCTTGAGATTAACGTTTTTATCATTGATAATCAGTAACCTTAAGTTTTCAAACTGAATAACCTTGATGGTTTATATCATTAAATTGTTTCTTGTATATTTTTACTTGAGACACTTTCAAGCAATTACAACATAGTAATTAACTAATTAAAGTGGGCTCACATTCATCATCATTATTTAATCGTTGAAGGTTTTGAAGATAAAGATCAATGAATCAAAAGCTTACCCATTTACCTATGTTAACCTTGCATTCAATTGGTTTGGTTAATTTTATTGAAGATTTAATTTTACACCAAATTGTGTTGATTGGTAACTACATATGATTACGTTAATCATTTTGGATTCTGGTTAAAGATGAGAATTTAATTTTCCATAGTTGATTAACTAATTTACTTAATTTTCACCTTTTCTTCAGATTATTCTGGCTAATTGTGCCTTCGCAATGAGTAATACCTTCACTGTCAATTTAATTATCTTTGCATCTCTAATTATCTATGCAACTTTGGTCTGGATAATTGCTAAAATTGCGGTAATTAAAACTCTGATCAACAATTAACTAATCATATTGGAAACTGTTTTGTTTTGTTTTGTTTTCATGATATTATGCAATTCATATTGAATGAACCATAGACTATTTTAATTGTTATTACTAATTTACAATCAGTTGACTCCTTATGATTACTCAGTCAATGATTAATTGATGACTTCAATCAATACGATAATCAATTGATTTGATTAAATTAACCACAATCAAGAGACAATCAAATGATCAACCATTTTTTTTTTGGAAACAACATCCAACTGATTGTTACAATTTACTTTTTAATTGTTGTAGGTTTACAAGGAATCAAAATATTTGGTCTTCATACATGTCGTCTTATCATTCATTGGTTTACTTTGGATACCATTGCAAGTCAGTTTGATATTGATTGTTGAACTAATTGTTGATGTTTGCTAATCTTGTTCATCTTAATTGTTGATCTATCCAATAGATTATTGATGTTTCTTGCTTCCGAGAAGTTAATTGTCAACCGCAATCATTAATGATCTCATTTGCTGCCCTTGGTATTGGAGCACCAACAATGATAGTAAAACTTTGGGTTTATATTGAACAATTAAAAGTTTACAAAAACTTTGGTTATGGTTTAACTGATTCAGGTTAGTTAATCGAGTCAATTTTTCACAATTAACTAATTACTTTGTATCTCCAACAGCATTCACAACATTGGCTAATCTTGAATCAACCAGTCTACTTTATGGTATCTCCAATTCAGTTGCTAATTGTAACAATCCAATTGTAATCACTTAATCCCAACAATCAATCAATTATTTTTTTTGTACACTAATTGTTATGATAATTTTTTTGCTATTCCCTTTTTTTTAATGAAACCACAACTACAATATTAGTATATGATACCAACAATTAGTTTAATTACAAAAGTATACAAATGTTTATGTAATAATTTCTGTTAATTGTTGTGATTTTTTTTTTCAATACATTTTGATTGCAATTAAGTTTCACTATTTACAACGGTAAATATTTGACGGGACAATTAATTGTGGTAGTTATCAATGAGCTGAGAGTTAATTATGATTAATTGAATTTTGATTGAAGGTTAATAATGAAAAACAAAACGTGGTAAATTAACAATTGATTTTAATTGTTACAGATTAAATGTATTACTGTGTGTTTTAGTTGACAATTAATCAAATTATGGGTCGAAAGTGTTTAATTGTCAGTCAATGATTAATTTTATTGTGTATTTAATTGATAATCTTGATCCATTGTGAAATGATTTTGTTAGTTGGCTGGTTGGAATAACAATCAACAATTAAGATGGACAATTTACTAATTTATTTACTTGTAGTGTTTTGTACCTTAAATTGTAAAGTTAATTGTGATGATTTAATCAGTGGTAGAAATGATTCTCAGCCAATCAATGTTGATTCTTGTGAGACAATTAATCATCGTAACATAAGCTTAATAGAAAGATTTCAAATTCGTATTGCAAATCGTGAAAAAATTTTCCAACTACAAGAGGAACAATTAAGTCGAGAGAATCAAATTAGGTAATGTAATTTGTGGACAATTAATTGTTTAAGTTGTTAATTCTGTTGGAAATTTTGTCGATTCTGTTTCACAGAAATGGTATCAGGAGTCGGGCTCGAACTTCTTGTCCTTTGCCATCCATTCGGTGTTTTCGAAGTCGCTATCGAACCGTTGATGGAACTTGTAACAATCTGATCAACCCACGTCTTGGTGCTGCCGGTGAGTGTATACCAAGAATGTTACCCGCTGAATATGCGGACAAAATATCAGCGCCAAAAGTATCGATAACGGGACGATCTTTACCTAATCCTCGATTGATCTCATTGGCACTTCATTCGGAGCCGAGTGAAGCCTCACCATTATTAACACAGATCTTTATGATCTATGGTCAGTTTATCGATCATGATATGACCTTCACTCCACCCGCACAATCAGAAACAGGAGAGGATATTGAATGTTGTCCATCACCTCAATCGGGACGTGGATCACAACGAGGATCAACCAACAAACGTGGATCAAGATCTAAGTGGTGTTATCCCATACAATTGTCTTTCGATGATCCATTTTACGCTCGAATGGGTCAACGTTGCATGGAGTTTGTCCGATCAGCAGCTTGTTTATCATGCACATGGGGTCAGAGATATCAACTGAATGAAATCTCATCGTTCATCGATGGATCAGTCGTTTATGGATCGCTGGCCAATGAGACTCGCGGTTTACGAAACTTTGATGGTTCAGGTTAGAATTAGGATTCAATGAAAAATCTATTCCCAAAAGCGGCCAATAATTAGGCTTCCATTTCAATCGTCACTTTTTTAGGAACTCTCAAAGTCGCTCGTGATTTCCGTGGCAACATTTTACTACCAAGATCATTGACACCCGACGATGATGGATGTTCGGTAACCTCTCGAAGGGTTTTCTGTTTCAATTCAGGCGACGGACGCGCCAATCAACAAGCACCTTTAGCTGGACTGCATACACTTTGGCATCGGCACCATAATCGCTTAGCACGTGGTTTAAGATCTGTGAATCCTCATTGGGATGGTGAAAGAATCTTTCAAGAAACTCGGTCAGTTAATTAACTTTAATTGTAGAGAAGAAACAATTTAATTTTAATGATCCTGATTGAATTTAATTTAGTCGCATCTTGGCCGCTCAACTGCAAGTGGTCACTTATAAGGAATGGCTTCCAATCGTTCTTGGCCCAGAGCTTATGAAACATTATGATTTGAACATTTTATCAACTGGATTTACTCAATATGATCCAACTCGAGATCCATCGATAACATCAGAATTTAATACAGCGGCATTTAGATTTGGACATGCGCTAATTCGTGGGTTTTTCGCTCGAGTCTCAGCTGATGGATTCCGAGTACCATATCGATTGAGGGACAACTTTTTCAAACCCTACACTCTAAGAGATGGTACACTTGACTCAACAATTCGTGGTCTGATAGCAACTCCGACAAGCGCTTGGGGACCTGGAGTTGATGAGGATGTTAGAAACCACCTGTACCAAACTCAGAATGATCGATTCGGCGGTGATCTGGTTGCGATAAATATACAAAGAGGTCGTGATCATGCAATTCCAGGTTACACTTCATTGGTTAAACATTGTTACTCGAAAGATATTATCGATTGGTCTCAACTCGATGAATACATGAAACCCATTCAACGATCTCGATACCAGTCAATCTACGCCAACATTCAAGATATTGACCTTTTCTCGGCGGGTATTTCAGAGATTCCGATTTCTGGTGCTCTTGTGGGTCCAACATTTGCTTGCATAATGGGGAATCAGTTCAGAAATCTCAAATTAGGCGATCGATTTTGGTTCGAGCACTCAGGCCAAGACGGCTCGTTCAGTGAAGGTAAGCTCAATAATCTACAATCAACCAAAAAAGAGAGACAATTAAGTTAATAATTAGTAATTTCTCATATGTAAACATTGACAATTTAGCTAAAAGTTAATTGTTAATTATCAAAATCTATCAAGAGTCTCAAGTAAATCAATCAATATAATGAAAGATTAATACAAAGATAAAATTGATCATTGATTGTGTTTACAATACAATTTAAGTAATTGAATATTGATGATTATTTAATCATAATCAATGAGAAGATACAATTTAAAAATAATTGAAAGTTGTATGGGAATGTAACAATTAAGGATTAACAATCAATTAATTAGAAATTTTCGTGAGAGTCAATAAACTCATTGATTTGACCAATGGTTTTTTTTTGTTTTCTGAGAGACAATTAGATAGTTAATTGTTTAGCTAAAGAAAACAATTGAAATTTATCAGCATCATAATATTAACATGATCAGAAATGTAATTAACTAATTGTTAACATAATAATAAGAGTAAAAATGAAAATTTGTGATGAGAAACTGTTACTATTAAATCAACATACACATCGAGGAGGTAATTTTAATCAATATTGATTAGCGACACTGTTAACAACAATCAAGGTATCAACAGATGTGATTTAATAATCCTTAACCATGATAGAGTTAATTTTAATCAAGATAATCAGTATCATAATAATAATGATTAAAATATTATCACAAGTGGTTACGGATTGATTAATTTACCTGATTAGAAGGTAAAATTAATGAATGAAATCAAATTATCATTCAATTTTGTGCATTTAGTGAATTATAATGAATGTGAAGTTAATTAAACTCTAACAATTGAATTAATACAATTAGTGGATTGAAACAAGATGAACAATTTACAAGTTAATCTATTAATTTAAAGTAAATACAGTAAGTAGGTTGTCTTGTTATTCAAAGTTGATGGTGAAAAGTTTCAAAAAGGTTGAACTAATTTCATGAGGAAGGGAAAAGGATCAACAGTTGGGTGAAGATGATTCAATTCCTATGGTGTGTCTATGAGTTTTTTTAGACTGTGACACTGATTAGTTGACAATCTTCATCTTGTAAATGTTTACATCTCTTTGAAAAGTAAGAGATGATGTAGATGAAGATGAAGATGAAGATGATCTTCCATGTAATCTTGCCATCTCTCTCTCGTTCTTTATTATATTGTTAAATTAAATTGTGGTTAAAGTAGAAGCTTAAAGTTTGAATACGATATTAAGCCCACGCTTGTTTGAGCATGAAGATGAAGATTCAGAGAGTAAATAACAACCTTGAAGAGAATGATGAAAGAGAGCAGGATGATAATAATGATGATGAAGGTAAGCTGAAGATGATGAATAATACAAAAAAACGAGAGAGAAAAGAAAGTAAAAAAACAGATTGGAAGATGAAAAAACTAACACAGTTTAAATGAAATGCAAACCTCATAGTGGTGAAAGTGAAATCTGGTTAATTGGCAAATCATCAACTAATACTATTAGTTAATTTGATTAATCAAAATCAGCAACAACACCAATAAGAAAAGATAAGCAATTAAATAATGTCGACAATTAATATGAAAAGAAATTAACAATCAAAGACAGAGAGAGAGAGAGAGAGAGAGAGAGAGAGAGAGAGAGAGAGAGAGAGAGAGAGGATTAAGATTATGATGGTAAATGAGATGATAAGTGGGATTAACTGAATCTTATGTAAATTTTGGTAAAAGAAGAAGATAAGATGAGAAAAGATGAGGTGAAAAAGTAAAGATGATGAAGAAACTGTTAGAAAACCGGCTTGATGGGACATCCATCTCACCTTTCATCATTTTGCTCATCCCCTGTTCTTACCTGTTCAATTTCAATCTCTCTCTCTCTCTCTCTCTCTCTTCAGCTCAGATAAATAACCTAAGGGAGACAAGTTTAGCCAAGATAATTTGTGCAAATGGTGATGATTTTACAATAATCCATCCAAAGGTTTTCCTTCCGGTTTCCCAACAAAGGTGAGTTTCCAAGGAGTCACTTTATCATCAGCTGATTCCGATTGTTCCTAATGAGAGAACTTTTATTTTCTAATTTCTCTCTTTTCTTTCTTTTCATTTCTTTTACCTTTTCGATATCAAGTAATCCATTGACTCCATGTTCATCTCTTCCTGATATTGATCTAACCTTGTGGACAGAAACACCAAGTTTCACAAGAAACTTTGGATGAACTTTTTTTCTTGTCATCATTATCATCATCTTCGTACATTTCGTATGTTATCATCTGCAAGACGATTATCTACCTGGATGACGAGAGTGAGAAAAAAAATAGTAGGAAGAAAAATTAAACAATAATAATCAAAGTAAATTAAATGACAAACAAAGTAAATAAAGAAAATCGTTTTTTTTTCATGAAACGAAAAAAAAAATCAATCAATTGATACCTTTTGTCTTCAATTCATTACCATGATTATCTTTACACTTCCAGGGGAAATAGTTTGAATTGCATCGGTGAACTTGATTAGGAAACACAACAACAATTAAGACATATATTGATTATAATTGTGATTTGATTAGTTTTTATGATTCTAAAAACAATGAAAAACCAACATGATGATATTAGTTTTGTCTGTTGATGTTTGAAAAATTTTCAAATGAATCGTTTTTCTTGTAACCATAAAGAGAGAGTCAAAAGTTAGTAATTAATTGTTATTATCGTTAAAATTAATCAGTTAAGAGACAATTGTCACTAATGAGACACAACCTGGAGGGTTAATTGCGTTATTATCATGATAATCATGAGCTTTTTGTGTTTACTTAATGTTTCAAGCCAATGATCTTGGGGCATCTTTGCAAGAAAAAAGGTAAACAGGAACCAGGAGCTTAAAGGAGCCAAAGAGCTAAAGATGATGATGAAGATAATAATAGTAATAATTTAACAATAATGAGTCGGTAATAAGAGAGGAGAAAGTTAAAAGAAAGAGGAAGATGCTGATGATGTGATGATAAGATGACAAAATCTCAGGTAAATTTTATTTTTTCACTTTTTGTTACCTGAACTTAAAAGGTTATTATGTAATAGTAATAATCATGTTAATGAATAAGATGATTACTGTTGATATGCAAATAGCATATGAATATACACTCCTTAGTGCAAGATGATACAGTCAATGAGCACTCATCATCTTCATCATCATCATCATCATCTTCTTAATCTTAATCTCTGTTTCTCTCTCAATTGAAATTTAATAGAAACTAATTTGGCAAAGGAAACGTAATCATAAGATGGATTAATAATTTGATGCCAAAATTTATTACACTGAGTCAGTGAAAATGATTTTCGTCAACTTAACCTCAAATTCAGTGTAAAAAAATAAAGTTTTACATTTAAATTTAATTAGTGATTAACTGTTAGTTAGTTAATCATCTCTCTGTGTCTTAATATGTATTAATCTTTACCCTCGATAATTTATCAACTGTCAAAAAATTAAGTTGCAAATGATTAGCACTTATCATGATCATTGATCGCAATTGTTTGTGGTTCATTTATTGCATTGGATTTGCAATTTAATTTGATTGTTGTTGGATTTCCAATGATGATTTAATAATCTAAATTGTTTTGTTAAGTTTTTTCATTGATTGTCCGTTGATTTGTATTGTTTTGTTTTTTAGAGACTTGGCTAATTAACTCGGTGTCCAGTGGTTAATTTAGTTAATTGTTTCATCAGCCTGGGAACAGAAATCAAATTATCATAATTAGTTATAATTTTCACAGTTTAAGATAAATATAATACTTACAATTAACCAGATAATCATCACTAATTGTTGCCAAATTGTTTAAAATTGGAAGCTTTAATCAAGATCATCACTTGATTTTCATCCATTGGACTTAAATTGCTGAAACAATTTAACTTGTTAATTGTTTAATTTGTAATTTTTTTTTTCGTTTTGTTTTTGATTAATCAAACATTTACCTTTAAACAATTTAATTAAAACTGGATTAAAGGTTAGTTTGAATAATTTGTTAATATAAATCCGATATTAATCTGATCGCACCTCTAAACACAATTAATATATTGGGTCAGATCAAAATTTTCAATCAACAATCAACAACAACACACAACTACAATTAACTGTTAACCAAAAAAAAAATTAGTGTAGGTGTTTTTTAATCAAACGATTTAGGAGTGACTATTAACAAACATAAACAATTTAAAAACTAAATTAAATCTCAATCAGATTCATTTCAAGTTAATCAAAGTGAAAATGTGATAATTGTATTTCCTTTCAGGCCAACAATTTAAATCACAATTAGAGGTTGGATTTAAACTAATCATTTGATTATTGATAAACATAATTAATTCCTGTTTTTGATCAATGATTAAAGTTAATTCATTGAAATTAATTGTAACAATCAACTTTCAATTGATTTGATTTAGTTGTAATAATATTTTACACTTTGTTTTAATTTTTTCAATCCAAATTGATTATCAGACTGATTAAAATTAAACTACTGTAACAACAACAATAAAACAAATCAAGGTAAATATAAATGAAACTGTTAATTGTTGTTCAGTTAATCATTGTAGATATGATCAAGTCATTGTCAAGTTTAATTGAATCAAATTAAAAGTAATCATTTGATATGATCACACAATCAACATCAACAATTGGATGATACAAAATTTGAAGAAGCAATTAAATGTCAATTTAGTTAAATAATAAGTCCACAATTAACATCAAGTAATCAAACAATTTAGCTGTGATATTAATGATTAGATTTAATTTGTCTTTTAACAATCAACACTAAATCATTAACTGTTTATGGTTAAGAAATTAATTCTTCATAAATTATTGGTAACCTTAAGTTTATGACAGTTAACTGTTTAAATGATATTGACAGTTTCCGGGATGATTAAGGATGATAATCATCTTCGTGATCATCATGATTAGGTTAAGGTTAAATTGTGAATGTTTAATCAGTTAATTCAGTTTCAATTGTAAAAGTTTCCAATAAGTTGATCAAAAGTTTCTAACTGTAAATGAAACTTTTCCCCCTCAAACAGTAAGTAAGAAAAAAAATCTGATTAGTTGATCAACAATTGGCTAATCAAGTGATGAAGATTAAGATTTTAATTAATCTCTCTCTCTCTCTTCTAACTGTAAGTGGATTAAAATTAATTGTAAACAAAATAAGTTCAAGGGTAGAAAAGTTTTATGGGAAAAGTTGATCGAGAAAAAAAATCGAAAGAAAAATTTTCTTGATTCTCTCAGAGCAACAATTTGAAACAATCAATTGATTAACTTGATATTTTTCTCACTTTTAATTGTAACAGTTGATTGTTGGATTAATAAGGTTGTTGCAATGATAAAGAAATTTATTGATTGTAATTGATTATTGTAAGAAATCAAGTAAATCATAAACCAACGGTAATGAGCGTAGGCGAAAAGTTTTTCTTAACTAACAATTAGCTTAACAATTTAGTAAACAATCAATGAATTACCAAGGTAGTTATTGCATGGAAAATAGTTAATCATCATTAGTTTAATCACAATTAAAAAAAAATTTTCTCTAAACATTTAAAATGATTAAGATTCATGTAAATAATGAGTTGAAAAAAAAGAGATTCAATTGAACAAACTGAATTAATATGATGACAATTAGCAAATTCAGTGGTTATTAATTGTTATCATGAAACAGCATCATCATCAACATGTTTAACTGTTAATCAATTACCAAAGTAACTAAATAAATTAATTATTAATTAATCAATTGAATGAAAAAAAAACTTAGATTGGGATGATAACTTTTTTTGTCTCTCAATGTTTTCCCAATCTCTTTGTATGTGTAAGTGTCTGTTTGTTGTTCATGATCAATTATCATCATTTTCAAGCAAGATGATGATAATTTAGAGTCACCATCATCACCATCATCATCGTCATCATCATCCAGAGTCTACCTGTGATTATAATTACCTTTTATTTGAAATGAAGCAAAAAAAAAACCAAGTTACACCCAAAGACAGAAACCTAACAAGTCTTAGCTCAGAGTCTCAGGTAAAAAAACCGGTAGTCTGATTAACTTGATGATGATGATTTTTTCTTCCATCTCTCTCTCTCACTCTCCTTGTTGATTGTATAATTAGTTGACAAACTGGATTATTTTGTGAAACGATGAATTAAAAAGCACACACACTACTCACTAATAATCACAATTGTTAATCACTGACAGCAAAAGGTTGTTAGTTTAATCCGATAGATGAAATTGTTTCCCTTTGAAGACCAATATCTTTTTTTGTTCAATCTCTCATCTTGATGATTTTGCTTTTTTTTGGTGAGATGATGAAAATAATTGATGTTGATTGTTGATTGATGATGATGATGATGATGATTAGGATGACTTGATCTTCCTCCTTTGAGAGAGAGAGAGCGAGAAAAGATGATATATAGAAATTAAATCCTTCTTTTTTTTCTTAACCCGATCAACTTAAATTCTCAACGGAAGTGAAACAGAATTCGTGTTGATACTGTTCATCATGATGATCATCAAACTCGGTGATATTTGATGGACGCGAGAAAGAAAACAAAAAGAAAGAGTAAATTGTAAATACAATGTAATAAATAAATAGATAATGATTATGATATTAATTAACTTTGATTGTTAACGAGATGAGAGATAAATGAATGGTATGGTAAAAAATTTACATAACACCCTGTGAACAGAAAAGAGATGACGGATTGAAAAAGAGTGAGTGAGTGAGAGAGATAATCAAAATACATGTATTAGGGGAGAAAGAGAGAGAGAGAAGGTGTCGAGGGTGAAGGTGGAGGAGGTGGAGGTGGGAAGATGAAATATAAGACAAGCAAAAAAAAGATTGATGAAAAAATGGCAGAAATCAGCATCGATTCGTCTTAGGGTGTGTGTGTGTTTTTGTGGTGTTTTTTTTGTTGTTTGTGGTGGATGTGTGTGTGTGTGTGTGTAGGTCAGAGTGCCTGTAGCTTTAAATATATACATATATTGATCATCATTCATTTACTTTCAATAATCATCATCAACATTTTTTCAAATGAATCATTTTTTGAACCTCATCAGCTATTAAATATCAATTGTGTCTGAAATGTTGCAAATAGTATCGTAGACCCTTGGGATTGGGATCTAATCGATGTCTTGTTTTTTTTTGCATTTTGTCAAGGGTTTGGTGAGTGTGTGTGTGTATATATGAAGGTATGTGTACATATATATATTTATGAATGTGTTTGTTTTGTTTACACACACACAACATCAAAATATAAATGTAAAAGATGTTGGTATTGAGATCACTTCTTCTTTCAAGTCACTGTTATGAAATTTGTTGCCATATCTTTTGGGATTATGTATAGATATATATATGGATGTATATATTTTTAGTGTGTATGTGTGTTGCTTTTTACCTGAGATTAAGATTGTTTAGCTAATCTTTTAGAACGGCAATTTTGTAGTACTGGACAAAAGTTGATGATGATTTTTGTAAGTTTGTTGTTGTTTTTTCTGCTGCTTTGAAACTGTGTTTTGTTACCTCATGAGAGGGAGGGAGAAAGAGAGAGAGATAGAGAGTGTGTGTGTATATGTATACATATATGAGGCAAAAAATGGCAAGGTGAGAAAGAGAGAAAGATAAAGAGAGAGAGAGAAATTGGGAGAAAATTATAGACACAAGGTCATGGGGATAAGGTAAAAGGGCGTAAAACAGAGGATAGAGAGAAAGATATAAGATTAGGCAGCCAAAAAAGCTAAGGCAAAACAAAAAAATATTAAGTTGTTGTTGGAACGTTCAACAGACTTGAAAGGAGATAACTTGATAGCAAGTCATGAAAGAGAAAGAAAGAAAGAGAGAGAGAGAGAGATAGGAGTGGTTAAAACTCATGTGGAATAGGCAAAATCACGGGGAAATAGGTGGTATCGATTGAATGAAAAAAGGAGGGAAGAAGATGAGAAAGAAAGAGGATAGAAAGAGAGATATAAAGAGTAAGAGAGTGAGAAGACAGAGAAAAAAGGTGATAGGGGGAAGTTAAATTATTGTACAAAGAAATAGAGTTTAACTCAAGTTCACTGGCGTAGTCCACTAATTGATAAGCTGGTCAGTTTGGTGGTTTGTTGTAGTTGTTGTTGTTGGTGTGGTTCTCGAGGAAAATGAGAGAGAGAGAGACTTTGAAGAGAGTGGAAATATGGAGAGAGGACAAATAGTGAAAAAGAGAGGGAGATGAAGAGAAAGGTTACAAAAAAGAAAAATAGTACACAAAATAACCGAATTTGTTGTCATTATCAATTGTCGTTATTGGTTAATCTATAAATATGATGCTGGGCTCCGTGTTCCGATGCTGAGACTTCAAAAACAAATGCAATACAAAGCAGCGTATCCTGTGTCTCTCTATTGGTTATTACTTGGAGAATGGTGAAATTTTCTAACACTGAATTCATCATGTACTTTTCCGGTAAATCCTTTAATTTGTGAATAAAATTAATCATGTATTCGCACATAGGTGACTTCTCGAATCGATAAACATTCCTTCCATTCTCATAATTTGGATATTCAACCTGTAGATCATGTTGATTGACGATAAGTTGGTTAAATGCACAAACACCAAAAGTGATGATAAAGATGATGATGCAAAAGAATCACAGAGGAAAAAATCACAAAGGGAAAGAGTAATGGAGAAAAAGAGAGAGAGAGAGAGAAAGAAAAAAAATATAAGAGATCAGAGATAAGATAATGATTCAATGATTATGAGTACACACAGACAGAGAGATTAACGTGTGCTAATGATGATACGATACAGTAAACGCGTTAATAGGTGAAAGCGGGTGTTTAATTGTTATGGTTATGGTCAAGAGATTGTCAGTTAATTGTCAATATCATGAGACTTGATTCAATGTAATAGAATAAGAAAAAGAAAAAGAAAGAGGAAGTGCAAAGGAAAAAAATAGATGAAGATGCTAAGATGAGTAGTTTGTAAACTAGTCTTGTAAGAAGATTAATAAGCAAAACAAAGCGGGATTTTGAAGGTTCAACGGGCTCAGTGTAGACCAACAATCAACTAATAGCTGTTTAGATGTATAAAAAAAAGCATTAACAAGATTGACTAAATTTGACAACAATAAATGACAAGAGAAAAAAAAAACAAAACCGCAAATGAGAAAAAAAAAGTAACAATAGTTTTTCAATTCTGTTCTTCATCCGTTTAAATTGCTTAACTATTTCACTGTTACAATTAACTGTTACATTGATTGTAATCTGAATATCTATTATATCTCGGAGATAATGTTGGAAATTGGTAAATCACATGTACACTTATCTTTATCAGAGGGGAAAAAAATAAAGCCTAATATATTTTATTACTTTTTTTTTTGGATAAACCGATAAACTTTCAAGTGAAAATTTTACACTTACCTCGACCTTTTCAACTACTTGTTTACCAAACGAACACACTTTCGTTGAACATGTTATCATCATGCTTTTCGATGATTCAAACATAGCAGTTACTCCATAGAAGGCATTCTCGAGCATTAGATCTTGAGGGATTCCGAGATCAGCCTGATGATGATTAGCACGAAAAAGAAGAAAAGTTAAAAGAAATAGAGATTAACAAAGTGAGATTGATTAGTTTGAACAGAAAGAAAGGAAAAATTGTAAAGGTTTACGTAACAATCTTAATAACCAGCTATCATTATAAGCTTAAGGATGACAAATATTACATAGGAAATTTATAGAAACTAGAAAAATAAAGGTAGAAAGAGATAGAGAAAGAGAAGATAAAGTGAAACTGAGATGATTTCTGCTCAATAGAGACATGAGACATTATATAGATTATTACAAGAACAAGGTTAAGGGTCAAAAATACTAGACTATTGATCATCGTACTTTAGATTTGATGAGACGAGGATTAAGATATTAACTGTTGATATGAACATTTTAAAGTATAAGTTCGAAGTTGAAAAGAATCATTCGATTGAGAATCAGGGGGGAAATGAGATAGAGAGAGAAAACTTACCCAAAATTTAACCAAAAAGAAAGCATTTTGTGGACCTTTGTCATATAACTCTTTGAGTCCTTCTTTATTTTGAGGGAATTTATCACTTATTTGGCGAATATCTATGTCTTCCAAAATTGGATCAGAAAACGATGTAGGCCCACCGATTTGGACGAAAATATGTTTGGTAGCCTGAACACCGGAACCAATTTCTAGAAAGGCTGTAAACTCACAGAGTCTCAATTCATGTGTAGCTATACACCGATCCTCAAGTGAAGGTACATTGTTATTGTGATTATTGTAGTGGGAAATTGCATTGGATATCAAGTTGGATACACTGTTGAAATTTTTCAGCTCATTGAATGGTTTTATATCATCGGTTGTAGTGGGTCCAGCTGGTTGCCATAGCTGAGTCTAGGTGAGTGAAAAAAAAGATCGAAAATATTAGAAAAAAAAATAAATACAAAAATTGATTAAAAGTCGATATACTAGAGAAAAAAGAGAGATGAGAAGGCGAAGAAAAGAAAAGAGGAAAGAAGAAAAATCAAGGCAAAAGATTTTAACCTTTGTCTCCTTCCCCCATTTCGGGTAACAAGGTATGGAAGAAATGGAAAAAAGAAGAGAAAAAAGAAAAAGAGAAGAGAAAAAGAGAGAAAGAGAGAATAGGAGACACACACAGAGAGATGAAGATGGAAATAAAAGAGAGAGAGAGAGAGAGACGATTTGTTACCTTCAATTTGGACTGCATTTCCCTGGCTTTCCGTCGGGCAAGCACTTGAATATGACTAGATACTTGTTTCCGTGTTCGAGTTTTACCAGTTCGTAATTTAATATAACGAGCAATCAGCTCGTTTCGTCCATACATTTTACCCTCATCCGAGAGGATAATTTTACGTCGACCACAGGGTGGGTAAATGGCAAGAGCTTCTTGAAAGCTTTGTTCAATGTCAGCAGACCAAACACCTTCAGCATCCGAGTTTGATGTATTGTGAATATCTCCCTCCAATGAACCATCTTTACTTGAATCATCATCATGAGAACTCATTGTTGGATTCATTTTGATTGTGAACAAAACACCAAAACAACAAATGTAACTGATTTTTTTATATATATATTATTATATTTTTTATTTGTTATCCGATGATTAAATGAAACACTAAAGTGATACAAACAGAACCAAAATTTTCACTTACCTTTCATCATCTTCCACACTGCCATCTGTTTCCATCTGATGGAATCACAAACAATAAAGGATAACCGAGATTTCGAGCTTATGTGTCGCCATCTATTGGAAAAACATTTCACTTCTTTTCGAAACAAAATTTTTTTTCTCTCAACTTTGTTTTCTCAATTTTTCTTTTCTTTTCTTTTCTAAATTGTTTATCAAACTTTTCCAAGTTATTACGAAAATTTCGATAATAATTTTGGTAATTAGGTAATTTAATTTGTAGACTTTTTCTAATTGTGATTAACTAATTCGCTGATCAACTTTTCATTGCTTAGAAATAATTTATGCAATTGAATTGAAGGTTGACTTTTTTTGCTTCTTGTTTTTGTTATGGTTTGTTGACTAATTTAGTTTGTTTTTTTTTGTTAATTGTTGTTAATTACTGTTGACAGTTGAATTGACAGTTTGTGATCAAGGCCTAACCACAAACACAATAGGAAGATGATGATAATGATCATTAAGGTTAAATCTTGATGCTTTGAGTTGGTGACAAAAAAAAAGGTCTAACCAATTGGTTGTGGTTACAATTAAATTCAATTAAAAGTAAATCAATTGATCTTTTTCCTGTTTTTGTCTAATTATTATCGTTAATTATAATCAGTTAATGATCTTGAATGATCAGATTAACAATAATAGAGTGCACTGCTACAGGAACAATTAAAAATAACGGTTGACATTTTGTAGCAATTAAGTTTTTTTTTCTGATCTTCTTTATGATCCCTTTAATTGTTTGGATCAATTTTTTTTACCTCTAATCAAGTAAGTAATCATCAATTAATACAATTAATATTAGTTTTAACAATTGTGTTCAAATTGAACTCTTTTTTTTTAATTCGTAGTTAAAATTAACTAATACAATTAAATGTCCAATGGTGATTGATGATTTTGTGAGATGAATGAAAAGTTGATGAAGTGTAACAATTAAAAAAAAACATAATCAGTTAATAGTACAAAATTAAAAGATATTCATTTTCAATGGTATTGAAATGTGAAGTAAATCGGTTGACAGTAGTCTTAAAGACAATTACAATTAATTGATTGAGATTAAAATGGTTCATGATTAATAAATGATATGATTATCAATCAAGAACATGATCAATTTTGACATGCTAATGAAAGATACAAAATAAAAGCTATGATTTAATTGATTGTTGTTGGTTAAAAGTTGATCTTTTCTTTAAAAAGATATTCATTTGATGATTATGTCATAAAATCCTTTCAATCTATTGATTGTGATTAAAAGAGAGAGAGAGAGAGATCCTTATTGTTGATCCTTTTGATTTGTGTATAGTTGAATTATGATTAAAAGATTAATTTTTAACGGACTTTGCAGGCACAGGAATTAAATTACCCCAGTTTTTACCGATTTTAACATTTACCGACATTCCAACAGACAATTCATTGGCACAAGCGTTCATGCATCTAACAATTAGACTTTTGGCTTTTTCGATAATCGAATCGTGCACCTCGTATACTAGTTCATCGTGAATTTGAAGAACCAGGTAAATGTCTGCGATGTTGCGCTTATTCATTTCCCGCTCGATTTTACAAATGGCCATTTTCGCTATATCGGAAGCCGACCCTTGGATCTTGGTGTTTAACGCTTGCCTTTGGATTTTGGATACTTCTTCGTGACCTGGGTTGTCTTTTTTGGCGATAATGTAACGCCGGCGTTTGTGTAAAGTTTCAACGTAACCTTTGGTTTCGATATCTTTTTTACAAGTTTCGATGAAATCTTTCAGTTCGGTGTATTTATTGAGAAAAGTTTCCCGGAAACTTCTCGCTTCTTCATGATGTATTCCCAGTTGATTACCAAGCTCCTTGATACCCATTCCATAAATTATACCATAACAAACCTGTTGAAAGAAAAGTTAATTAGATCAATTGATTAACTACTGAGATTGTAGGTAGAGATGGAAATCTTCACTTACTTTTTTAGCGGCTGATCGCTCATCATCCGTAACTTGGTCCAATGGTTTTTCATTTAACTGACTAGCTATGGTTTTGAAAACATCTTCACCTCCGTTCAAAGCTGCTAATAATAATTTGTCTTGAGAGAAATGAGCCAAGATTCTCAGTTCTAATTGACTATAATCAGCTGATATGAAAGAATGATCTTCTCTTGCTTGGATAACGGATCGTACATTAATCATCTTTTCTTGGCCATTCAGTTCAACTTTAAAAGGCTTTGATAGATTAAGTAGGTTAGGATTGGTCATTTGAACTCTTCCTGTGACTGACCAGTGAACACTGTTACCAGAGACTCGACTTAAAGTATCACTTTCACAATCAGGTCTTATTTCTTGTAGAATACTAGTACAACATTCAATTGCGAAATTTAATCCACGCTCATAAATAATTAGTTTCGGAAACTTGTGAAATTCAGCAAGTTGATGGAGTATCTTCTTATTTGTCTTTAAATGGTCAGGTAATTTTCGAGAGGCATTGGCGGGAGCAGGCATTCGAAGTTTACCAGGTACCTCAACACGATCCAAATATGTTAATAATTGCAATTTCGAGTAAAGGATTGTCGACAATTCGGCCTTTTTATCAACATCATATGATTGGTTGATTAATTCTTCCCCCTCGGCATGGACAGAACTTTCGAATTCAGACCAATCGTATTGTAAGTCGGTTAACTGTTTTACATTTACACCGATTCCATCAATTCCATTTCGGACAGAATTGGTATCAAATTCATTTCAATTTTGGCAAAATATGTGCTCAATTTCATTTTGATTAATTTCTGACCATATTCATCTTTCAATTTGAATAGATAACCAGCAGAAATGCAACTTTTATCCCATTGTGATTCGTTGTCGTCAAAATGATCATCAATATCAATCTCATTTTCTATTAGAGGTAAAACTAAATCAAGACATTTGCTTGGCTCTGTACATTCTGGATCGAGTAACCATTTAGCGACCTTGACATCCCACCAAACGATATTTTTCATCTCTTCCTTGGAAAGATCGAAACATTTTCTGAACACTTTGTAGGTTTGATAAAGATCGTAAACAGTAAAAGTCACCGGCTTGGTTAATGATCTAATAAATGATGAAATTTTTTCGGCAAATTTTTCGAGATTTTGTTTACCAATGATACGATAAACTTTTCCACTTTCTATACTCAAAGACACTTTGGTTAAATGTAATAACTTATTATAAGACAGTTCAAGGCCATCAACATCTTTGTTGTTGTTTGATTGCGACAATGAATCGGTACCGATTTGAGTTGGAGGAAATAAGTAGGGCTGTAAATCTACAATCAGTGAGATTGATTCTGAACTTTTTAGTTTGGTGAAAAGTTCACTCATCGTGATGGGATCGGTAAGATCTTCAACTTGAAAAGAGATGAAATTGATTGGGAATTATTTTCAACTGGATCACAATTAATCACTGGCGAACAGGCGGTAAAATTTGATTCAATTTTTTTCATCTTGAGTTGAAGAGCTCCGTCGATTGTTGAAAGTTCAACTGGACTTTTGGATCGCTTTGCACCGATCGGTTCGTTATCACCATTTAACGACACTGGACTTGATCCACGAGATAAATTATTTTTTGATCCGTTCGGAATATAAATTGCATCAAATTCAAGAGATGTATAACTTGAACTATTTTCTTTGCTGTTACTTGCAGCACTACCAAGGGAAGTGTTTATTGTTTGTGAGGATCTTTCCGATTTATTATTATAATTAATGATCATTCGTTCTCGATGCTTTTGATTTGCTAAATTGGTGTTTTTCACTCTTTGTGCTTTGTTGTTCTTTGCTTTCATGGGTCTCTTTTTATTCACGGCTAATTTATTTTTCTTATTCTTGGAAAACTTGGTTTTATTTGGGTGATCAGCTTGATTAACTTCTTGACTTCCAGTGTCCATTTCATCATTATCCCAATTCACTCGACTACCAACGATCTGATTAACAATTTCCCGAGCTTCTTCAACTATTAGTTTGGCTAATTCAGCATCACCAACAAATCGAGCAACTCCTCCGATCCAAATTTTACGATGTTCAGAACCTGAATCATTTTCCATCCTAAAAGGGCCAGAGTTTGTTAAGGCACGTTCAACTAGAGCGAGTTTACTTCTAGCTAATAGGGTCACCATTGTGTAACCAGCTTTGTACAAATGTCGAGCAATGTCAACAGTTAAAACAGAAATTCTCATTAAATCAACCAATTCTCGTTGAACACCAAACTGAAGTCGATCCTGATATTGGCCAATAATCAGTTCGAGATTCGTATAACCTAATCGTTGACAAAACATCGTAATGATACCGGAAAAAGCTGCAGCATTTTGTTGAATCGATTGTAATTCACCTCGAGGAATACCAAATTTCTCAGCAACTTTTCTCAACGGCATTTCTTTAACTAATTCCGATAAAGCGAGAGCGAAATAAAATCTCACATGAACTTTAGTACTCGCATCATAATTGGATGATTCGGAGAGGGCTCGTCTTTGAAGAAAAGCAGGATTGATACCAACGATTTTAGCGACTTGAAGAGTGTCTTCATCTAATTCCATGTAAATATCATAATACTTTCTCCAATTAACTTTTTCTTTGTCACCAAGAGGAAGAGTCACTTCGAAAAGTACATGAAGATCAGTGGAAAGTACGAATGCTTTTCTTGCTTTCTCAAGTTCAGAAACATAATAAAGAGCCTGTTGTGGACTGATGGACGAAGCAAGAACCGCTTTTCCTAATTTGGTTGATTCGTAGTATGAATTAGCTTTGTAGACGATAAATTTGTTGGTCGACAATTCATTTAAGACTTCAAGTACATGGTCGAAAGGTAAAGGTCTTTGTAGAGCTGCATAAGTTGAATTTAAATATTCTTTGATCTCATCTTGGTTTATTGTCATTTCACTTGCGATACCTTCGAGAATGGCACGTTTCAGACTCTCTGTAATGATGTTTGCAGATTCACTTGTAGCTTGCACAAGATTAGACTTGATTTCTTTCAAAGCGCAAGTAGCTAATTCTTTACCAGTTTCCTCTTCGTTTCTATTACAGATCAATATACTTTCACCTCTGTCATCGATACCTTTTCTACCCGCCCGACCAACCATTTGTTTGTAGGTCATAATGTCCATCATTTTACTTTTGAAGTTCATTGGTGTTGCGATGATAACTCGACGAGCTGGTAAATTAACACCAGCTGATAATGTTGATGTTGCCGTAAGCACTTTGATTATTCCTCGACGAAATCCTTCCTCGATTATCTCACGTTCTTCCATTGATAATCCTGCATGATGATAAGCGACACCCCATGGAATTATTTTAGATAAAAGCAGCTCAGTAGAAGCCTGAGTTCTTGCTAACTGATCTACTATATCTGTGGCATCTTGTTGTTTTAACACACTAGTTAATTTCGTCTTGATTTCATAATTATCACTTTTCATCAAAGCTGAAACCAATATTGCAAACTCTTTAGCTACGGTTTCACATTTTGCTTTTGTTGGACAAAACATCAGAACACCATTGCCCTCAAGGAGCGTTTCGAGTGCACAAAACAACGAGACATCTCTTCGTTGTCCTTTGGGATTGAAATCCATATTATGAGTGTCAGGTAAATCATGATTTTCTTTTAGATCAGGAGCAACATAAATTTTATCGCCTATTAAGATTTTCTCTGCCAATGGAACAGGTCTAAAATGAGTAATATACAATCTTGCGTCCATCCATGCAGCGATTTCGCCTAAATTGGGAACTGTAGCACTCATGCCGACAATTTGAATATGTTTTCCTTTGTGTTTTGACAAATATAATAATTTGGCCAGTAACAGTTCCAAGTAATAACCACGACTAGAATCCCCAAGCATATGAAGTTCATCAACGATAATCGAACCAATAATTTCGGTGTTATTTTCTTCGACTAATCTATTAGATTTAAAGCAAAAGATAAACAGAAAAGATTAATATGATTTATCAGTTTCAATCATCAAAAATTAAACATACTTGTTGATGAAATTATTTGCTTTCTCAATTGTGCAAACAGCTATTGAACATGCAGCTAATCCTCCGGGTGTGTGTTGATTACCCATAAAACCACCGACTATTATTTTCGATGATCGGAGCATAGTTTTCAGTCCTAAAACCCGTTCCCGACTTACAGAAACAAAAGGTAATATAACGATTGCTTTTTCCTTTCTTCTATTACTTTTTTCATCATTAAAATGTCCGAAACAATTGTTTTACCGGCTGAAGTTGGAGCAGAAAAAACTAAATTTTCACCCTTAATAACACCAGGCAAGGATAAACATTCAGCCTAAACAGAGAAGAGAAATCAAAATTAATAATCATAACAATTAACGAATTAAAAACAAATGAAATAAGCTTTTTTTCTTACCTGCCACTCGAAAAGTTTATCAACTCCTTTACTCTTATAATAGCGAATCATGTAATTAGGTAACTTCCAATATCCCAATGAACATCTTTTCTCAATTTCTTTTGGATCTAAATCTGTCGCAGGAATCATCGGATTCGTAGTTTGCCTTGGTGCCCATGGAAGGCAAGAAGTTGATGGTGATAAATTTGATTCTATGATTGCATCATTAATTGGATTAATTTTTCTAAACTGATCATCAGTTTCTAGACATTCAGATTCGACCTGTTGATTGAACAATAAAAAAAGAGAAAAAAGCTTGTTAGTAATTTGATGATTCGTTAATTATGAAAAAAGAAAAATTATTCACCGTGGATTCGAATATCTTTGGTTGGGGTCGATTTCCAATCGATTTTTTATAATATAAGTCAAGAGGTTTTTCCATTTCTTCGGTCAATTATTTCGTTATAAGAGTAACATCATGCACAATTTTCTGCAAATGAAAAGATTTAATTAGTAAAAGATTAAAAGATTTTCCTGTTTTGGGGAGAAAAAAGTTAATCATTTGTGCTTGTTATCAACTATGGTCACGACAAATTAATCAATAAACAAAAGATAATTCAACATGATTAATTAAGGAAAATGTTGAAAGTTTATTTTCGGAATCTCTTGAACAATGGATGCCGAGCTTCATAATTTTTAGCTCTTGCTTTGTATTCCATGTAAACATTATCATCGGCTCCCGAAATTGAGCCAATGTTTCCAACTCTTCGCGTAGCAGTTGATCCTGATGATTTAGCAAATGGATCATTGGGAACTTTTTCTTCTTCCGCTTCCGATTCATTGGCAGCTAAAACTTGATGAAGAAGTTGCTGTTGTTCATCCTTATTGGTATAAAGTAATTCCTCCTCGTCCATTCCCTTCAACTTGGTTATCACCTTGAAAGCATAACCTTGATTAACAAGGAAACTTTGACGTTTTCTAGCATAATGCATTTCTAAAGTATCTTGGGAGACAAGGGAGTAAAAGAAAGCATTATAGTCTTCAGCAATCGCTCCCTTTTTAGCTCTTAAAATTCTACCAAGACGTTGAGCTTCTTGTCTTCTTGAACCACCGTGACTAGAGATTTGGATTAATACATTAGCTTCCGGAAGATCGAAAGATGTATCAGCAATTTTTGAGACGAAAATAGTGTTCACTTTAGGATTGAATTTGAAATTCTGTAAGATTTGCATTCGCTCTCCTTGAGAAGTTGGACCATAAATATAAGGCCTGAGAAAAATATCAAAGAGATTATAACATTAAACAATCAGAATTGAAAAAAATTCCATGTGCTTCAAATTGACTTACTTATTCATCTTAACTGCATAATGTATCAGAGCGAAAACATTATCGGAGAAAACGATAACTTTATCATTACGTCTCTCATGATGTCGAACCAAAAATTGACAAGCTCGAAATTTATTCGGGTTCATTACATATAGAAGCTAAAAAAGAAATTTATGAATGAATTAAATAATACTCTAATGCATTAATCGAAATGAAATTAGATGATTTTGAGTTTGCTTACCATTTTTTTGCAAGTTCGTGTTACTAAATATTCCCGATAAAACTCTGGCGTCATTGGGCACCAAACTTCAGCACATTGAACTTTAGCGATATAGCCAAGTGATTCCAATTCATGCCAATTAGCTTCATAAAGCTTTGGACCAATCAGGAAATTTAAATCTTGAATTTTATCATCTTCACGAACTAAAGTAGCAGTTAATCCTAATTTACAATGAGCTTTGACAATGGTTAATACTCTTCGGAACATTTTAGCTGGAATGGTGTGAACTTCGTCGAGTAACATTAATCCCCATTCTTGATCTTTCATCCAATCCATAACTTTTTCAGCTTCGTAGCTTCTTTTTTGTGTGTGGGTTATCATTGAATAAGTTGTGATACAAATACCACAATTCATTGGCTTATCCTTAGCATCAGATGTAAATCGACAAATAATACTGTCATCAGCAGTTGACCACATTTTAAACTGTAATTATAAGATCAGAATGAATCAGATAAATTAATCGTATCTATGTTATCGTGATTACTTATAAAGAAAAAGAAAAGAATAAGCCTTACCTGGGCTTTCCATTGTTCGACTGAAACACCAGAGTTACATAGAACCAGGCATCTTTTTCGTACTGTACAACATGAGGTTACACCTACAAGCGATTTACCGGCACCACAAGGTAATACGATTATACCTGATCGAGCTCTACCATTACCGAACATTTTTCGTAAACTTTTTTCTTGATATGGACGAAGAACAGCTGAAGGTTTAAGATCAATATTGATATTTGGATTGACTGAATCATTTTTAAAATCATATTCAGCTAAAAGAGGATGCTCAAGGACGATACACTGTTTTTGTATAATTTCAATATATTCTTGTTTCACTTCAAATGAAACTGTTTGAAGAGTCTCATTATCATCATCATCATCATCATCACCTTCCATTTTTTCGATGAAATTAGAAATATCATCAGGAACACTTGTCGATTCAATTTGAGCAGCTTCACCATCTTCTGGTGCTGTTGTCGATGTTGTTGCTGTTTCTCCCAATTTACTGTTCATAACTTGAGAAGCTGAGACTTTTTTTTGTGATTCTTTTATGAACTCTTCACTTGCTTCATCTCGCCTCAAACGACATTTCTGAATAGTTTCATCTTTCAGAAGCTTTTGTAAAATATGCTAATCAAGAGAAGAGTAAAAACATCCAATTAATGATTTGTTAATCTAAACAAAATTAATCATCAATACTCACAGGAAAAGGACTTTCAATAAAATAACGATTGTGTTTCAAAACCAATTTGACTTTACCATAACTGACTGTACACTCCTATATGATAATTAATAGAATACAACTGAATTAAGTATGAGATTGAATAAAGTGTCATCTCATAAATACCTTGATAAATTCAACAATACCATTAGGAATTGATGTTTTACAAAGGCGTCTCAAATATTCAATTATATCATCTGTTTGTAAGCCAACGGAGACAGCGGCATAGAGCGAGTAAGCGGTCAGCTTATATTCATGAACATTTTCTGGTCGTGACACAGGTTCAGAGATGGCAATCAGGAAATCATGGGCATGTTTATAGACAGGGGAAAATGTTTCTAAGAAAACATGTCCATCAGGAGCCTAAAAAATGAGAAAATGATGTAAAAAAATATAGGAAAAAAAACATTAGATGACAAATATGAAAACATGGTAACCGGTCAAGGATCAAGTGAGTAAATAGTTGATGTTTTGTATTTTCTCAGGACCTTTTGTCATCTAATTATCAAGTATACAATTAGAAATGGACTGATTACTTACCACCCATAAGGGCCTTGCATCAGCGTCAGATCTTAATTCTAAATCAGGCCTGTAATCTTTAGCTCCAAATTCATCACGTAAAACATCATCGACAATTTGTTTACCAGCAGCTTTAGGTATTGATGCATCTGAAAATAAGAAACCAAATTAATTATGTATAGTAGAATTTAAATTATTGAGAATCAATTCAAAGAAATAAACTTACCAACAGCCTCATCATCGTCATTGTCATCAACAGGATCCTCAAAATAAGGAGCCTTTTTCTTGAAGCTTTTGTCTAGTTTGTTTAGGTTTAGAAGGTGGAAAATAATTATCACAAGCTAACATAAAAGTCGCCTTCAAGGAGACAACACAAAGCAAAATGAAAAAGAAAACACAAAAGTCAATGAAAAAAGGTACTTACCCTTTTTACCCATGGATAGCTAATGAAAAAGAGCAACTTTAATCCAAATTAATTGGATCAATTAGAAAGTAATTAGAAAAGAAAGAAAAATTAAGAGAACAAGAAAAAAAGAAGAGAATCTGTTATGGAGAAAAACTAAAAGTGAAATGGAAATGGAAACAAGTGGTAGAAGGAGAAGCAGAAAGAGAAAGAAAAGAAGAAGGAGAATGAAAGGAGGAGAAAACCCAAAACCGAACAATTGAATTAAAATGGTGACCACAGTTGACCAAAGCACAATTAAGATTATAAAGTAAAAAAGGAGCAATTAACTTACCAAAAATGAACAACAAATGGATTAAAAGAAAAGAAATTGATTGAATAAAAACATAAAAGCTTGCGAAACCTTAAGCCTTAGAAGATATTAAATTTGTTCCCAATGGATTAAGAAAACATAAACTGGGATATTGTTTATCCAGTGGCACAGTTGAAACAATTAACAGTAAAAATGAATGATTGTTTAAATGTCGAAGGTTAAATTGTAATCATTAAGGATTAAGATGGTTAGAGAATGAGAGAAGAAGATAAATAAAACCACTGGGAGAACAAATAAAAAGAGAGGGAGAAAGGGAGAGAAAAGGAGGAGAGTTGATGTTGATTCGAATGCAACAAATTGTTACTGGTTAACTTTTCCTTGCTTGGTGATATTAAGCTGCTTTTTATTGGCGCCAATGGAAAGCGGGGAACAAGAGGAAACAGTGAGGCTGATTAACGCTAGAAGCAAGTGATCAATGAGGAGAATGTGCTATTCCGATATTCTAGAACGATGTCCGATGCTGGTTCGATGATGAAAGAAAGTGATACAGTTTCAGGCGATATTTTTGAAAAGCGAACTTTATTTGTTTTGATTGATAGAGAAAAAAAAGTAAATAAATAACGAAAATTTTTCTTTGGTAACATGTCAAAGTAGAAAAGATTTGATTAATGTTTTTGCTTTGGTGCTTTTTCATTGTAAGAAGTGAACATTATGTTGGATTCAGTTTATCAATTTTGTATTTTCTTTTGAGAAAATATATTTTCCTTTGCTGGTCAAGTTTTCAATGTTTTGTGATAAATTGTTGACAGTTGTTGGTAACGCTTTTTAATGGTGACACTAATTCAATTCCGGTCGAGTTGATTGCATGGGACAGTTTAGATGGTGAACTATTTGCTTGTAATGGATCGACTTTTTTAAGCTTATGCTGAGGGATTCCGTCGATAGTTGAATGTTCAACTGGACTTTTTAATCTCTTTGTGTTGTCAGAATTTGACGAAATTGGACTTTGACCATTGGGTATGTAAATATGAACCGATCTATGAGATGTTGTCGAACTACTTCCGTTATTTAATCTTTCTTTTTCTTTTCTTTGCAATAGTGAGACGGCCTTTTGTGTGATTTCCCGTGATTTACTTTTCTTTGCTTTCATGGGTCTCTTTTTATTCATGTTCAGATTATTTTTCCTACTCCTGGAACTTTTTTGTTTATTCATTTGTTGGCCATTGTAATTTGACAATCGACCTTCAATAGCAAGATTCTCTTGTCCCCATTCCACTCGAACACCAACAAGCTCCGTTATGATTTTGCGAGATTCTTCAACAATTAATTTGGCTAATTCATGATTATCAATGAATCGAGCGGCTCCTCCGATCCAAATTTTACGATGTTCCGAACCAGATTCATTTTCCATTCGAAATGGTTCAGCATCTGACAGAACTCGTTCAATTTGGTTAACCTCACTATTAGCTAATGCAGCAACATTTACATAACCAGATTTGTACAAATGTCGAGCAATGTCAACGGTAAGAACAGAAATACCCATGAGATCAACCAGTTCTCGTTGAACACCAAACTGAAGTCGATCCTGATATTGGCCAATAATCAATTCGAGATTCGTATAACCTAATCGTTGACAAAACATCGTAATGATGCCGGCAAAAGCTGCGGCATTTTGTTGAATCGATTGTAGTTCACCTCGAGGAATACCAAATTTCTCAGCAACTTTTCTCAACGGCATTTCTTTAACTAATTCCGATAAAGCGAGAGCGAAATAAAATCTCACATGAACTTTAGTATTCGCATCATAGATATGAGAATCTGAAAGCGCTCGTTTTTGAAGGAATCTTGGATCGATGCCTATTACTTCAGCAACTAGAAGCGTGTCATCATCTAATTCCATGTAAATATCGTAATACTTTCTCCAGTCGATTCTTTTCTGCTCTCCAAGGGGAAGTGTAACCTCGAAGAGAACATGAAGATCATTGTTCAATACGAATGCTTTCCGAGCTTTATCAAGTTCAGTCACAAAATAAAGTGCTTGTTCTGGGCTGATAGACGAAGCAAGAACTGCTTTACCCAATTGTGTCGATTTGTAAGATCTATCGCTTATGTAAATGATGAATTTGTTAGTCAACAAATCATTTAAGACGTCAAGTACATGGTCGAAAGGTAAAGGTCTTTGTTGAGCTGCATAAGTTGAATTTAAATATTCTTTGATCTCATCTTGGTTTATTGTCATTTCACTTGCGATACCCTCGAGAATGGCTCGTTTCAAACTCTCTGTCATTACGTTAATGCTGGTTTTATTAACGATAGTAGTTCGCACAAGAGTAGAGTTGATTGTCCTTAATGCACAAGTAACTAATTCTTTACCAGTTTCCTCTTCATTTCCATTACAGATCAATATACTTTCACCTCGGTCATCGATACCTTTTCTACCCGCTCGACCAACCATTTGTTTGTAGGTCATAATGTCCATCATGTCATTCATGAACATTGGTGTTGCGATGATAACTCGACGAGCTGGTAAATTAACACCAGCTGATAATGTTGATGTCGCAAAAAGAGCTTTGATTATTCCTCGACGAAATCCTTCCTCGATTATCTCTCGTTCTTCAAGTGACAATCCTGCATGATGATAGGCAACACCCAATGGAATTATTTTTGTTAGTAATGGTTCAGCAGAAACTTGAGTTCTAGATAGTTGGAAAACCAGATTAGTTCCCTCTTGATGTTTCAATACACCAGTTAATTTCGTCTTAATGCCGTGATTATCACTTTTCATTAGAGTTGAAACCAATATTGCAAACTCTTTGGCGAAAAATTCACATTTTGCTTTTGTTGGACAAAACGTCAAAACACCATTTCCGTCAAGGAGAGTTTCGAGTGCCAAAAACAACGAGACATCTCTTCGTTGTCCTCTACTATTGAAATACATGTCATAAGCTTTAGGGAGACCATGGCTTTCAGTTAAATCAGGAGCGATAAAAATTTTGTTGCCCATTAAGATTTTCTCTGCCAATGGAACTGGTCTAAAATCAGTGATATACAATCTCGCGTCCATCCATGCAGCGATTTCGCCTAAATTGGGAACTGTAGCACTCATGCCGACAATTTGTATATGTTTTCCTTTGTGTTTCGACAAATATAATAATTTGGCCAGTAACAGTTCCAAGTAATAACCACGACTAGAATCTCCAAGCATATGAAGTTCATCAACGATAATCGAACCAATAATTTCGGTGTTATTTTCTTCGACTAATCTATTAGATTTAAAGTAAAAGATAAACAAAAAAGATTAATATGATTTATCAGTTTCAATCATCAAAAATTAAACATACTTATTGATGAAATTATTTGCTTTCTCAATTGTGCAAACAGCTATTGAACATGCATCTAAGCCTCCGGGAGTGTGTTGATTACCCATAAAACCACCGACTATGATTTTCGATGATCGGAGCATAGTTTTCAGTCCTAAAACCCGTTCCCGACTTACAGAAACAAAAGGTAATATAACGATTGCTTTTTTCCTTTCTTCAATTACTTTTTTCATCATTAAAATGTCCGAAACAATTGTTTTACCGGCTGAAGTTGGAGCAGAAAAAACTAAATTTTCACCATTCATAACACCAGGTAAAGATAAACATTCAGCCTAAACAGAGAAGAGAAAACAAAATTAATAAATGATCTTTTAATCTAAAGTCTAACAAGTCCTTTCAAAGGAAAGTCTTACCTGCCACTCGAAAAGTTTATCAACACCTTTATTCTTATAATAGCGAATCATGTAATTAGGTAACTTCCAATATTCCAATGAACATCTTTTCTCAATTTCTTTTGGATCTAAATTTGTCACAGGAATCATCGGATCTGTAGTTTGCCTTGGTGCCCATGGAAGGCAACAAGTTGATTCTTTGATTGCATCATTAATTGGATTAATTTTTCTAAACTGATCATCAGTTTCTAAACATTTAGATTCGACCTGTTGATTGAAAAATAAAAAAAGAGAAAAAGATTGTTAGTAATTTGATGATTAGTTAATTATGAAAGAAGAAAAATTATTCACAAATACTCACAGGAAAAGGATTTTCAAAACAACAATTGGTTTTCAAAACCAATTTGACTTCACCATTACTGACAGTACACATCTGTATGATAATTAATAGAATACAACTGAATTAAGTATGAGATTGAATAAAGTGTCATCTCATAAATACCTTGATAAAATCAACAATACCATTAGGAATTGATGTTTTCAATTCTAAGATGGTTAGAGAATGTGAGAAGATGAATGAAACAATAAATGGAGAGATGAGAAGGAGAGTTGATGTTTAGAATCCCAAGTCAGTTGATTGAGTCGCAATTAAATCGACTGAGTCCAAGTTACTTTGGAATTGAATGATTCAACTTAGGCTTGGGTGGGAAGCATCCCTATTGTTTGAGAGAGGAAAAAATAACAGGTTAGTCAATCATCAATTTTGACAAACAAATAAAAAAGTGATGATAATGGTAACAGAAATGGAAAAGAAAGAAGCAAAATGTAAATTCTAAAATCGCGCTGATCAACAGCTGATCCGAATTTAAGTTTCTTCTTTTCTCCAGAGGGAAGTACTTATCTCCATAGTTTAGAATTTGAAATTTGTCAAATTTGTTTTCTCTTTGATTTTAATCATTGATAGAATTGATTAATTGATTTAAATTAGATTTTTATTCATGTGTAGTGTTTTTTTTAACATTTTCTCGTCGCCATGAATATTATCGATAGATGTTCAACTATGCTAAAAGAATTGAGTAATTCTAAGGGTGATTTTCTTCCTTTGCACAATCAAGAGATTGTTAGTGAATGTTTGACATCAATAAGAAAATTGTTTGAAGAAAATCAAAAGGAAGCCTTAGAGCAATCAACAAGTGAAATTCAATCATCTCAAGATGGACTGATTGTTGTCAAAATAAGACATTCAATCATTTTATTCATAAAACGTTGTCTAATTGCTTACCAGTAAGTATTAACACTTTTCTATTCCATTAATGAATTTAATATTCAATATTCAATCTCATTTCCCGCCTAATCTTGGTTTTCTTTTGTTTATTAATATTTTTTTCCTTTCCTTTTTGTTTAGTTATGAAAGATTGAACCGGTTAAAAAAACTTCGCTGGGAATTTGGAGCTGAATTACCATGTGAAGTCTCTGGAAACCTCAGTCCCAAAGAGGTTGAATGGTTTAACATTTATTGTTCAAATTTAAGTACCTACATGAGTAGGCTAAATGAAGGACAAGGTTTTGATTTAACCCTTAATCAAACTGCTCCCAAAAGGGTTTATATTCAAGTCAAATGTATTGTTGATCATGGTGATCATGAATTAGATGATGGAACAACCGTTTGTCTACAAAAAGACAGTTTATACCATTTACCATTTTCTCAATGTGAAAAATTGATACACCAAGGAATCATCGAGCAAGTTTTAGATTAAAATTATAATCAATAATTTAAACATTTAATTCTTTGTTTCTTCGATTTACTAATTCTCATGAACCAGATCAGAGAAGAGAAAATAACATCTCTGTTTACATTCGTTTTTTTCTCTCTCTCACTTTCTCTCACTTTCTCTCATGTGGATTGAGATACTTTGGTGGGCTTTTTGGCACTTTGATCATCATAATGAAAGATAGAGAAAGAGAGAGGGAGACCAGGAGGCAGTAGAAATTATTGTAACTGTGTTAAATTAACCTGATTAGTTGGTGGTCTTTGAGAAAAGTAGGAAGGCAAATTAACAGACGAAGGCAACATTGGTGGTGGTGAAAATGATGTTTCTGTTGATGACTTGGAAAATTGTGAGTCTTTTTTGAAATCGAAGCAGAATATAAATTGCAAGTGATGGGTAGAGAGAGAGAGAGAGAAAGAGAAAGATGATGAGAGATTGTGATGATAAGTGAAGTGAAGATGAGAATAGTGAAGAATGAGAGAGAAGAAAAGAGAAAAGAATTGAAAGAAAACGAGCAAGATTCTGATGTGCACATGATGAAGATGATGACGATGAAAGATTTGGTTTTAAAATGGATTAAGAGTTAGCAAAGTTTATGTACAATGATTAGATTTTTGTTTCTCTGTTTCTATGCGATTGATTTTCAGCGAAGTGTCTCCCGTTCTGAATTTGTAGCCATTTGAATTTGGTTGCAGTGGTTCGTAATCTTCCTCTCGGGTCGGTGGTCGTTTACGTTTGAAGAAACCAAGCTGATGGTGAGGAAAGAAATTGGAAAACATTAGTGACCATTTTTCGAATATGCAAAAATTGAATGTTATCAATGTTTACCTTCCAAAGCGCTAATGCCAATATGAAGAGAAGCAGTAATCCGACTAGAATGGCAAGTAGGATAATCCATAGAGGGATTGGAAGTCCTCTTTCCAATCCAATTACTCGGACATCGGTTGAAACTCGAGTCACTTTCGCTGGTATATAATCATTTTCAATTCCATAAGGTAATTGAACAACTTCAGCGACCAATTTAGATGAGACTTGAAATTCAGGTAAACCAATTTCAGAGATTGTTTTCTTGGATAATCGTGATCGAATGGTAAAGGTTATCGATTGACGACCTAAATTGTGAACATTACAAACAATTTTGGTACATTGTGTAGCTCCACAGGACTGGAAATAAACAAAAGGAAACCAAATACAAGTTACAGCCAAAAATAGAGATGAAGGAAGAGAGAGAGAAAGAAAAATAACAAAGAAAATTGTATTACTGAATTAATCTGATTATTTAATTTGCTTTTGTCATTTTACTTTAACAAAGTCACATTGAGTAACATTGTTCAGAAAAGGTTATCGATAGGGAAATCTTGATCTACATCAGTTTAATTCTAATTGTTACATAAAAAAACGTGGAGATTGAGCCAATGTTTCCAACTCTTCGCATAGAAGATGATCCTTATGGTTTAGCAAATAGATCACCGGTAACTTTTCTCTTCCGCTTCCGATTCATTGGCAGCTAAAACTTGATGAAGAAGTTGTTGTTGTTCATCCTTATTGGTATAAAGTAATTCCTCCTCGTCCATTCCCTTCAACTTGGTTATCACCTTGAAAGCATAACCTTGATTAACAAGAAAACTTTGACGTTTTCTAGCATAATGCATCTCTAAAGTATCTTGGGAGACAAGTGAGTAAAAGCATTATAGTCTTCAGCAATCGCCCTTTAGCTCTTAAAATTTACCAAGACGTTGAGCTTCTTGTCTTCTTGAACCACCGTGACTAGAGATTTGGATTAGTACATTAGCTTCGGAAGATCAAGATGTATCAGCAATTTTGAGAGACAAAATAGTGTTCACTTTAGGATTGAATTTAAAATTCTGTAAGATTTGCATTCGCTCTCCTTGGGAAGTTGGACCATAAATATAAGGTTGAACCTACAAGAAGGAGAATGTAAAGGAGGAGAAAACCTAAAACCGAACAATTGAATTAAAATGGTGACCACAGTTGACCAAAGCACAATTAAGATTATAAAGTAAAAAAAAGGAGACAACACAAAGCAAAATGAAAAAGAAAACACAAAAGTCAATGAAAAAAGGTACTTACCCTTTTTACCCATGGATAGCTAATGAAAAAGAGCAACTTTAATCCGAATTAATTGGATCAATTAGAAATTAATTAGAAAAGAAAAAAAAATTATGAGAGCAAGAAAAAAGAAGAGAATCTGTGTTGGAGAATAGAAAAACTAAAAGTGAAATGGAAATGGAAATGGAAACAAGTGGTAGAAGGAGAAGCAGAAAGAGAAAGAAAAGAAGAAGGAGAATGAAAGGAGGAGAAAACCCAAAGAGAGAGAAAAGAAGAAGAGGAATCAATTTTGTCGATGAATGGTGGATTGTAGAATCGGAGCTTGCGGTGGCGGAACACTTAAATCATTTTGTCGACGCTCCATCCATGTTGTCAACAGCGGACATGCTGTGTCCTTGGCAGCATTCACGTATGTTTCGGTTATGACTGAGTAAAAATGTCGAGCCATGGCATGATCCCAGGTTTGATTGTAAGCCTCCCAATATTGAAGCTCTGATTGTAGTTTTATCCAATCAAAATGATAATTGGGTTCTCTGGTAAACAATAGGCAGGCCGCCTTCACTTGAGTTTTCGTGAACGAATATAACATTTTGTCCTTTAACTTTACCAAATCGAATAGATTAACATTAACTGACGAAGAGATATCATCAGATTTAGAAACGGAACAAAAGTCATAAGTCATCATTACAAAATAATAGATGTTCACACTTTAAATAGTTTTAGAAGAATACGGAAACAGAAATAAATTTACTTCCTTTTGGTGACTGTGTCCATCTAGTGGAGAAGAAAAAATGATGATAAAAGAAAGTGATACAGTTTCAGGCGAAATTTTTGAACATAGAAAAACGAACTTACTTTGTTTTGATTAATAAAAAGTAAATAAATAACGAAAATTTTTTCTTTGGTAACATGTCAAAGTAGAAAAGATTTGATTCATGTTTTTGCTTTGGTGCTTTTTCGTTGTAAAAAGTGAACATTATGTTTGATTCAGTTTATCAATTTTGTATTTTCTTTTGAGAAAATGTATTTTCCTTTGCTGGTCAAGTTTTCAATGTTTTGTGATAAATTGTTGACAGTTGTTGGTAACACTTTTTAATGGTGACACTAATTCAATTCCGGTCGAGTTGATTGCATGGGACAGTTTAGATGGTGAACTATTTGCTTGTAATGGATCGACTTTTTTAAGCTTATGCTGAGGGATTCCGTCGATAGTTGAATGTTCAACTGGACTTTTTAATCTCTTTGTGTTATCAGAATTTGACGAAATTGGACTTTGACCATTGGGTATGTAAATATGAACAGATCTATGAGATGTTGTCTAACTACTTTCATGGGTACTGTCCCCATTCCACTCGAACACCAACAAACTCCGTTATAATTTTACGAGATTCTTCAACAATTAATTTGGCTAATTCATGATTATCAATGAATCGAGCGGCTCCTCCGATCCAAATTTTACGATGTTCCGAACCGGATTCATTTTCCATTCGAAATGGTTCAGCATCTGACAGAACTCGTTCAATTTGGTTAACCTCACTATTAGCTAATGCAGCAACATTTACATAACCAGATTTGTACAAATGTCGAGCAATGTCAACGGTAAGAACAGAAATACCCATGAGATCAACCAGTTCTCGTTGAACACCAAACTGTAGTCGATCCTGATATTGGCCAATAATCAATCCGAGATTCGTATAGCCTAACCGTTGACAAAACGTCGTAATGATACCAGCAAAAGCTGCGGCATTTTGTTGAATCGATTGTAATTCACCTCGAGGAATACCAAATTTCTCAGCAACTTTTCTCAACGGCATTTCTTTAACTAATTCTGATAAAGCGAGAGCGAAATAAAATCTCACATGAACTTTAGTACTCGCATCATAGATATGAGAATCTGAAAGCGCTCGTTTTTGAAGGAATCTTGGGTCTAAATCTGTCACAGGAATCATCGGATTCGTATTTTGCCTTGGTTCCCATGGAAGGCAACAAGTTGATTCTATGATTGCATCATTAGTTGGATTAATTTTTCTAAACTGATCATCAGTTTCTAGACATTTAGATTCGACCTGTTGATTGAAAAACGAAAAAAAAAGCTTGTTAGTAATTTGATGATTAGTTTAATATGAAAGAAGAAAAAATTATTCACAAATACTCACAGGAAAAGGATTTTCAAAACAACAATTGGTTTTCAAAACCAATTTGACTTCACCATTACTGACAGTACACATCTGTATGATAATTAAATTCATGTATCGTTTTCATGTACTACTAACAAACCGATAGAATCAACTGGAATTCTTCCAGTCGAATTTTCAAAAGAAAAACGAATGAAAGGAAAAGAGAATAGAATTTATTTCGTTTTCATTGTAACTCCACCAGATGGAGTAACTAGTCTCTAGTTTAGAATCCCAAGTCAGTTGATTGAGTCGCAATTAAATCGACTGAGTCCAAGTTACTTTGGAATTGAATGATTCAACTTAGGCTTGGGTGGGAAGCATCCCTATTGTTTGAGAGAGGAAAAAATAACAGGTAAGTCAATCATCAATTTTGACAAACAAATAAAAAAGTGATGATAATGGTAACAGAAATGGAAAAGAAAGAAGCAAAATGTAAATTCTAAAATCGCGCTGATCAACAGCTGATCCGAATTTAAGTCTTTTCTTTTTCTCTCCATAGAGGGAAGTACTTATCTCCATAGTTTAGAATTTGAAATTTGTCAAATTTGTTTTCTCTTTGATTTTAATCATTGATAGAATTGATTAATTGATTTAAATTAGATTTTTATTCATGTGTAGTGTTTTTTTTAACATTTTCTCGTCGCCATGAATATTATCGATAGATGTTCAACTATGCTAAAAGAATTGAGTAATTCTAAGGGTGATTTTCTTCCTTTGCACAATCAAGAGATTGTTAGTGAATGTTTGACATCAATAAGAAAATTGTTTGAAGAAAATCAAAAGGAAGCCTTAGAGCAATCAACAAGTGAAATTCAATCATCTCAAGATGGACTGATTGTTGTCAAAATAAGACATTCAATCATTTTATTCATAAAACGTTGTCTAATTGCTTACCAGTAAGTATTAACACTTTTCTATTCCATTAATGAATTTAATATTCAATATTCAATCTCATTTCCCGCCTAATCTTGGTTTTCTTTTGTTTATTAATATTTTTTTCCTTTCCTTTTGTTTAGTTATGAAAGATTGAACCGGTTAAAAAAACTTCGCTGGGAATTTGGAGCTGAATTACCATGTGAAGTCTCTGGAAACCTCAGTCCCAAAGAGGTTGAATGGTTTAACATTTATTGTTCAAATTTAAGTACCTACATGAGTAGGCTAAATGAAGGACAAGGTTTTGATTTAACCCTTAATCAAACTGCTCCCAAAAGGGTTTATATTCAAGTCAAATGTATTGTTGATCATGGTGATCATGAATTAGATGATGGAACAACCGTTTGTCTACAAAAAGACAGTTTATACCATTTACCATTTTCTCAATGTGAAAAATTGATACACCAAGGAATCATCGAGCAAGTTTTAGATTAAAATTATAATCAATAATTTAAACATTTAATTCTTTGTTTCTTCGATTTACTAATTCTCATGAACCAGATCAGAGAAGAGAAAATAACATCTCTGTTTACATTCGTTTTTTTCTCTCTCTCACTTCTCTCTCACTCTCTCATCATGGATTGAGATACTTTGGTGGGCTTTTGGCACTTTGATCATCATAATGAAAGATAGAGAAGAGAGAGGAGACCAGGGAGTAGAAATTATTGTAACTGTGTTAAATTAACCTGATTAGTTGGTGGTCTTTGAGAAAGTAGGAAGGCAAATTAACAGACGAAGGCAACATTGGTGGTGGTGAAAATGATGTTTCTGTTGATGACTTGGAAAATTGTGAGTCTTTTTGAAATCGAAGCAGAATATAAATTGCAAGTGATGGGTAGAGAGAGAGAGAGAGAAAGAGAAAGATGATGAGATTGTGATGATAAGTGAAGAAGATGAGAATAGTGAAGAATGAGAGAGAAGAAAAGAGAAAAGAATTGAAAGAAAACGAGCAAGATTCTGATGTGCACATGATGAAGATGATGACGATGAAAGATTTGGTTTTAAAATGGATTAAGAGTTAGCAAAGTTTATGTACAATGATTAGATTTTTGTTTCTCTGTTTCCTATGCGATTGATTTTCACAGCGAAGTGTCTCCCGTTCTGAATTTGTAGCCATTTGAATTTGGTTGCAGTGGTTCGTAATCTTCCTCTCGGGTCGGTGGTCGTTTACGTTTGAAGAAACCAAGCTGATGGTGAGGAAAGAAATTGGAAAACATTAGTGACCATTTTTCGAATATGCAAAAATTGAATGTTATCAATGTTTACCTTCCAAAGTGCTAATGCCAATATGAAGAGAAGCAGTAATCCGACTAGAATGGCAAGTAGGATAATCCATAGAGGGATTGGAAGTCCTCTTTCCAATCCAATTACTCGGACATCGGTTGAAACTCGAGTCACTTTCGCTGGTATATAATCATTTTCAATTCCATAAGGTAATTGAACAACTTCAGCGACCAATTTAGATGAGACTTGAAATTCAGGTAAACCAATTTCAGAGATTGTTTTCTTGGATAATCGTGATCGAATGGTAAAGGTTATCGATTGACGACCTAAATTGTGAACATTACAAACAATTTTGGTACATTGTGTAGCTCCACAGGACTGGAAATAAACAAAAGGAAACCAAATACAAGTTACAGCCAAAAATAGAGATGAAGAGAGAGAGAGAGAGAAGAGGAAGAGAAAGAGAAAGAAAAATAACAAAGAAAATTGTATTACTGAATTAATCTGATTATTTAATTTACTTTTGTCATTTTACTTTAACAAAGTCACATTGAGTAACATTGTTCAGAAAAGGTTATCGATAGGGAAATAGTTAACTGTAATTGACCATTGCGAGGTTACAAGAATGACCAATTCTGGGAATATCGAAAACCTTTCATCAAGTAAACTTACCAGAGCTTCAGCTAATGTTAAAAAAGTTTCACCGACATCCTCTGAGGTTGAATAGCGTTTGGTTCTGATGAGAGAGTTATTTTCATGGGTCAGATGGGTTATCGTTCTTGGGTCATCGGCGAGATAGTTTGAATATTTTCGAGTCTCCGGGTTACGTTGTCTCTGTAAGAAGAAGATGAGAAGAAAAAAACAGAAAAATCAATAAGGAGACAAGAAGATAGAAAACATTATCATGATTATCATGGTTATTTTCAATTAAAAGGGAGAATCAGCTTCAATTGAGAAAATAATTCAACATAAACAAGTCTCGAGTTGATTGATATAAATTGTGACCATGAATTGAATCAATAATCAACTAACTGTTGTCCAAAATTAATAATAATATTGATAATAAACTTTTAACATCATGTCTCTGGTATCATGTTGATCATGTTAACCATGTGTTACCTTGCAACAGATGATTGATAATCAATTTCAAGTGAATCCAAGACAATTATCGAGGAAACAATTTTCGTACGATTGTTAAATGAACTGTTCTAGTGTGAATGAGAAAAAAAAGACTTCACTTTCTTAGAGGAAAAACATGACAACAATTAACAGACCAAAAAGATGATCAAATTAAATGAAGATATAAAATAATAGTGAAATAAATAAATGAATTCTGAGTTACATTGACTGTGTGTGTGTGAGAGAGAGAGAGAGAGAGAGAGAGAGAGAGAGTTGATTGTGCAATGAAAAGAATCAAGAAAATAACAAAAACTATCAACTGTCCATGAGAATTTCAACTTGATTTCCTAATATTGATAAGATAAATGTCATGTTACATTGGAGAATTGAAGAAAGAATAAGAAACAGGACAAGAGATGAAGATAAGTAGAAGAGAAATCAAAGATGTAGAAGAGAAAAAAAAAGAATCCAATTGAATTCTATAAATTGTATTCTGTTCATTTTTCTTATTCCTTCAATTTTCTTGTATATTTAATAAACTAGAACAATTTAACTTGGAAAACTGATTAAGACTGACAAGTTAAACATCAAAAACAGTCTCTTCCTCATCTTCTACATCAGCTCACCCAAATTTCGTTTACTCTCTCAATACATTAACTTTTCCAATGTTGAGAAAAAATGAGAGAAAACAGAAAAAGCTTTTTCTTCATGATGATTCCTCATATGATTCGTGTATCTTTTCAGTGGTGGTGAATTCAATGCTTATATTTGAATAATCAACGATGAATGACTTTGAAAAGATGAAGGATAAAAAGTAAAGTTACTTATTTATTAACTTTAACTCTTTGAAATTTTCTGTTGATTATTGTAAGATGAAATTGTAACTGTAAGAATTAAATTATGTGTCAATCATTTTCTGGTGTCTTACCGGTAATTTAAGTGGATCGATTATTTCTGGACCAAGTTTACCACAATCAACGGTAACTGGTTGGACATCGGTTCCTCTGGTTATATCAATTTCCGGGTCAGAAAGCAGGTAAAGTAAATGTTTACCGTCCAGTGTTTTCGTTGGCCAAAGGATAGTGACACGTTCTAATTTTACGGAACTTGGCCCGTGATTTTGAAAGGTATAAATGTGATTAACCAGGTAACCAAAATCTTCCGCTGTAGTTTGATCATGAACAATTGTCTCTGAAACATTGTGAATAATTTGTTCTGGACTTGAAGCTCTACAAGAACAGTAAAGAATAGTAAAAACAATTAATAGTTTGAAAGTTTATCAAATAATTTAGTTGATTGTTTACATACCCAGTGCTGGTTAGATCAACTTCAACACGAACAGGAATTGATAATTGAACATGATTATCGCCAAGAGTTGAATTCAGTTCTGGATTAGTGCTGTTAACACTCATGAGGAACAGGAAGGTTGGTGATGCGGTTACAAAGAGCTTCGGTTTAAGATGGACGACAAAGTTAAGCTATGAACACAGAGATTAATTGAAAATTAATTAAAATTTGTCGCAATTAATCCGTTTCAATGTTGTAATCAAAATTTTACCTTGTCTCTGGCTAAAAGTGGATTACCAATGTCACATTTCAAAACGTTTTTACCTGTCAACTTAGGCTTGGGTGGGAAGCATCCCTATTGTTTGAGAGAGGAAAAAATAACAGGTAAGTCAATCATCAATTTTGACAAACAAATAAAAAAAAGTAATGATAATGGTAACAGAAATATCCTCAGGAATCAATTTTAAAAGAATCAAATTCATCTCTTTACTTTGAGTTGATTTATCACATAACAATCAAGTAGCTTATTCATTTTGAGTTATAAGTCAAACATTTGACAAACTGAATGAAACTCAAATTACTGATCATTGATACTTATTTCATGACATTCATAGTTATCTACATCTCTGTATATTTGTAGGATCTTTTTGAGTTGAGTCGCCATTTTTATCATCATATTAAATTATACTTGTCACTTTTACTTACCTTAATCCCTTCAGTGTGTGAATATTCAACATCAATGGGAATTTCAAGTTCAAATGTTGATTCGAAAGCATCTTCACGTTTATTCACAATGGTTACATTTAATTCAATCTCTTTGCCAGTTCCAATCAAATATGGATCAATGTTACTATTATTAGAAGATTAAAGATGAAAAGACAATTAGATTAACTTTCTAATCCAATAAATTTGATTATAGTGAAATGGAATAACAAAAAGATAGTAAAAAAAAAAAGTAATACTGATTATATATTATCGAAGAGAAAAAAAAGTTCTAAAAGTCCTTATATTCTGATATTATTGTTTTTCAAACACATACAATACGATGATTTATGCAAATTGATGGTATATATTGACTTTCTTAATGAATTGCAATTTCTTTTTATGATAATTGGCAATAGTAATTAACTTTTTATCACTTTTATTATTACTTGGAATGAGTTAGTTACTTACGGTTCAGCAGTTATCTTAAGATCGGGTATACAAATTTCATCGACACTACAGTTCTTGAGAATTGTTATATCTCGAGTTAGTTTATTACTCGAAACGTAACTTAAAATTGGCCTTGGCGATCCTTTAGTAGATTGGCTTGGAGGAGATGGATGATTAGGTAAATTGTGTTCAGCTTCGATCTTGATTGGAGTCAATTTGTCACGAATATTATTCTGTAAATATTGTAATTCCAAAAAAAAGCATAAATTAAATTGATAGATCAATCATTGTGTAGAATGATATTAATTAAGATCATTTAACTTACAGCGATATAAATTTTGAGCTTATTGCATCTTTCTCGTTTTCTTTGATAACTTTGACTGATTTCTTGTTCACTTTCAGTGGGATTGTTGAGGAAAAACGCTCTTGATGGACGATTAGCTTGATAATCAAGTCTTATGAAGGTGGTTAAATCTAGAAGATGGACCAAAGATGGACAAAATTAACATTGTATCATTTAATAAGAGACTTTTACTCTTTGTTTTATTAAAAGGATGAAACTGGATTAACGATAATTACCCATAACCTCTGGTAACTTGATTCCATCATAACTCAAACAAAATTCAATGTCCATACATGTTACTTTAGATCCATCATTGAGTAAACAAGAACGATCCTTTAGACTAATCTTGGGTGGATTAATCTTCATCGTGGTGTTAATATTGACCACTGGTCTTGACCTTAAATGGACAACACGATCTGAAGCATAAGCTCCTACCAATAGATCTGGATAAGCATTTTCATCCATATCCATACCTCCAGATAGTGAAAAGCCAAAAGTTTTAATACCAGGATCATTCAGATCTAATCCATTGATTACCTGGAAAATACAAAAACACAATAAAACAAATAAATGTAACTAATTAATCATTGAAAGGTAATTACTCAAGTCTATAGCTAAATTGTATCACACATTATAATATAAATTGTTAAATTATTGTTGGTAAAATGTTTTAGATTATTGTAACAATAATAGTGAGCAATGTAAAGGAAAATGTATTAATTGTGCCAGTAAACTGAATCAAATTTCGTCAATTAAAACAATGTAATCATCACCCAAATGACAATAATTATAATTCTGATCAAAAACAGAAAACTATTATAATTAATCATTCGAGGATAAAGCAACAAGTTAACAACAATAAAAAAAGGAGATGTTAAGCTTAGATGAATTTGCGATGATAATTAATATTCATCTTTTTAATCACGTTTCTAATTAATTGTTGAATTATTATTATAAGCTAAAAGAAAACAACTCATACATAGGATAATCTATGTAAGGAAAAGAAAACCTTGTCAACAATTAACTAATTACGACGCTCAGGGTATTATGGAAAATAGTTACTTTTAATAATTAGAATTGAGAATCAATCAAACTAAATGTTTATGTTGTTTACCTTTACATATGTAAAGAGAATAACAAAATCAAAGTAATCATATTAAGAGTGGAAGTTACATCTTATTTAGAGAGAGAGAGAGAATCGCAGGATAATGATGATGGAGATGAGAAAAGATGAAAATATGGGAAACGAATTTACCTGAGAATAGTTCTTGTTGATTCCATGTTTATTTCCATTGTAAATGTAAACTGCTCCTCGTTCACCTTCACCTCCATATGGAGCTCCAATAGCAATATCTATGGTGAAGATAATGAAGATAAAAGGAGAAAGAGAAAGAGATGATGATGATGATGAAGATGAAGATGAAAAGATTGAGGAAAAGTAAAAGAGAAAGAGATGGAAGATTAAATAAGATTGTATCTGCTCCTTGTCTATGAGAATATGAAAATACATGAGGAATTGAATACAAGTAAAACTTGTAGGTGAATCTTATTATCTCTGAATATGTAATATAAGAAGTTCCCTTGAAACTTAATTCCAATGTCAATCATCTTAGAGAGAAGAGAAAACGAGTTGGATAAAATTCACCAAGAGAATAGAATAAGAAATATATAACATGATTGTTGTTCACCATTCGTTTAATATTATCACTTTCATAATAATATGTAATAATAATCAAGAAAAATGTTCGATATTCTCATGAGAATATAGACTAATGTTGACCCAATAAAATTAACCTATTACACCTCGTTTTTTATCACCATGTTCTTCATGATTCCATGTTGAAATTCAGTTATTCTCTTCTAACAGAAAATGGATACTTGAGAGTTTATACTTGTTAATTTACCTTTCGAAATACATGCAACTGAGAATTCACTTAATTCTGTAACAATATCAGTAAAAGTAAAGAGGAAAACATGAGGGAAATGAAGTTTCATTGCACATTTCACTAAATGGTTGGAATTAAATGTAGATTAACAGTTTATATGCTAATTTACCTGAAATCGAATGGAACCTTTTCAACAAAACAAACATATTCGAACACAGAATTTAAACAATATTAAAACAAATGAAGATATAAAATTAATCCCTTGTTCTTGTTAAATCAACGTTAACATGGTGATGAGAATAATTTAATCTTCTTACCTGGATAACCGTCCATGTTAACATCTCCCAGTGAGGTGACAGCATTACCGAATCGTCCTCTGTGATTGGGTCCATCAATTTTATCACCGATTTCAAAATAGCCCTAATTAAAGATTAATGAACATATTAATTAATGAAAAGGAAATTAGTTGCGAAGAGACAATTGAATGTTACATGGCATCGAGTTAGAATTCAAGTTAATCAATTAATCAAATTGTTTTCCTTTTAATGAGTAGATTTTATTGTTAATCTGCAAATTATTTTTCTACTAATTAAATAAAACAATTAGGTAAGTAAGAGAGAGAGAGAGAAGACTAATTAAAGGTTAGTATCTTAATTGGAAGTTTATTAATTATGATTTTATCTTTTTCTTTTCTTTTTTTGGTAAAATCTTTTAATACTTTGATGATGTGATTGAAACAATTGAATTTTCTCTTATTTTTCCTGAACAATTAGTTAATTCTGTTCGTTTAAATCTAACAATCGACTTGAATTGTAAATTCTGATGAAATCATTCTGTTATTTTAGATGGAATCATATTCGTAGGTAAGATCGTTTTTAATTATTCTTTTTTATGATTTTCTATTCTAATTGTTACATAATAAAACGTGCAAATATTTGGAAATTAAGTACAATGAATTGAGAAGGAGAATCTATTTTCAGATAAATTTTGATACTTTTGCTGAAAAGAATCATTTGTTTTTCTTCTGTTTTCTCTCTCTCTCTCCATTTCTTTGACTTTTAACATCGTCATCATCTTCATCATGTTATGGATGAAGATAATGATGAGATTTGGGTGAAGAGCTTTTAACGGAATTTCAAGATGGAAAAAGGGAAGAATAGAATAAGAAAAGAGCAGAAAAAGAGATTCAATAAAGGATAAAGATAAAGTTGATTCTTTTCATCGTGATTCTATCTCATCATCATCACTTTCTCTCTCTCTCTCTCTCTCTCTTCCATCTTTCTCATCTCATAGCATATCCTCTGGGTAAAAATAACCTTGTTTATCAATCCAAACTCTTTCTTTCTCTTTCGTAATGATGAAAATGGCGAAGAAGAAAAAAAAACTGTTGATCTTCATCATCCATTTATCTAACATATACCAATGAGCGAAATGATTTTTTCTCATTTACTTCTCACATTATTACAACTCAACATTAGGCTTGAGTTGATTCATTTGAAATTCAGTTTATCAGATTCATAATAACAATCAAATAATCATTTTATTTTCATCATTTCCTTCATCCTAATTCATTATTAATATGAGATCGTATTCAATTGATTTTTTTTCTCTCTCTTCTCTTTATCATTATTTCAGAATCATCATTCTGGATCCTCGGTGTCTCCAGGGTTGTATATTCAGAGAGAGAGAGAGAGAGAGAGAGAGAGAGAAAAGGTGAGAAGATGCTTAGAGAAGAGCTTGGAATAATCTTGATAACTTCTCTTCCTTGTCTTCTTCTTTTTCTTTCCCTGACAATATATTCACTTAACATTATTGTCATCTAAATTTGTTCAACTTGAGAATCAGTTTAACCTGTAAGTTCATCAATCACTTCAATTCATGCTCATCTTTAGCATTGGATAAAAGCCAGAGGAACATGTTAAATGAGGGAATTGAAAATCTCGACTCACTCATTCTAATGGTGAACATAAAACTTTTTTTTCGGTTATCAGGTCAACAATCAACAATTATCAATAGGTATAAATAATATAGATATTATTTAAATGGTTCTAATCCCTGTCAACCAAAAGGAACAGAAAAGATTTAAATTAATCATTAATATTGCCTCATGATTATCAAATTTTTTTTTCTCCCGCCTTAACTTACCAAAATTCTGATCATTAATATGATCAGAAAAATGAAAATCAGTTAATCTTAATCATCTTCATCATCCTCATACAGATAAACTATCAATAGTACTCATGAGAGTTACTCTAATGCCTGATAATGATAGTAATCATATTCACAACTAATGATTTATTAATTGAATTAATAATCTCCATTGATTTTCAATTATCTCGCAACCAAATGATCATCAATATTATTAATCGTTTTGTTTGTTGGGAAAAATATTATCTAAGTATTGGCCTAATAACGAACCAAATTTACCGTGAAAATTTTAATTAACTAAATGTTTTCTAATTGTAATTACAGGTAAACAAATTGGAGAAGCAACTTTAGCTAATTGAATATCATGTTTTACCAAACAATTTAAAATTAATTAACAATTGGAAGAATCCAAAGTTACAATGAAAAGGTAAAAAATTGCATTTCTTTTTTCATTTATAATCAATAGCAAACAAATAATCAAATATTTACAAATAGACTTGATTGTGATGATCTAATTGCTGGAAACCACCCAGAGTAAGCAATTGACAGCCATCAGAACCCAATTAAATTGTAATCAGTTTTCTGCATAAATTGTAAACTGGTCTACTTTTTTTCTGCAATTATATTAATTTATTGATGAGAAAACATGAAAACCTTTGCAAAAAAAGGATGAGGATGGAGACGATGAAGATAAACTTGGAATTGACCTTAACTTTTTCCTAAACGGGAAAAGCGTCTTTTTGACCTTGAGACATGGGTTAGTTATCATCTTAGTTATCCTTGTTGTGTTTACATCATCATCATCATCATCTTAATCATCAACAAACTGTTTTTTTCCCTCAAATAATCAACATCCGTTTGATTATTTAAAATCCATTGATTGTTAATTTTTGTGTTTAAAATTGTAATTGATTATTTTAATAATCGTTTCGATGTAAATATAAACATTACATTAACTTTTCCAATGACCATTTAGTATAAACAATGTTCATTTCTTACAATTGTAATAATACAAATTTAACTTGACTAATTTGACTTTAATTGTCACCTTCATCTAGCACAATGATCAACTCTCAATATAGCAAATGGATTCCCAAGGTAGTCGGGATATAATTAATACTGTCATTTTGACTTAATCATCATCATGATAATCATTTAGTCTAGTGAACTTAATTAATTTCTTTGTGAATTAATTAGAGGAACAAAAAATCAATCTAATTAAGATTATCATCACGATCACCAAATAATCAAAAATGCTATTGGCTTTTATGTATCATTATTTGGAAATCAACAATCAATTCTTATATTGATTTGATGATTGCTATTTAAACACAATTAGTAAATCAATTCAAGTCTTCAATTTCCTTTGCCTAAAACAAGTAACAATTTACAAGGTGAAACAACAATTTGATTAAATTGTCGAAAAGGAAATTAAATCCTATCCAAGATAAAGAGTTAAATTGTAATTCTAGTTCTAATTGCAACTTGACTGAACACATTAACTTTAAATTGTAATTACAAATCAACAATCTAAATGACATTCAACAAGTTAAAACAATAAAAAATAGGAGATGAAACAAAAAAATTGTTAACAATTAAGTTCCCTGTGGATATTGTTGATCACTTGAAGCAAACAATCAACATTGATTTTTGACATTATTTGTGATATTAGTTGATCGAAAAACCTTGAACTTTTTCCTATTCATCATCATGAAATCAAAGATTAAGAACTTTTTTTATCGTCTATTCTCATAAATGAGATGAGGATGGAGAGAGAGAGAGATGAAAAAAGGAAAACCTTTTAAACTTATACTTAGTCAATATATTAACTGTTGCACATCAATTAAATTACGTTTCTTGTGTTTTGATAATCGCAAGTGAAAACATAACATAAAAATCAATTCACTCAACATTATAAATCTTCATGTTTATGTCAATGGGAATTTTTCAACTACCATTGAGGATTAACAGGTTATCTTATGTTTTATAATCAGCGGGATAATAAAATTTACCTCTGAGGAGAGAGAGAGAGAGAGCAGAAAATACTGACCATTAAGTCAAGAATTGACCAGAAAAGAGATTTGATTTTCAGTTACAATTCAATTTGATTCACTTTCTTATTACCTATTGTATGATAATAGTTTCATTCATCTTCTTGATTGTTGGTTTATTTTCATCTTAACATGATTTCTTTAATTTATTATCATTCGTTAATCTTATTGTATTATTATAATAATAATACTTTGGTAATCTATTTATTATTATGATATTATTATATTAATACAATTAACTTTGTCTAATTGTTGTCATGTTGATTAGTTGAATTAAGCTTTTTTCTTTACTCCTTCCATCTTATATGTACATTATAAAGCTAAATAACTAATCTAATTTTAATTAAATTAGAGGTAAACATTTGTTATTAGATTAAATCTCTTCGAAAGACTTAGTTTACTTTTACTTTAGTTTGGTTGGTAATTAATTAATTGATTTACGGTTAATCATCTTACCGATTTACGTTGATATGCAATGTAGACTCTTCCATGTTCATATGATTTATCCTTTGAATCGGGTTTAGTATAAAATGGAGCTCCGATAATTAAATCATCCAGTCCATCCTTGTTTAGATCAGCTGATGCCAATGAGTACCCAAAATAAGCACCCATAGTGTCACCGGTTATGTTGACAATATTTTTCATCTCTTTGGTGAAAATGCAAACCTATGGATTAGGAATAAATCAAATCCAAATGAATTAAAATGTCATCTCAATGAAATTCAATGGGGATAAGATGAACAATCAGCTGATTGTTTATTTGGGATGATTAGTATTCAAATGATTAACATGACAAGTGATTAATATCTTGGTTTTGTTGTTTGGGAGGCATTTGATTGTCAATTGATTGTCATCAATTTTCATCATACTCCTTAACTAGGAGGTTGACCTAATATTAATCAACTAAATTGTAACAATCAGTTGATTGTAAATACTCACTAATGTAGATGGTTAATTTTTACTAGTTCATCTAAAAGTTAATAAGATTAAAAATTGTTGATTGTAAACAATTTAATGTTTAGTTTTGTTTACTCAAATTACTCAAGTGAAATTGTTGAGTATCAGGGAAAGTTGATTAAGTCAACAATCAACAATTTCATCAAGTTTAATCAACAATTAAGGTAAAGAAATGAAAGGATTTTCATTAGAATCAATATTAACACTTGGTTTCAATATGTTAATTGTAATTGAAAAAAAGGGTTTTCCAAGACAAGAAAATCAACAATTAAGAAAACAGGAAATATGGTTAATCTATTGATTAGAATCAAGTTAATTGTTAACCTTCATAATCGTTATGATTTGTCAAATTAATTTAAATTCATTTTGAAAGTTAAATGAGGAGATTTTGACCAAAATAAATTGCTAAATTAGGTAACAATTAAAGAAGAAAATTAATCAATACAAAATTAACTATTCAATTACTGAGAATCAAATTTACATGATGATTTTCATCTCGATTCATATTGAAATCATCAGACTGAATTTACCGTTAGTTTGATGATGATGAAAAATAACAAAGACTTTGCTATCCTTATGAATACATAAAATGTTGTTTACTTTTCATGGAGATTGAATGAAAAATAAATAGTTTGTAATATTATCATGACGATAATCATGTTAACCTGAATTTTCAAGTGGAAGAAAAAAAGTTCTGAGTGGGTTGAAATTTTTTCTTTTTCTCAAATGATCACCATGAAGAGAACCTGAAAACCAGAAGATAAGCTCATAGGATTTAAAGACCAAGTTATTGAATAACATGTTGATTGTTGAATATCATCATCATCATCATCATGATTAAGACTAATCATTATCAACAATTTATCCCCCAGTTTGATTAATGTTTAAATTCAATTTGAACAACAATCAACTTTCATCTAGAATACAAAAGGTTGATGGTTACAATATGATTATAATTCATAATTACACTGATTAACCTTAAATTAGATTTAATAATAAATGAAAATTAGTTGATAACAATTTAATCATGATTAGTGTGATTATCAATGACATGTTTATGTTTTCGGTTTGTATTTAAATTGTCACACATCTCATTTAATATTTACTTGAACAATTATGTTTGGACTAATTTGATTTTATTTTAATCCTAATTTATGACAATTGTTGAGGTGAACACAATTAAACATTAATTTTTTGCTTCACTTGTCTTTTATAAATTGCTAATTAAATAAATTATTTCATTCAGTTAATCTGTAATTTTAATAATATTCATAGAAAGGATTAATAAAGGTAGAAAGGGGATTAACAAAAGGAGATTAAAGTGATTAAGTAAATGTGTAATCATTGGCTGGAAGATTTTTCATTTTAATTGCTTACTAATTATGAATTTCATTCTGCTTTTTTTTTCATTATATCAGAGAAAATGATTATAACTGATTGAATGCACTTAATTGTTGATTAATTGTAGATGATCAATAAGAGAGAGTCAATGATCAATTTGATCAGAATGTGAATTATTGAGGATTGGAGACTCAAAACAGACAGAATAAGATAATAAGATTCCTGGGGAGAAAATGAGTTCTAACCATGAATGAACATGAATAATAGAGGCAACAGATGAGAAGGTGATGTTAGTGAGAGTGGTAATATTGGAAGAGGGTGGGAAGGGAAAAAGTTGGCAATCGAAATACAAGTTGCTCAAATTTCTGTCAAAATTTTGTTTATCGCCAACAACAAGTTCACAGATGAACAGGAAGATGAAGATAATTCAGAAGATGATCATTTGCATGATGATCAAGATAGAGAGACACATATTCAATGTTGGCCCAATTTTGGGTGGAAAAAAGAAAAGTTCTGGGAATAACTCCAATTCTTTCAGAACTTTTTCTCTACCTTGAGTGTTTTTAGATATATTCATGAATAAGGCGAGAGAGAGAGAGAGAGAGAGAGAGCTATTTCCACATAGAAAGAAAAAAAATATTAACATGAAAGTAGGAAGAGAAAAAAAGATCAACATCGAGGAAAAAAAATCTAGTTTTTTCTTCTTTTCTCATTGAAATGATAGATTCTGTTATAATATCAGGGTAAATCAGAATTGAAACCATCGGATTCATGATATTACATCATCTTGTATATAAAAGGTTAACCTTTTAGTAGATTCAAGTGAGAATTATTTTTGGGATGAATACAGATAACATTGGATATTACAATAAACACACAACATTTTAACATAAAACAGAAACACCGAGGATAATGGTGAGGGCGAGAGATGGAGGAGTAAGATGATGATAAAGATCATCTCTTAGTCGCTTTTCATCAATGTAATATTCATGTATTATATAATTTTCCTCGTCTTCATCTTCATCTTGTGGAAGACCATCTTGAAGAAATATTAAAAAACATTTCAACCTTAAAATGATAATCTTCATCTTTCCTCAGTCTCTTTTAACTTCATATTCCTGATCATCATCATCATCATCATAATCAGCATCTCTCTCACTCTCTTACTTTTCCTGCTGTGTAGCTTTTTGCTTCTTAAAAATTTTACTCCCACTGTTTTAGTTACCCAAATGATGCCAATCTGAATGTCGCTTGAGTTTTACACACACAGACCTCTAGATCTTGATATCATCCTCATCATCCTCATCATCCTTATCTTCATCATCATCTCAGGCCTTAAAATAACCAGTCACCAGTTATTTTATCCTAATAATGCAATTTCTTTATTGCGATTTTTAAGTTTGTCTTTGGTAATTTTTTGTTTTCTCTTGAAAACAAAAATTCACCGGAAGTTAAAAATGTAAACATAGACCCAGACACGATTGATGACTAAGTGATGATGATGATATAATGTTTACTGTTTCAATGAATTATATACCAAAACATTACTCAGGACTTTGAATCATTGGTGTGCGGAGGCGGAAAAGGAAAGGGTTTGGTCATGAGGATTAAGATTGTTGATCAACAAACTTACCTGACCAGTTAGATTTGCACCTCGAGGTTGACCAACTGCAATATCGTTTGATTTATCATTAGAACCAAATTTACCCCAAACCAATGAATATCCTGTAATTAATTAGTCAAATAATTAGTAAATTGATTATCCATTTGATTAGATACATTGAAAGTCTTTGTCTAACTTTTTCCATGGATTATAACAGATCTAATTAGTTAATTGAATCAGAGAGAGAATCAATTACAATTAAATTGAATCAGTGAGAATTAATCAACTGACCAAAATGTACATTTAACTAACAATTGAAAAGCTTTTAAATCAAATGTAAATTTAAAATTAATTAATGTCAATCAATAAAAAAAAGTTAATTGAGTAAAAGATGAAAAAAACAAAAATTATCAACAACAAATTGATAGACTTTATCAATTAATAGGATAAATTGTATTTCCATTTTGATTAAAGTTAATTGAATTAAAAGGCCATTTTTATATGGTATTAGTGGTTATGGTTTAAAACAATCAAATCTAAATGACAATTAGTTAATCAACTCACCAAGATAAGTGTCATCGTTTGAAGCTGTTCCCTCCTTTGTTTCGTATGGCGATTGAGTCAATTGATGAAGATCATAGGAGAAAACTTTTCCTTGCCAATAATAAGATCCAACAGCACCGAGAAATACCTGACGACCTTCCTGGTGAATCATGAGAATTGATTTAATTGTTGCAAATTAAAATATTAGAATAACAAATTAGGTGAGAATCGAAATGGTCAATTGTTGTTTTCAACTTACTGGTTCAACGGAGGCGGAGAAACCAGCTTGGCAAGAGCCCAATCTATGGTAACCCCATTTCTCTGAGGCGAGGAAAGAAAAATGTAAATTATCAGATGAAGATTATTATTAATTTGATGATTGAAGGTGATGAGAATCATGATGAATACAATTTAAATAGATGTAAACATTACCAGCAACTCTACATGGTGCCAATGGTGTTATTCCTGAAAAACCACCGGTGGAAACATAACAGAAACCAACAGGATCTCGACGTTTATTATTGTAGGAAAAGAAAACATAACGAGGAGCACAAGCCTATTAAACAAAGAGATAAATTAACAATCAATTGATTAACACACAAACAACAGTTGAATGAAAGAATCAAAAAGCTAACATTTAACAATTAAGAAAATTTAAATTCCAATTCGTATGAATAGCAACTCAGCTGATCCAAAGTAGTGAAAATAACGAGCTAACGGATTAACGGAAAAATTTAATTCTTCAATTTTTTTTTCAATTGTTTTCTTTTCTCTCTTCACAATTAGTTTGATTAATTTTTATTCTATTAATTTATGGTTAACTTTCTTTTAATTGTTCTTTTGTTTAATGTTCATCTTATCATCGTAATTGATAAAAAATATTAATTGTCTCTGATTAAGATTAATTTTAATTCAATCTGTGAGTTAGGCCTGAGTTAGGTCTGAGTTTTGCTTTTGTTTGTTTCTTAATCACTTTGACCAAACCTTTTTTTGTGAAACTCATTTCATAATTTACCTTAATTGTGACTATTAACTGATATTTTAATGTCTAATTATGAGATGAAATTTGTGGTGATAAAAATTAATGGCTACAATTTAATCCCTTAATTATGAACAATCAACATCTATATAATATCAAGATCCTTTTTTTATGTTTCTATATTTTTATTGCCAATGTTATTATTAAGATTGACATAATTGATCTTCATGGATACATTATCCTTTTTTTAATTATCTCAATTGATCACGCAATCAGTTAATCATGATTGAGGAATATCTTGGAACAAAGTGAATCAATTAAAATGCGAAAATAATCATGTTCATCTTACCACAATTACTCCTGTTTTACCAGAACTTTGGACTGTTGCTCCGAACCATTGACCTTCCTTTTCTTCAGTCTGAACACGGAGGCCATTTTTCGCTGTTACATTTCGATTACCTGAGAGAACAATTATAAAGAAATCAAATTAATTATCAATCTCTCCTAAATTGGTGATTATTCAATCGTTCATGGTCTCAAATCATCTAAACTCATCTTGCAACCAAATCAATTTTTCCTTGGAGGTAACCTGAGTATAAACCAGTTGGATGGAAATGATCAAACAATTAAAAACCAACAATTAACATCATTAGTGGTTTATCCCTAACAATTAGCTTTGTTATTACAAGTTGTAGTAAACTGTTATTCATTCATTTCTTATTCTTTATTGATTATTATCATGAAAAGAAAACCTTAGTGATGAAGTTAATTGTAACCTGATAAAATATTCATTCTCAAGCAAAGGGAAACCAGAAGAATCTAAAAATAGATCAACAAACTAAATGGATACAAGGAATAATCCAGATCATTGATTTGATCGTAGTAAAAGTTTAATCAACTATTTGAAGATAATCTAATTAATTCTAATAGTTGATCTGGTCTTTGGATTTGTATTCGTTTGTTGGTGACCTCAACCGCGAATCTATCATCAAAACAAACAACGAACGAAACACTTATCGTGATTAAAAGAAACGGAAGAATATAAATTACATTTTCTTTTTTTTTCTTCTCTCTTCTCTCTTCTATTTCCTATTTTGTTCCAAATTCAAAGTAACAAATTGTGAATCATGAAAAAATATGAATCCCGAGAATCACCTGTTGCATGTTATTATTATTCCTCTTGTTATTACGCATTCAAGAAGTTATCATAATCAAGACAACATCCAGCATGATGAGAGTAAAGAGTAATATCAAAATAAGAAGAAAAAACCAGAAAATGATGAAGAAAGATGAAGAAAGATGATGCTACTCTCACTCTTCCTATTCCTCCCTCTTTCTCTCTCTCTTTCTCTCTCTCTCTCCCATCATACTCACTTCATCACTAACGTTATCATCATCATCATGCAAAAGTTTGTTTCTGCTTATATATTGATAATAAGTAGATTTTTCTGGTTTTCACCTGTTAAACGGCAATGATACGATTCAATTGAATCTTATTTTCGCTCCTTCAATGTAATCAGAAAATTAAACAAATGATTAACTAAATTGTTGTTAATATTTCCATCCGATTGAGCTAAATTCATACGATAGATATGAAACTGTGATTTACTTTTAATACAAGTAACATTTATTTTCCACTATTTCGTAAATGATTGATTGCTGATGATTATTATCACTTTTTTTTCTGTTTCTCAATCATTCTGATTGATTGATTTGACTCTTGCTCTCTCCTGATGATGACGATCATGGACTTACCTGTTGTGTCAAAAGGTATCACTTGACATAATCCCGATGATTGTGGTATACATTTGAAGACTGCACCACCACGAGTAATACCCTCCTGAGATCCTGGTGCTAATGGTGCTCCTACAAGAAGCCTGAGATGATTGAAAGAAATAAAGAAAATTGATTAACAATCAACTTAATTGAGAAAAAACAAATATAAACAAAATCATATTTTTCTCTATTGACAAGTTAACATGTTTATCTTTTTTCATGGGAAAAGATTATCATTATTAATTTCATGTCCACCCTGAATTTTTTATTCTTCTCACGGTTTATCATAATCATCATGAAACGATTAATGATTTTTAGGTGAATTAATTTTCTGATTGTTTGATTTCCTTAAATCTGCACAATGATTATGCATGAAAACAATTGATTGTTTTATTTTCAATCAATTCAATTACATCGCATAATCAACACACTGTTGGGTAATTGAATTAGAGTTTTTTTTTTCATTCTCTTGCTTATTGAATGATGATTCGCAACTTTCATCGGAATCAACAATTGCAATGAAAGCGAAAATTACATAAATCAATCAATTGAAAATAATCAACAAATCAACGAAATTGAAATGACCATTGAATCGGCCGTTGGAAAACAAAACTACAGTCATGGGACCTTTGACCTGTCGATGGTAATTTAATCTCGAAGCCAAAGAGGAAAAAAAGATCAACTATATAATTTTGGCGAAGTGAATAAGAGACGAAGAAGATGAAGAGAAGAAAAAAGTTGGCCTAGAAACAATATCGATCATTTGACTCCCACGAGTGACTTTTGAACACATAGAGGATGAAGAAGATGAGGATGATTAGGATGAAGATGAGGATGAAGATACAGAACAGAGGAAGATGGAGAAAGATGAAAGAAGAGCAGAGGAAAAAGGCGCGAGGTGCACACTTTACACTAGGAAGATGATGAAGAGATGGAAAAAGATGATGATGGAGATAAAGGACAAAGGAAGATAAATTAAGAGAGAGAGAGAGACAAAAATCGCCTCTTGTAATTATCCATGTGCTCTCCATATGGTCTCATCTTTTTCCAATGGTAACCATCAGAATTTTCATCTTTTCTTTCATCTTCCTAATCATCTTTATCTTAATCAATTCTAATCATTGATACTAAAGTTGATTAATTTAATTGTTACACCATCCAATCCATTAGGAAATTAATTTGACCATTAAGGATAATGTAACAATCAATCAATCAAATGTCTTGTAACTTTTACCAAAAGAGAGTCAAACTTAATTGTTGCATTAGATTCTTGTTTCTCAACTAAATTGTAATTGTAATTGAAATTGAAATTGTTGATAATTTGTTTTTAACTAATCCAATTTGATTGCTTGTTGATTATCTTTAATGAAAGAATTGATTGTAACCGTTTGAAGCAATTAAGTTAATCCAGTTTCATGTTTTGTATTAAAAAACAGTAACCAAAAAAAAACGTCATCAATGTAAACATATTAATCTTAATTGTTGTTTACTTGTTTCTCTTTGTATTTAATGATAACGGTTAATTGTTATCATGGTTAAACTTAAAAGATTGTGATCTTTAAATTAGTAAACAATTTAAATTGTTAATCAGCAAGTTAGCTTACCAATAATTGTCTCCGTCTTTGTGTTGAGCAACTGAAAACCCATAGTAAGTATCGGGTGTCCCTCGGTGGACAACAGCAGTTCTTGTATCAATATTAAATGTCCAACAGTAGTTGATTAAAATAGCAATTAGGTAAATAAAGAGACCATAATTTAATTTAATCCACATTGGCACACAATTAGTTGATTGATGAAAGGAAACAAATTAAAACCACAAACTAGAAACAAAAGGAAACACAAAAATCCGAAGACACAAAATTTTTTCAGGCAAAGGTGAAAAAACGGAAAAGATGAAGTGATGAGGATGATAAGATGATATTAGTGATGATGATAAGGGTTATGATGATGATAAACAACTACAATGATTAAAAAAAGTACAGTTATCTTGGTGAAGAGAAATTTTTTTAATTTTCGAATTTTTTTCTAAAACAAATCATGAAATCATTTCTTAAGAAGCTTAAGATAATGATGAAGATGATGGGGAGAGACTAAAGTGAGAAAGAGAGAGAGGGAGAGTAAGTAAACTGAAGATTAGGGAGAGAGAAGATGATGATGAAGATGAGAGGTTGTAACTTTTTAAACAGGAAAAAAAAGAAAGTGAAATGATGAAGGAAGAAAGAGAAGCAAAGAGAGGGAGGTAAGAGAAGGAGAGGAAGAGCGAGAGAGAGAGAGAGAGAGAGAGAGAGAGAGAGGTAGTAAGGAAGATGAACGAAAATAGAGAAAAGAAAGACTAAGATGATAAGAGGGAGAGGGAAGGGCGAACGAAAATAGCATGGAGAAGATGAGAAGAAGACGATGAAGAGGAAAACCAGAGACAGAAAAAAAGTCGAGAAAAAAATTCGAAATTCAGATTTCATGGAATTGAGAATGAACCTGATAATGCTTTTATCTTTGATTATGATAATTGGCCATTAGAAAGGACCAATAATTGAATATTATCATCACCATGATGATGATTCCGATAAAATAAAAAATAGTTGAAGATGAGACGATGCAATGAATCAACAAGAATCATTGAGCATGAGTCTCAGTTATCATCATTTTCTCATCATCTTCATCTTCATCTCCATCATCTGACTCATTCTTGTATTTCCATTTCTACTTTTATCCTCATCCTTTTTTATCCTTATCCTTTTTTTTCTTGTTGTTGCCTCATCATTTTCATCATCGTCCTTCATCCTCATCACTTACCATTATCACCAAAAAATTTATTGTCATCACTTTAATAATCATGTAACAATCAAATTGATTTTAAATCAAACCAATTAACAGTTAGATCAAAGTTAATTGTGGACAAATGCAACAATTAGTTTTTTGTACATCATTTTTCAATATCAATCATTTTGAATGATTAACAAGATTAACAATCAATAAATTAGATTGTGTTGATTGTTGGTTACTCTCCATGTGATTGTCTTTTCATTGCAACAACAATTAAGTGATTGTTAATGTCCTATTTAAATTATTAAACGATTAACAGTTTTAAAATACAATTAAGGTGAAATGATTTGTAATTCAATCGGTGTAATTTAATGAATTACTTTCAAGTTTAATTATCATCAAAAATCATCAACAGTTTCTTAATTGTTATTCACATATGATGTCAGGTGATTTAGCCTTTCTTGATGATAATCTTCTTAATCAACTACTGGCTAATTGTGATCAAGAAAATGTAAATTCAGTTAATGATGAACAACAACAACAACAAACTTATAATGACGATGATGCTGGTGAAACAAATGATGATGATGATCAACAAACTTCAAGTGGTTACAATCATCATCATAACCACAATATAATCATAATTAACGCATCAACAGATAAAGATAATTGTCCAATCGATTCTTATAATGTAACAATTAGTTCATCGCCAACAAAATCAGCAACAATCCATTCACATTCACCTCTTCATGGTAATTTTATCATTCCTCAGGATTCCCAGGATGATCTGATTGACCATGAATATGAAACAGATTATTCAGTTTACGAAAATAAATCAGGACTTGCTGAAGATATGAAGTTTTTAGCCTCAATGCCTGAACTTTGTGATGTGACCTTTTTGGTCGGTGAGACTCGAGAACCCGTTTGTGCAGTTCGTTCAGTACTTGCAGCTCGAAGCAGGTAATGTGAATATTTCCAAATCTCTAATTGCCAATTTCTTTTTCTGTTATTCTCGAACTTGATTGTTTATTTTCATTTCGATTTTGTTTTTTTTCTCTCTTTCTCTCTATCAATCCATCTATCAGAACTTTTCACAAACTTCTTTATGCCCACAAGCAGAATCAATTAAGTGTCCTATCATCAATGACCAATAGTGTCCAATCAAACAATAGCTTGACCAATACAAACTCTGCCAACAAAGATAATGTTAATAGTATAAACAATTCAAATAACCTGATGAACAATACCAACATCAACAATAGTAATAGTAGCTTTGCCTCTGGCAATTTATCCTCTTCCGTTATTTCATCTCGTGAAGGTGACAGTGGGGATACTCATTATAGTAATGATTCACAGAGGGAGAAACAATTAAAATACTCTAAGAGTAAAAAATTTCGTGAGACCAGTAAAGAGACAAAATTAAAGTTGTTCCTGAAACGAAGCTCCGAACCGGCCTTAAATGGACTTCCAGCTAATCATTATCACAATCACCATAATCATCATCAGGTAAATCAATTTAAAATTGAAATTCTATTTCAAATGATATCAATCAAATGGTCACTTTTTGTTTACAATATGGAAGAAAATTTGTTGTTTCGATCTTTTTTTATGTCTCTGTTTGTTGACCATGTTATTTACTTTTACTATGAGGATGATGATGATGATGATATTGTAATGAACTTGTCAGTGGGTGGATGATGAGGATAAGGAAAGTATATATACTCAATTCTGAGAGTATAAAATGTTGGATGAAAATGATGAGGGGAAAAGTGAACAGATAAAAAAAGAGAAGTTTTTTTCTCTTCTCTTTTTCTTTTGAAGAAAAATATATATTCTCAATGGGGAATATATAAACTTGAGGATGAGGATGAAAAAGAAGATAAAATAAGACGTTGGGAGGGAAAATTGTTTAGACTTTGAAAGTATTAAGAAAGAGAAGATTTTTTTTCAAGGTAAGATTCTCTTCCATCATCATCTTCATCTTTCACATCTCTAGAGCTACTTTTCCAATTGGATTGGTTAGTGTTAAGATGAATACGAAAAGAAAGGTGAGAAGAAAGATAAAAATCGATAAGAAAAGAGAGAGAGAGAGAGATGATGAGGATGAGGATGATGAGGATGAAGATAAAATTTGCTGAGTAAACCGATCATATTTTACACAAGTTCTAATAACGTTTAAAGGTGTAAAGATGATGAAAGATTTGATTCTCTATTCTTATCTATCTGTAACACTGAACTTATTCAAATATCAACCATGAAAAAATAACAACATGATGCAGACATGAAGATCTGAGACTTTCATCATCCTCCCACAATCATGATCAACATCAACTAAGCAATTTGATTTTATCAACAGTTAAATTGAAGGGATGATTAAATATTCACCATGATGATGTCTATCCAACAATAAGAACTTTTTTTTTCCTTCCCAGTTGAAACTTTTGAATAGAACCTCAAAATAACAAGTGAAATTATCGTCAACTCTTGATTGCTATTGATTGTAATCAATTAAAATGAATGTTAAATTGAAAACAACAAGATTAAGTATGTGGGTGGATAATGGTGAAGGTGTAACATGATTATCCGTCTGAACTTTGATACTGTTGAGACTGAATAGGATAAAATCAATATCATTTCAATGTTTACTTTAATCTTGGAAACAAAAAGTATCCATAATTTTTGGTTATCCTTGAAATTGAAGTTTCATGGTAAAATGATCATGAAAAGTTTCAAGCTTAATCAGTTTATTCATAGATTGAGTTTACTATCATGAAATGAGTTGACTAGCAATAACTCTTAGTCTTATATATAAATGAATTTAACATGATAATTTAATGGAAATTTTTTTTTCTTTCCTTTTTCTCGTCCAATTATTCTGGTCATTCAATTACCTGGAATTCTGTATTCTAACAATCAGTTAACTGTTCAAAGCCATCAAACTATGATAATCGAGGAGTTCGAACCTGATGTATTTCGTCAGCTGATTGAATATATTCACACTGGATGTGTTACACTTCAAGCACGAACACTTTTAGGTAATGTTACTTATCGAACTTGATTTTTTTATATTGTTCTAAAAAATTTATTCCAATACTATCATGGACTTATACCTGAAATTATGGTGATAATAACAACTGAAAATGTTACATTTTATTTGATAAAATTGAGGGATAGTAGATTTTTTCAGTTCGAATTGAAAATGAACTAAAATTGACGGAATTTCATTTTTTTGTCCACTGATTTTCAGATTGAATTCTCATGCAATCTAATTGTTAACATTTGATTTCGATTTCGATTCAATCAATTGACTTTTTCATTAGGATTTTAATGTGTTTACTTTTGAAAATGTTTCTCGAACTGTTGTTATTTTGAACTTTACTTTTTCGAGAGTATATGAAAAGCAACAGGTACTGATTAGTTAATCTAAATTACTTATCGATTTATTTCTGTAATTTGAACTGAAAATTTTGTCACCCTCGAACTTTTCAAATTAGAACATTTTTCTCTCGAAAAAGGAAAAGTACAATCACTTAATCTAAACTATTAGATTATCATGTTAGGTGTAAAGATGAAAAATCGAGATTCAAAGTGGGCGTGAAGGGGAAGAGGAAATGAAACTTGAAGGGAAGTTCCAAGTTCGAGGGAAAAAATTGTCGAATAAAATTCTAAAAACAATAATAATGTTCTAATGACTGAATTTTCGGCAACAATGACAAGTTGCAAACACCAAATAGACGAAAATGAGAAATACGACGAAAAAAAGTTCTAATAAGTTTCTAATTTCTTTCCACGAACTTCAAGCTAAATGAGATTATTTTAATTGTCTTTTAATGAAAGAAGAAGACAAAAAAAAATAATTAACTGAACACGAGAGAAAATCAATTTTCAACAATTAACTCATGTTTACTCTTGAAAAGCAATTAAATTAATTTCTAAATTAACTTGTGAACAACAATTTCGAACAATCAAATTAATGAGATTTTGTATCATTTCTGAAAGGTAAACAATTTGTTAATCAGTTGTGTTCATCTTCATATCTCATTAATGATGATTCCATGAGAGGCAAGAAAAGTAAACTAACATTTATCAATGTAAATGCGAGTATATTTTGTCCTCAGGCGATTTCACCTTTTTCATATTGAATTTTTTGCTCTCTTCCCTTTCATCAGCTTGTTACACAAAACTGAATACCCTTTGAATACCCTGATTCTTGATTGTTGGAGCTTTTCCTATTCACCTTTATTTATATATTATATACACAATTTATATTTTTCTCTTAATCAATTCTGGTGTTACCATGGAAACTCATTGTAAACTTATTCTAATCCATATAATGTACAATAAACTCAATGAATACCATGAATGTTTTTGGTTACACTTTGACACGAACCTGAAAATGTTTCACCAAAGTTTATCATCCTCATCATATCGTTGGATATGCTAATCAGTGGTATTGTTAATCACCTTGACAATGATAATTAAACCATCACAAAAAAAATTGAATCGAACTCTTTTCTTTTTCTTCAACTGTTAGAACTTTTTTCCTTTTGTTTTTCCAAATTACTCAGAACTTTCTTTTTTAATACTTCGAATTCTTATTTTCATTGATAAATTATGATGAAACAATTAATCAGTTTAATTTCTTGTCGATTTTTCAATCCTAATCATCACCACAATTAGCTTGATCTGATGGATTAACTTCATCTTTTTCCAGATCATTGAACCGGTTAAATTGTTGCTCGTGATTCAATTTTAATCTGATTGTTGACTCGTCTAAACCTCCAACTAATTGGTAATTTAGCCTAATTATTAACCATAATCTCAGGTTAATCAATTTAAGTACCAAATGATTCTGATAAATTTCGTGTCTCTAATTAATTACCAGTTGTCAATTAGTCATTTTTAGCCATCAAAAGTTAATCACGTTATTGGAATCAATTCAGAACTTCCCCCGCCCCCAGATTCTGATTCTAGTATTGAACCAGGATTCATCTATTGTTAATCATCAAGAATATCGTGAAATGAATTTTTCATTTTTAAATCTTTTCCATGATGATTTCAAATCATTCTCATGATTTTCCGAGATTATATCTGAGAAATCATAAATCTCCAAAATCATACTTGACCTTTTCTTACTGTCAACTTTTTATTCATCTGATTGTCATAAAAATCAACAGGTTGAGATTATTTATCGTAATTGTTATCGAAATCATTTCTGGTAGTTCTAATAAGTTCTAAGAGAATATAAAAAAGAAACCAATCTAATAGATATTTCTTGTATTCTCATCCTTTTTTATTACTTTTGAAATGATGACTATAAGGATGATAAGGTACACAGGAAGATGAGGATGAAGATTGGTTTTCTTTCAGTATGACAATGATGATGTACCGTTAATAATGATGGAAGAAAAAAAAATTCTGTCAAGCTTATAACTTTATTTTTCTCATGATACTTTCATCATTTACACTTCGATAAAAATGTTCGAAAGATAAAATTAAAACTCTATCATTGGTCAATCTTAAAGTTCAGTTGGAATTTATCATCTTTCAACTTCCTGATAAAGATCATGATGGAAATTCCAATTCTGATTTCCGTCGTCTTCTTTTCTTGCTGTTTCCTATTCATTTTCCACCCATGGATTGAGATGTTTCTCTTTAAAAGGAAGAGGAAAAAAATGATACATCTACCAATTGATTCCAAATTTGATTTAATTCATTTGTCACCCTGTTCATCATGTTAACATCATCTTCGACTTTAACTCAATCCCATTGACATGAGAAAATCTTTTCCTCTTCCATCATCATTATCTTTAGTCTTCTTTGCTGGTAAATAACTTTCTCCATTTATTCACCTTTACATTATTTTCTCTTCCCACAACTTTCTCTCTCTCTCTCTCTCTCCGCCATCTTTATCATCCTCATCACCAACTAACCTGATTCCTCTTAAGATGATGAAGATTGAACTTTTTTTCTCTCTTTTCTCTATTTACCATCATGAAGAGAAGATAAAAACTACTAGATAATTCAAGATTAATACCTTAAAGAGGGAGTCAAAAGATGAAGATGATAATGATGATAAAAATGATAAATTGTACAGAGAGAGAGAGAGAGATATGATAAGTTCACTTAACCTTTTTTTATACAACCACTTTCTCACTCCTTTTATCTTCATCATCAGCAGTTTTTGTGAACTTAATTCTATATCTTCTTCATCCTTTTAAGTTACTCAGAATCTTCAGTTTATCTTCATCATCAACCATAAAATGTTGACTCCCTATGGCAAATACATAATAACAATAACAACATTCAACTTGGTTGTTGCAATGGACAAAAAAAACTCAGATTACCTGTTAATAGATTGATACAATTGTTTATCACATTACCTTAAGTACTCACCTTAAATTATCATCACTTAATGATAACTGGATCAACATGAAGAGCTTTTTTCTAATAAAATTATCATGAAATAAATTGAATCAAGATGACAAATTGAACTTTTTCTAGACCAGAACTTTACCTTTGTTCTAATTGCTAATAGTTATTTAATTTACTGATTGATTTTTTATTCTGATGATTTAATGATGACATTCTCATGATTATCTAATGATGAGCTTGAATATATTCATAGCTCGTTAACATTATCATGATTAAATAAAACGCTCATGATATTATATATTTACTACCATTATATTCAAGGTTCAATGATTATCAACAATAAATCATATTTCAAATACTGAACATGATAGAAACTCATAATCATCTTCTTACCATCTTGATCATTTCATGAATTATCACAATAGAAATGAATCTCAACCTTATTCTGGAATCATGAACATGATTGAGTTTTGCTCTTCTTTTTTTTTAATCTTCTTTCAGATTCAACATTTATTGAGATGGAAAGTGTAACATCCATAGTCATGGAAAACACATCCCATCTCATTCAGAACTTTTCACATCGATGGTGTGAAAAAGTTCTAATCTGACCTGAGTAGATTTTTCTGCTCGAAATTCAAAGTTTCCATCTAATTTTCTGTCTTCCAGTTTTAGCCCAAACTCTTCAAGATAATTAAAACAAATTCTCATTGGATTCAGTTTCTCTTGTACTGAAACAGAACCATGGTTGAACTTTATATTATCATTCTTTTCGCCGCAAGGGATTCAGACAATAATCATCATGATAACCAAATGGTGAGTTGAGGCAACGATTGTTAACTCATAACCATTATCATGATGAAAATAATTTTCATGTTAACTTAGAATAATTTATTTCAATTATCACCATCATAAGTAAACGATACAGAATATGAAGAAAAAGTTGTAAAAAATCAGAAAATTATTCTTCTCTCTCTCTCTCTTCTCATTAAGTTTTCCTTTCTTTCATGACAAAAGTAACTTCCTTGAAAAAAAATCTTTCACGTCATCATTTCCTTTTCCGGTTTTCACTTTTATGCTGAAAACAAATTTCAGCTACTCTGTAAAAAGATAACAGGTAATAAATTTATGATAGAAACTAAAATAATACCAATAAATTATTGATGTTATAATAATATGAGAATTTATAATCAAAGGTTAACATTCATGTGAATGGAACGAAAATTGGGTTAGAACTTTTTTCCCTTCGAATTTCAATTTCGACTTTTCCAAGAATGAAAAACTATTTTCCATTCATGTTAAACATAAACTCATCTTAATCATTTAAACTAACAATTTATTTCAATGTTCAAATCTGAATCAATTACCTTTGATTATTAGATTGCAACAGTTTGTAATCTAATCTGATTCATGATTAACAATTTGAAATAAAGTTTCATAAATGTAATCAAATCAATCAACAGGTTATTCAGTCAAAATTATTAGATATATTTCCTGCCAATGATTTGATTTGTTTTTTTTCTTGATTCCATCTCATTGATTATCATGATTAACTTTCATGTAATCAGATAAATCTTATCAATAAAACAAAATTTAGTTATTACAAAAGATATAAATTCAATTGGGTACAAAAGTTTTCATGATGATTAGTTAATTTGTTTTA